CGGTCACCACTGTTTGTGAGACATTGCTGTGCATAATTGGCTGCACGTTTCACCCACAAAAATACAGTCAACACACTTTACAGTATATTTTGTGAAGCACTTTGATACATCTCGAATGATTCTCTATGATTCCATGAGTTTATAATCTGTTGGTGGCAGACATCCTGTTTATTCATGTACAATCTGAGCAGGAGTTCTGCACAAGTTATGTTTAGTTTTCAAGCTTCAAACACATCGATGCAATCTGAAAGAAAAAGGTGTCTATTTTTACACCAAAGTTACACTGCTCATTGAAATTTAAGCTTCAGGTCTATGTAGACTCCATGCCCTTCACCAGAAATTATCAAGTAATTATAAGCTTCTATTTATAAATAAATTTGCTCTGGTTGTTTATTAAACTTTGAGTTAAAATGTCACATTGAGAGTTCAATGTGGAGCTGTTGTATCAGATTCCCCACAATCCTGAATTTGTAATGTGATTTAGCTCATTTGGTGTAAAGTGCATTTTAAGCAAATTAAACAGCAAAATCCTACAATAACAATAACAACTTGCATCCTTTTCACATCGGGTGACGCCTGAGAGTGTGTTACACTGAGTGGATCTGTCACAGAGAAGGGGACAGAAACACAATCCATGGGATTTAAAGAAAAACGGAGAAGGGGGTGGGGTGGGGAGGGGCACAAATAGCAAATGATTAATTTATCAAAAAGATTGTGGTAAAAATTCCTTCCTCTTTATGAATAGTGTGGAGGGATCTTTAACATCCACCTGAACAGGCTCTGACGTCCTAACCTAAGAACCACAATTTAGACAACGCAGTGTCCCACCAGTGTCAGGACGGACTGAGCACAGTCTTCTCCTGAGGCTTAAAGTCACAATTTTCTGACCCAGAGGTGAGAACGATTCTGAACCTAGATCACATCTAAAGCAAATGAGAGAGAGCGAAGTACAGAAAAACACTGAACACAGTAGTGTCCCACAATAAATAATAATAATAATCCTTGCATTTGATATAGCGCTTTTCACGTCGGGAGGACGTCCCAAAGCGCTTCACAGAACATACTGTAAAGTGAATTGACTGTATATTTGAGGGCAAACGCGGCAAGCAATTGCACACAGCAATGTCCCACAAATAGTCGTGGATTGAAGATGACCAATTTATTATTGTTTTGGTTTTGGAGGGATTATTATTAGGCTCTGTGTGGAGTAAGGAAATTTGCCCAAGGTCGCCCTGCCTGGAATTGAACTCAGGTCTCTCAGGTCTCAGCCGATTGAGTGACCAAATTTTAAAATTTTATTTTATTGTATTTTTGAAAGGATTATTACCCCTGGAAAAGCAATCCGTAAATCGACTAACTACTGGGTTCCTACTTACTTATAGGTAAACAGAGGTGTGTGGAGTAAGGAAACTTGTCCAACGTTTCTGTTAGGAAAGTTTCAATTTGTCCAGGTGAACAAGTTGGGACCAAGCTGTTTACTGTGTCGTGACTGTACTCGGTGCTGGTAAACACACACTCACACACACACTCACACTGGTGCCAGTTGAGCGGAGGTGCAGGTGGTGGATTGGGGAGTGAGGAGGTCGGAGAGGGAGGGAGGTGCCAGGGAGTGAAGGGATTTGAACACGAGAGTGAGGATCTTGAAGTCGATCTGTTTGGTGATGGGGAGCTAGTGGAGCCTGGGCCAGTATGCAGGTGGCAGAGTTCTGAAAGTAGAGATACTTATTTATTTCTTTTTTCCTCTGTGGATTGAAAATGACCAATTTATTATTGTTTGAGTTTGGAGGGATCATTATTAGGTGTGTGTGGAGTAAGGAAACTTGCCCAAGGTTTCGCCTTCAGTCCAATGAGAATAAAAAAGTATAATAACCTCGTGTGAAACTCTCACTATTAATGTAACCTGGTGCCGTGACATGCATCTTTCTGCCCAGTTAGTGAGGAACAAAGAGCCTGCCATTTCCACATCAGAATTCCTGACAGTTTGCAAACACCACACGTGTTGGGATCAGGATGGGTGTGTGGGTGGGGGGGGTTGTTATTTCACTGTGTGGCAGTAGATTATCGCTATGTAATCACACAATGGCCTTGGTTGATGAGAAATTGGGGGAGAGATTCCTCCAGAATGTTTGTCTATTATTTTTATACAGAGCACTCGCCTTGCAAGCGAAACACCTGGGTTCAATTCCAGGCAGGACAAAATAATAAACTAGTCATTTTCAATCCACGACTGTTTGTGGGACACTGCTGTGTGCAATTGGCTGCCGCGTTCGCCCACAGATATACAGTCAATTCACTTTACAGTCTATTCTGTGAAGCACTTTGAGACGTTGAGAAGATGTGAAAAGCGCTATATCAAATGCAAAGATTATTATTATTATCCTGTAATGGATCTTTACACACCATAAACTGTAATTAATATTCCATAATCTGGCTCCTACATTTTTAAATTACAGCACAAGAGGAGGCCATTTGGCCCATCGTGCCTGTGCCGGCTCTTTGAAAGAGCTACTAACTAGTGCTACTCCCCTGCTCTTACTCCATAGCGAGCAAGTTGTTTCCTTTTTAAGTAGCTATCTAATTCCGCTTTGAAAGCTACTATCTGATCTGCTTCCACCACCCTTTCAGGCAGTGCATTCCAGACCGTAACAAGTCTGGGAAACGAAAAATTCTCCTTGTCTCCACTCTGGTTCTTTTGCCAATTATCTTAAATCTGTGTCCCCTCAACTTTCTCTGCTCTAAGGAGAATAATCCCAGTCTCTCTAGTCTCTTCACATAATTGTAGTCCCTCATCCCTGGTACCATTCTTGTAAATCTCCTCTGCACTCTCTCCAAAAGCCCTGACATCCTTCCTAAAGTTCGGTGCCCAGAATCAGACACAATACTCCAACTGAGGCCCAATCAGCAATTTGTAAAGGTTCCACATAACTACCACATGGAACTGTTCGCAATAAATCATTCCCATGTGGAATTGTTTGCAATGATTGAATTTTAGGTTGCATCTACCTTTTAACCCTCCTCACCATTCATTGCAGTCTACTTTTTTGTTGTTGGTGATCTGACATACAGACGCCCAGAATTGTGTTAAGCGGATCTAAACCAGACGACCACTGAGAGATCTTTTGCTGTCTCTTTCCTGCGATGCTTCAAGTTGTTCCTACCGGATAACAACAAAGTAGTCACCAGAGCAAATTTGTCCAGTTGGGGAGTGAGCACTAGCACAGACACATTGGGGAGAGAGCAGGGAATGGGAAGAGAGTAGAGAGCTCCAGTGGGAAAGAAATAATATTCTATTCTCCCTTCTTTAGGTTTGTGTTTAGAGTGAGCAACTTTCTCTTGGAGAACTGACTGTAAAGAATTTCTGAACACGCCCCACAATGTGAAACCTGGTGACAATAAGAAGGTGGAGGTGAAATTCAATGGAAGGAAGGTTGCCTGTCTAGGAGAGATTTAGTTTGAATCTTAAACTATGTTTCCAACCTTTAAATTGGCACAGTGACCACTGGTCAGTGCTCATGATGCTTACTGGTTCCCATCTGCTTTAATAAGTTTCCCAAATAGGTCAACTGTGTCTGATGTCCCAACACCCAAGCTAAATCAGGCAGGAGTGACTCCTGGTAACAGGTGGGCAAGTTTATTATCAGCGACACTTGGGCTGAGCTGCGTTGGTGCCAGGTTTCTGCACGTGTTTTATTTATGAGGCTGACTGTTCGCAAATGCCTCCTGCTGTAAATCAGGACATGGAAAATTCTTCCCATGTGTTTAGCAATGAGAAGTTTCACTGCAGATAAACCACCCAGTCCAGGAATGGATGATGCAAGTTTTCCTTCAATCAGATGACAGGAATTAAATCTTTTCTACCCCAGCAATAGGAGTCCCATGTTAAACAGTGTTAGTGATGCTCTCCCCCATTGAGCACAAACAACAACAACAACAACAACAACAAGATTCCATTTATAAAGCGCCTTTCACGTCAGGAGGACGTCCCAAGGCGCTGCACAGTTGGGTCATGGCCCGAGCAGGGGGGAAATGGTCAGGGTGAGGGAAGGGAGGGAGCGAGGAGGGGGGAAATGGTCAGGGTGAGGAGAGGGAAGGGAGGGAGCGAGGAGGGGGAAGAGAGTCGAGAGGGGAGCTGAAGGCACGGTCAAAGAGAAAGGTTTTGAGACCGGCCTTGAAGGAGGAAAGGGAGGAAGCGGCGAAGGCACTGGGGGATGGAGTTCCAGAGCCTGGGGCTGAGAGGCTGAAGGCCCGACCACCGATGGTAGGGCGGTTGGGGCGGGGGACGTGGAGCAGACCAGAGCCAGAGGAACGGAGGGTACGGGCAGGTAGGTAGGGGGATAGTAGGTCAGAGAGGTAGGAGGCAGCGAGGCCGTGAATGGCCTTGTAGGTGACTCACTAAAGGGTCAAAAATTCTGTATTCTTGACCATTTAAGCGCTCATTTAAGGCACCATCCCACGTGAAATGCGCCATTTAAATGTGAGTTACTGTTGTATTCATTTATATTCATAGTCCCGTGGAGTCCTGTAGCTCAGTGGTTAGAGCACTTGCTTTGCAAGTGAGAGACCTGAGTTCAATTCCAGGCAGAGGGCGAAACCTTGGGCAAGTTTCCTTACTCCACACAGAGCCTAATAATAATCCCTCCAAAACCAAAAACAATATTAAAAAATTGGTCATTTTCAATCTACAACTGTTTGTGGGATATTGCTGTGCGCAATTGGCTGCCGCGTTCACCCACAAATATACAGTCAATTCACTTTACAGTTTATTCTGTGAAGCGCTTTGGGACGTCCTCCCGACGTGAAAAGCGCTATATCAAATGCAAGGATTATTATTATTATTATTATAGTCTGATAAAGAGATATCTGTGCCACAGCTGACCTGGGAGTGTGGACACACAGTGTAGAGAGAGCTTTACTGTGTCTCTAACCCTGACCTGGGAGTGTGGACACACAGTGTAGAGGAGCGTTACTGTGTCTCTAACCCTGACCTGGGAGTGTGGACACACAGTGTAGAGGGAGCGTTACTGTGTCTCTAACCCTGACCTGGGAGTGTGGACACACAGTGTAGAGGAGCGTTACTGTGTCTCTAACCCTGACCTGGGAGTGTGGACACACAGTGTAGACAGAGCTTTACTGTGTCTCTAACCCTGACCTGGGAGTGTGGACGCACAGTGTAGAGGGAGCGTTACTGTGTCTTAACCCCTTGGGAGTGTGGACGCACAGTGTAGAGGGAGCGTTACTGTGTCTCTAACCCTGACCTGGGAGTGTGGACACACAGTGTAGAGGAGCTTTACTGTGTCTCTAACCCTGACCTGGGAGTGTGGACACACAGTGTAGAGGGAACTTTACTGTGTCTCTAACCCTGACCTGGGAGTGTGGACACACAGTGTAGAGGAGCGTTACTGTGTCTCTAACCCTGACCTGGGAGTGTGGACACACAGTGTAGAGGGAACTTTACTGTGTCTCTAACCCTGACCTGGGAGTGTGGACACACAGTGTGGAGGAGCGTTACTGTGTCTCTAACCCTGACCTGGGAGTGTGGACACACAGTGTAGAGGGAACTTTACTGTGTCTCTAACCCTGACCTGGGAGTGTGGACACACAGTGTAGAGGAGCGTTACTGTGTCTCTAACCCTGACCTGGGAGTGTGGACACACAGTGTAGAGGGAACTTTACTGTGTCTCTAACCCTGACCTGGGAGTGTGGACACACAGTGTGGAGGAGCGTTACTGTGTCTCTAACCCTGACCTGGGAGTGTGGACACACAGTGTAGAGGAGTTTTACACCCAATTTGTGAAAGTGGACAAATTAAACTTTCCTAACAGAAACATTGAGCAAGTTTCTTTACTCCACACACCTCTGTTTACCAACAGTAAGTAGGAACTTGGTTGTTAGTTGATTGGCGGATCGCTTTTCAGGGGTAATAATCCCTTTTTTTAAAAAAAATTTGGTCACTCAACCTACGACTGTTTGTGGGACGCTGCTGCTTTTCACCCACAAAATATAAAGTTAATCCACTTTACAGTGAGTACTGTGAAGCGCTTTGAGACATCTTAACTACATGATAAGGCGCTGTATCACATGCAAAGATTATTATCTCTGAGCAGATTCAACGCCTCACATCCTCAACTCATGAGATGAGGCAGCACTGTAATAGATGAGGTTCTATCGCTGTCTTGTGGCTATTACTGGGTACTCCAAGCATTTCCGAGGTATTCTGTCAATAGGAGATTACCAGCAGCTGGTGCTGGTTCACAGGAAATCCTCATTTAGTATTGCAATCCTGTAGGTAGTAACATCTACTGTGTCACCGACTAAATGAAGGTGGCAACAAACGCTCGTTGTTATTGTGTTTTTCAAGTGCTCTGAGACGCGACCCGATCATGCAAGGTGCTTATAAAGGTGCAAATTGTTGTTGTTTCCACGTGGAAATCACCAGAAATTTCTGGACAAACATTAATAATGGTGTAGGAGTAGGGCGAAACATTGGGCAAGTTCCTTACTTCACACGCCTGTTTACCCAGCAGTCAGCAGGAATTGGCTGCGAGTCGATTGACGGATCGCTTTTTTGGGATAATAAACCCTTTTTAAAAAAAATTGGTCACTCAACTGTTTGTAGGGACTACTGTGTGCACTGCTGTGTACAAGTTGCTGAGCGCAATTTAATGCCGTGTTTCTCCGACAAAACACACAGTCACTACGCTTTACAGACATCTCAAAGACGTGTTGAGACTCGAATGCAAGGAGTGGGGGGGCTGCGAGGGGGGGCTGCGAGGGGGGGCTGCGAGGGGGGGCTGTGGCTGGGGGCGGAGTTGGCGGCGAGGCTGGCTTTGGGGGCGGGGCTGTGGCTGGGGGCGGGGCTGTGGCCGGGGGCGGGGGCGGGGCTGTGGCTGGGGGCGGGGCTGTGGCTGGGGCGGGGGCGGGGCTGGGGGCGGGGCTGGGGCTGTGGCTGTGGGGGGCGGGGCTGTGGCTGTGGCCGGGGCGGGGCTGTGGCTGTGGCCGGGGCGGGGCTGTGGCTGGGGGCGGGGCTGGGGCTGTGGCTGTGGCTGGGGGCGGGGCTGTGGCTGTGGCCGGGGGCGGGGCTGTGGCCGGGGGCGGGGCTGTGGCCGGGGCGGGGCTGTGGCTGGGGCGGGGGCGGGGCTGTGGCTGGGGGCGGGGCTGTGGCCGGGGGCGGGGCTGTGGCTGGGGGCGGGGCTGTGGCCGGGGGCGGGGGCAGGGGCTGTGGCTGGGGGCGGGGCTGTGGCCGGGGGCGGGGCTGTGGCCGGGGGCGGGGCTGTGGCTGTGGCTGGGGGCGGGGCTGTGGCCGGGGGCGGGGCTGTGGCTGGGGGCGGGGCTGTGGCCGGGGGCGGGGCTGTGGCCGGGGCGGGGCTGTGGCCGGGGGCGGGGCTGTGGCTGGGGGCGGGGCTGTGGCCGGGGGCGGGGCTGTGGCTGTGGCTGGGGGCGGGGCTGTGGCCGGGGGCGGGGCTGTGGCTGGGGGCGGGGCTGTGGCCGGGGGCGGGGCTGTGGCTGTGGCTGGGGGCGGGGCTGTGGCCGGGGGCGGGGCTGTGGCTGGGGGCGGGGCTGTGGCCGGGGGCGGGGGCAGGGCTGTGGCTGGGGGCGGTGCTGTGGCGGGGGCGGGGCTGTGGCTGGGGGCGGGGCTGTGGCTGGGGGCGGGGCTGTGGCCGGGGGCGGGGCTGTGGCTGGGGGCGGGGCTGTAGCTGGGGGCGGGGCTGTGGCGGGGCGGGGCTGTGGCTGGGGGCGGGGCTGTGGCTGGGGGCGGGGCTGTGGCCGGGGGCGGGGCTGTGGCTGGGGGCGGGGCTGTGGCTGGGGGCGGGGCTGTGGCTGGGGGCGGGGCTGTGGCCGGGGGCGGGGCTGTCGCTGGGGGCGGGGCTGTGGCTGGGGGCGGGGCTGTGGCCGGGGGCGGGGCTGTGGCCGGGGGCGGGGCTGTGGCTGGGGGCGGGGCTGTGGCCGGGGGCGGGGCTGTGGCTGTGGCTGGGGGCGGGGCTGTGGCCGGGGGCGGGGCTGTGGCTGGGGGCGGGGCTGTGGCCGGGGGCGGGGCTGTGGCTGTGGCTGGGGGCGGGGCTGTGGCCGGGGGCGGGGCTGTGGCTGGGGGCGGGGCTGTGGCTGGGGGCGGGGCTGTGGCTGGGGCGGGGCTGTGGCTGGGGGCGGGGCTGTGGCTGGGGGCGGGGCTGTGGCCGGGGGCGGGGCTGTGGCTGGGGGCGGGGCTGTGGCCGGGGCGGGGCTGTGGCTGTGGCTGGGGGCGGGTGCTGTGGCCGGGGCGGGCTGTGGCTGGGGGCGGGGCTGTGGCTGGGGGCGGGGCTGTGGCCGGGGGCGGGGCTGTGGCTGGGGCGGGGCTGTAGCTGGGGGCGGGGCTGTGGCCGGGGGCGGGGCTGTGGCTGGGGGCGGGGCTGTGGCTGGGGGCGGGCTGTGGCCGGGGGCGGGGCTGTGGCTGGGGGCGGGGCTGTGGCTGGGGGCGGGGCTGTGGCTGGGGGCGGGGCTGTGGCCGGGGGCGGGGCTGTCGCTGGGGCGGGGCTGTGGCTGGGGGCGGGGCTGTGGCTGGGGGCGGGGCTGTGGCTGGGGGCGGGGCTGTGGCTGGGGGCGGGGCTGTGGCTGGGGGCGGAGCTGTAGCTGTGGCCGGGGGCGGGGCTGTAGCTGTGGCCGGGGGCGGGGCTGTAGCTGTGGCCGGGGGCGGGGCTGTAGCTGTGGCCGGGGCGGGCTGTGGCTGGGGGCGGGGCTGTGGCTGGGGGCGGGGCTGTGGCGGGGCTGTGGCTGTGGCCGGGGGCGGGGCTGTGGCTGGGGGCGGGGCTGTGGCTGGGGGCGGGGCTGTGGCCGGGGGCGGGGCTGTGGCTGGGGGCGGGGCTGTGGCCGGGGCGGGGCTGTGGCTGGGGGCGGGGCTGTGGCTGGGGGCGGGGCTGTGGCTGGGGGCGGGGCTGTGGCTGGGGGCGGGGCTGTGGCTGGGGGCGGGGCTGTGGCTGTGGCTGGGGGCGGGGCTGTGGCTGGGGGCGGGGCTGTGGCTGGGAGCGGGGCTGTGGATGGGGGCGGGGCTGTGGCTGGGGGCGGGGCTGTAGCTGGGGGCGGGGCTGTGGCCGGGGGCGAGGCTGTAGCTGGGGGCGGGGCTGTGGCTGGGGGCGGGGCTGTGGCTGGGGGCGGGGCTGTGGCTGGGGGCGGGGCTGTGGCCGGGGCGGGGCTGTGGCTGGGGGCGGGGCTGTGGCCGGGGGCGGGGCTGTGGCTGGGGGCGGGGCTGTGGCTGGGGGCGGGGCTGTGGCTGGGGGCGGGGCTGTGGCTGGGGGCGGGGGCGGGGCTGTGGCCGGGGGCGGGGCTGTAGCTGGGGGGGGGCTGTGGCTGGGGGCGGGGCTGTGGCCGGGGGCGGGGCTGTGGCTGGGGGCGGGGCTGTGGCTGGGGGCGGGGCTGTGGCTGGGGGCGGGGCTGTGGCTGGGGGCGGGGCTATGGCTGGGGGCGGGGGCGGGCTGTGGCCGGGGGCGGGGCTGTAGCTGGGGGCGGGGCTGTAGCTGGGGGCGGGGCTGTGGCTGGGGGCGGGGCTGTGGCCGGGGCGGGGCTGTGGCTGGGGCGGGGCTGTGGCTGGGGGCGGGGCTGTAGCTGGGGGCGGGCTGTAGCTGGGGCGGGGCTCTGGCCGGGGGCGGGGCTGTGGCTGGGGGCGGGGCTGTGGCTGGGGGCGGGGCTGTGGCTGGGGCGGGGCTGTGGCTGGGGGCGGGGCTGTGGCCGGGGGCGGGGCTGTGGCTGGGGGCGGGGCTGTGGCTGGGGGCGGGGCTGTGGCTGGGGGCTGTGGCTGTGGCCGGGGGCGGGGCTGTGGCTGGGGGCGGGGCTGTGGCTGGGGGCGGGGCTGTGGCTGGGGGCGGGGCTGTGGCCGGGGGCGGGGCTGTGGCTGGGGGCGGGGCTGTGGCCGTGGGCGGGGCTGTAGCTGGGGGCGGGCTGTAGCTGGGGGCGGGCTGTGGCTGGGGCGGGGCTGTGGCCGGGGGCGGGCTGTGGCTGGGGCGGGGCTGTAGCTGGGGGCGGGGCTGTAGCTGGGGGCGGGGCTGTAGCTGGGGGCGGGGCTGTGGCTGGGGGCGGGGCTGTGGCTGGGTGCGGGGGCGGGGCTGTGGCTGGGGGCGGGGCTGTGGCTGGGGGCGGGGCTGTGGCTGGGGGCGGGGGCGGGGCTGTGGCCGGGGGCGGGGCTGTAGCTGGGGGCGGGGCTGTGGCTGGGGCGGGGCTGTAGCTGGGGGCGGGGCTGTGGCCGGGGCGGGGGCAGGGCTGTAGCTGGGGGCGGGGCTGTGGCTGGGGGCGGGGCTGTGGCTGGGGCGGGGCTGTGGCCGGGGGCGGGGCTGTAGCTGGGGGCGGGGCTGTGGCTGGGGGCGGGGCTGTGGCTGGGGGCGGGGCTGTGGCTGGGGGGCGGGCTGTGGCTGGGGGCGGGGCTGTGGCTGGGGGCGGGGGCTGTAGCTGGGGGCGGGGGCGGGGCTGTGGCTGGCGGCGGGGCTGTGGCTGGGGGCGGGGCTGTGGCCGGGGGCGGGGCTGTAGCTGGGGGCGGGGCTGTGGCTGGGGGCGGGGGCGGGGCTGTGGCTGGGGGCGGGGCTGTAGCTGGGGGCGGGGCTGTGGCTGGGGGCGGGGCTGTAGCTGGGGGCGGGGCGGGGCTGTGGCTGGGGGCGGGGCTGTGGCTGGGGGCGGGGGCGGGGCTGTGGCTGGGGGCGGGGCTGTAGCTGGGGGCGGGGCTGTGGCTGGGGGCGGGGGCGGGGCTGTGGCTGGGGGCGGGGCTGTAGCTGGGGGCGGGGCTGTGGCTGGGGGCGGGGCTGTAGCTGGGGGCGGGGGCGGGGCTGTGGCTGGGGGCGGGGCTGTAGCTGGGGGCGGGGGCGGGGCTGTAGCTGGGGCGGGGCTGTGGCTGGGGGCGGGGCTGTGGCTGGGGGCGGGGCTGTGGCTGGGGGCGGGCTGTGGCTGGGGGCGGGGCTGTGGCTGTGGCTGGGGCGGGGCTGTGGCTGGGGGCGGGGCTGTGGCTGTGGCTGGGGGCGGGGCTGTGGCTGGGGGCGGGGCTGTGGCTGTGGCTGGGGGCGGGGCTGTGGCTGTGGCTGGGGGAGGGGCTGTGGCTGTGGGGGCGGGGCTGTGGCTGTGGGGGCGGGGCTGTGGCTGTGGCTGGGGGCGGGGCTGTGGCCGGGGCGGGGCTGTAGCTGGGGGCGGGGCTGTGGCTGGGGGCGGGGGCGGGGCTGTGGCTGGGGCGGGGCTGTGGCTGGGGGCGGGGCTGTAGCTGGGGCGGGGCTGTGGCTGGGGGCGGGGGCGGGGCTGTGGCTGGGGGCGGGGCTGTGGCTGGGGGCGGGGCTGTGGCTGTGGCTGGGGGCGGGGCTGTGGCTGGGGGCGGGGCTGTGGCTGGGGGCGGGGCTGTGGCTGTGGCTGGGGGCGGGGCTGTGGCTGGGGCGGGGCTGTAGCTGGGGGCGATGGCGGGGTTGGAGCTCCTGTACTGCTCTGTGAGTCGGGATGTGGTGTCCGCGGGGGACGCGCTGGTGTGCTTTGTGCACTGGGAGCTGGTCCAGGCCGGCTTCAGGTGTCTGGGCGGCGGGGACCAGGTGAGGCCGCGGCTCGGTTGTGTTATGTTGTTAGGCCTCAATGACTCGGCGCCGAGCGACAGGCGGAGCAGCGCCTGGTGTGGGCCTCCTCCGCCTGTGTGGGGGTGTGTGTGTGAGTGGGTGGGTGTGTGTCAGCCGGTGTGTGTGTGTGTGTATCAACCTGTGTGTGTGTGTGTGTGAGTGTGTGTGTGTGAGTGTGTGTGTGTGGGTGGGTGTGTGTGAGTGGGTGTGTGTGAGTGGGTGTGGGTGGGTGTGTGTGTGAGTGTGTGTGTGTGGGTGGGTGGGTGTGTGTGTGTGGGTGGGTGGGTGTGTGTGAGTGGGTGGGTGGGTGTGTGTGAGTGGGTGTGAGTGGGTGTGAGTGGGTGGGTGTGTGTGTGTGGGTGGGTGTGTGTGTGTGGGTGGGTGTGTGTGAGTGGGTGTGTGTGAGTGGGTGTGTGTGAGTGGGTGTGGGTGGGTGGGTGTGTGTGTGTGTGTGGGTGGGTGTGTGTGTATGGGTGTGTGTGTGTGGGTGGGTGGGTGTGTGTGTGTGGGTGGGTGGGTGTGTGTGAGTGGGTGTGTGGGTGTGTGTGAGTGGGTGTGAGTGGGTGTGAGTGGGTGTGTGTGTGGGTGTGGGTGGGTGGGTGGGTGTGAGTGGGTGGGTGGGGTGTGAGTGGGTGGGTGGGTGTGAGTGGGTGGGTGGGTGTGAGTGGGTGGGTGGGTGGGTGTGGGTGAGTGGGTGGGTGTGGGTGTGTGTGTGTGAGTGGGTGTGTGTGTGTGAGTGGGTGTGTGTGTGTGAGTGGGTGTGTGTGGGTGGGTGTGTGTGTGTGGGTGGGTGTGTGTGGGTGGGTGTGTATGGGTGGGTGGGTGGGTGTCAGCCTGTGTGTGTGTGTCAACTTGTGTGTGTGTGTCAACGTGTGTGTGTGTGTGTCAACCTGTGTTAGTGTGGGTGGGTGTCAGTCTGTGTGTGTGTGTGTGTCAGCCCCTGTGTGTGTGTGTGGGTGGGTGTCCCCTCTCCCCTCTTGAGTCAGAAGGGACTTGGAATCACATTGTCTAAGCTGATGCTCCAGTCCAGCGCTGGGGGGGTGTTACTTCTAATGAGACATTAAACTGAGAATCCGACTTTCTGTTTAAGCTGACGTTAAAGATCCAGCGGCACTATTCGAAAAGAGAAGGGAGTTTATCTCTCGCGATGTCCTGACCAACAATTCCCCAAATAAAATCTCTCACTCACTCCATGGCTATTTGTGGGAAGTTGCTGTGTACAAATTGGCTGCCGTATTTCGCCCATAAAACACAGTTCAATTCGCTATCATGTAAAGCACTTTGAGATGTCTTAATAACATGATAAGGCGCTATATCAAATGCAAGGATTATTATTATTGTTACTTTCCCGATGGATTAATTCACGTCACGTCCCCAGTGACATTTCCAAATGGAGACGTTGGTAGTTTGAGATTGAAGTAAACAGATGGAAGCAAATGACAGCTCAGATGCTGGTATCACTGAGGAAGATGCACAAGGAGTTTGGTTTGATGGTGCTCCAAGATGCAGTCCTATTGAAGGGCGTTAATACTGTGTCTGCATCTCTCTGTAGCCAGGAGCCGTTGAGGAGAAGAAGAAGGAGCTGCTCCCTGCTGGCTGGAATGCCAATCAGGAAGTGTACACACTCCGCTATCAGTCCAATGACAACCAGAAAGACCTGCTGTTAAAGGCTGTGAAGGTGGACTCCAGTCTTCTCATTAATGTCATGGTAAGTCTGAGTCACATTGTGTGTTCAGGCATGATCTGAGGTGTCATGTCAGCATTGCCCATCCGTAGGATAGCAGTTTGGAGCACTGCAGAGATGCACAAGGAGTTTGGTTTGATGGTGCTCCAAGATGCAGTCCTATTGAAGGGCGCTGTATAATTGCCAAATGTTGTTCAGGTGGAGGCCAAAGCGATGAGGCTGCAAGTAGGGGAAAGAGAGTGTGTGCTGACTAACTCAGGAGGACAATCTCTTGAGTGGAGGTTTGCTCTAGTCGCCAAACTAAACCCCACAGAAATGTTGGAAACAAACCTGGTTCTTTCTTTGCAGAATCCTCACTTTGAACAGGTTGTGGATCTGACGGTGAATCTAGGTGATTTTATCAGAGAGGAGCACCTGCATGAGTTTGACAGGTAAAAAGATGCCAGTTTCTGCTGATAGGGCTACCTCCCCATTGGGTGCAGAAATTGGGTTGGGAATCGATCAGGGCTCTGAGAAGACCGAGGATATTATAATCACATAGAAATATCCAGAACTTGGTGTCAGTATTGATTATGTCGTAAGCAGCTGCTGCTGAAGCCTCACACTCTAACTGTCAGCAGCGCTCAGGGCGCAGGTATGCAAGTGCCTGTGCACGTGCCTGTGCGCATGCCGAGCTGTGGACAGGAGGACAGTAACTCTGGTTTATGTTTGAAAATCCAGCAATAACCCAAAGCACCCACTGGGGTAGCCAAGGCTTTAGTTTGGTTGCTCATAAACATGGTGATGGGTACCTTGTGTGCCAGATACTGGCTAACCCCACACACAACTGCTGCCAGGGCTGGGGTTATATATAAGAAGTAGGTGCTCCCAGCGCCAGGAAGCTGCCTTGTGTGAATGTTTTGATCCTGCTGAATGACTTCCTCAAGCTGAAATCTCATCTGCAGGCACAAAAAAATTGGTGTTAGGAATAAGGACAGACACAGCAGTTTGCCGTGCTCCTCATCTACATATTTGCGATCGCTGTTTGCTGACTGGTCAGTCGCTGCCCTGTGTCTCAGACCTGGGCTCTGGTCTGTGTCGCTAACTCCACACCTGCTGAGTTTCAGTGTCCCTAATGTGCTGTTTTCTTCACAGAGTCTTTAAGAATGAAGGGCAACTCCGAGCCCGCATTGAATCGGGGATAATTGTCCCGCTTGTCGGCGGCACAAATCCAAAGAGTAAAGAAGGGACGCAGAAAGGAACAAAACCCTCCACATCCCACCCAAACACAAACCCTCTGTACGTGCGGCCGCGACTCCCGCAGGGACAGCCACAGTGGTGAGGGAATACACAGGAAAGGGATTATTGTGCAGTTACTATTTGATTATCACAATGACAATACACCAGGTTGCAACATGTTGTATTTTGCTCATTCAGGGGTCAAGGCTGAGCTGAAATGATGTTGTTATTCAGGGTTCGAAAAGGGCGAATGAGACAGATTGTCATAAAGAAAAGTGTTGTGTATTGTGAAACTGTAATGTGCTTTTTTAAATTTTTTTAAGCAGAATGGATGTTCCAAAATGCTTAAAAACTGTCTAGTTCTGTACCTTAATGGTTAGAGCACTCGCCTCACAAGCGAAAGGACCTGCGTTGTTGGGCAAGTTTCTTTATTCCACACGCCTCTGTTACTTAGCAGTAAGTAGGAACCTGGTTGTTAGTCGACTGGCAGATTGTTTATCCAGGGGTAATAATCCCTTTTTAAAAAAATAACAGTATTATATATACTGTTTATAGATATATACTGTAATGTCAAATGTTCCAGAGTTGCTATTTCTCAAATGCAGAATCCTTGTCGTTTCTGAATAGAGGGGAGGAGAGGGCGGGTGGGGAGGGGGGCAGGACAGGGAGGGGGAGGAGAGAAAAGTAAGGGGAGGGAGGTGGAGGTCGTCCCTGTATCCTGAGCGGTTCCAGTTTGGGAAGATTTTTAACTGAATGTGCCTTACTGGTATTGATGTATCTGTGTGCACTGTGTGTTGACTGTGTGTTCAATCAGCCAGTGTGGTTGGCCTGTGTGCTCAGCTTCCAGCACGACAGTGAGGTTTGGCTTGGATTTCAGTTACGCCTTTGACTTTTATGAAGATCAGGGATGCCTTTGGTGTCTCTGAATATTCATTGCAATAAAATACAGGTGAACATTCTGTGTCAGACTGTGCATTTACTTCAAACCAAAGAGTGCCAAGCAGGAGCTGTGTGTAGCTGAGACTGAAGCACAGTATACGTGTCGCACAGGCGGGGTGTGTAGTAAACACTAATCAAAGATACTTTTTCCAGGACTGACCCGATGTTACCCTTTGCAACAGGAGGTGAAGATCTGGATCCCTTCGGGTAAGCCCTCACTTACTCATTCACGTCAGCCACTGAGCAGGGCTATAAACACAGCTGGAAATGGTGACAATCTCTGCCTTGTTTTGTGCAGCTCATTAATTATCTCTGTCTGTTCACCAGTAATAGACGAGGAGGGATGATTGTTGATCCTTTACGATCTGGATTCCCAAGGCTGGGCTTTGATCCATCAGCAGGAATCCCGGGACAACTTCCTCCAGGATCTGTTCCACCCGGAGCAAGATTTGATCCATTTGGACCAGTGGAACCGGACCGCAGTAGGTATGTGGACTGCTTTCCTGCCTTCCTTCCTTCCAGGTCGTGTGAATGGTCAACAGCTGGGTCACCAGTGGCACAAATGTTTGGACTGAGGTGCACCATATTCTGTTCTATTCCTCTTATTATACTCTATCACTGTCACTGGTTGTTTTTATGACCCACAAGGTGGCCTGGAGTTGATGAAGCTGGACTGTAGATATGGGCATCGAGATATGGGGCAATGGTGGGTAATTGGAATTGAGGTACAGGTCTCCTCCTGTTCCTATGCTCCTCTGATTGCTGAATGTTTTCTCTTATTTCAGGCCAGACCCAGATCATCTCCCTCCCCCCGGATACGACGACTTGTTTATGTGATTTTTCTTGAACAAAATGTTGATTGTAAAACTGCATCGTGCTTTCCTCCAGCCCTGCCCGATGCCTAATGTATGTGGCCTTCACTTTTCTGATCTAATGGAACATTTATAATTCTTATTGTTTAGTTTATCCTGTGAAGCACTTTGAGATGCCTGAACAATGTAATAAGGCGCTATAACAAATTCAGATTATTATTATCTTGCAGAATTTGATGGCTCACTGCAATGTCCGAGGGAGAAAGAAATGTTTATTAACTGATAAATTAAAATCTTAAAATGTTGTTACTTACAACATCTTACAACTATCAGAATTTACTGTAAGTGTTGAAAACTTTTAGGGCTAGTTAGAGACAAGAGACAGACAGACGCAGGCAGAGCGACGCAGACAGGCAGAGTGGCGCAGCCAGACAGACAAAATGACACAGACAAAGCAAAGCAGACAGACAGACAGAGTGACAGAGCAATGCAGACAGAGACAGACTGATGCTTGAAATTGTTGGTCGGAGATGCCCAGGAGATTGAACAATACTATGTGCAGAAAGCAACTGAATTTGGGGATTAATATTCTTAAATGTAATTAAAAATAAAATCTTCACTCTGTGTCCAACAAGTTTTACCTCAAAGTTCAGTCAGGCTAGCAGATTCAGCTCTGGTATCTTTATTATCTGAAAATCAGAGGCACATCAAACACTGAATAACAACATTGGTAGTTTAAAAAGTGATCACACCAAGAAAAACTCACCAAATATATTGATAAACTTCAAAACATTCCCATCGACAACTCGAGCATCACAATCAAGACTTAAATACACATTTATAACTCAGAATATTCTTTCAAAACTTGTTACCAGTAGTGAACACACAAACCATACACTTTGCAAGTACATCGACAGCAGGAATATTACAGCTTTTAAAAAAAGTAAAAAAAATCAGTCTCCTTATCAGGTAACAGTCTGTTTTGAAGCCCTATGATATATCCCAGTGGGTTACAAGTGACATTTGGTATTCTGACTATTGGTTGTACAGTGGGATTCACCTAAATTCATCTTTAATCATTTTACTTGGATTTTTAAAAGTTTATTGAATAATAATGTTTACATCTTTGCCTTTCAACATATTTCCACCTTATGGCATCATACATCTGACTTTGAAAAACAGCACAATTTCCACTTCGCTAGCGACAGCAGCTAAGGCTTCAATGTAGATCGTCTTAAAATAAAAATTCTCCTCTCCTGGAGGTACGAGGGCCCCTGCAGCATCACCTGGTCACTCTGCCTGTGTGAGTCATAACAGTGTGTCTGCACATTGTTATATTCATCACCTTGTACACACCAATGACCACAGTTAAAGAGAACTAAACAATCCTACCTTGCTCTCTCTAACACCCCTCAGACAAATACTTTGAAAGGTAAAGTTGCTAATCTATATTGTAATAAATGTATGTGTTGACAGGGGTCAGTGGATATAGATCTGGTGAATGTTCCTCTCAGCAGAGAGCAGCAAAAGGCAGGGATTAAAGTCAATGCTAAGACTCCCTTACCTGTGACTCATTAACATGTCAGGGCATCAACTTACATCACACTCTCTGACAAGCCTAAAAATAGTGCAGAACATTTATTTATATGTAATTTGTAGCTGTACAGAGGTAAGATTTCAAATAGTCTTTTAACTCTACCTTTTATTGAAACCATTTAAACCACTGTGTGTAGTCATTAAATAATTGTAACCTTAAACATTTCCAATCCCTCCACGTTGGCCCAAGTCGCCTCCTGCTCTGACATCAACGCCATCTGAGGCATAGGGATTGGCTCCTTGGTCTGGGCTCAGCCCTATCAAGGCCAATAGATTTCTTCAGGTGTGCAGTGAGAAACATTGTAAACCCTTTTCATTCATTGCATAAAATGTTTTTGTCTTATGTTTGGTTTAAGTAATGTAATAATCCCTGCTGTCTCTAGTTACCAAACATGACACAAGCCATTTGGTAAATTGTGCATTTGTGTGCTGCAGTGCTCAGCAGGAGGCTGTCCACCCAGGGAGGGCACATTACCAACTAGTGACCATCCTCCTAGTGGGAGTGAAGCAAAGTCTCTTGTCTCCGGAGGATTGATGTCTCCAATTTTTATCCTTCTGTGAAGAGCACTAATTAAATGTAAGGTGTTGGCTCCTTGGAGCTGAGCTGGCTTCAGGGTGACGTGTTTGATAATGGAATGTTGGAATTCAGTCTGTGATGGTCTCAGTGTGTCTGGATCCTGAGACACGTGCCACTGCTGATGACAGACCTGGGTACAAAAGGCCATGGAGTCACTGAAGCCGGAATTCCTAACGCTAGGTTTCCATTCCAGACATAGAGAAATGTCCGTGTGAAGGTGGATACATATATGGAACTCCTAGTTTGTGTTTGGATACTCTTAAGCAAAGGGATTTTTTTTTCATGTGTCAGACACCCGGCTGAATTCCCCTACCTATGATTTGTTTCAGAAAGAGACAATCCCAGGATTGATGTAGTGAGTAACAGTCATGGAAAGTGCGGAACTGGCGACAGCAGTGTAACAGCACGCGGGTTGCTGATGATAATTATAATAATAATCCTTGCATTTGATGAGGCGCCTTATATCTTTGAGGCATCTCAAAGCGCTTCACAGAATATACTGTAAAGTGAATTGACTATTTTGTGGGAGAAATGCGGCAGCCAATTGCGCACAGCAGTGTCCCACAAACAGTCGTAGATTCAGTGACCACATTATTATAATATATTGTTTTGAAACGCGCAGGGTGTTTCCTGAGCTGCTGGGATGTGTAAGGCGCTACACATGTGTTGTTGTTGTTGCTTACTCAGAGCCGGCTGCTGGCACTGGGGTGACCTCACATTCCACCAGGCCCTGGCGCGCCTCCCCGTCCATTGGCCTCATTCGCAGGTTTATGGATCCGTAGGTCTTTCTGGCTCGGCCAGTGATGGTGAATGTCTTGGTGTAGAGTTGGCCTTTACAGATGGAGACCATGAGCAGCAGGGAGAGCAGCATTCCTCCCAGTGTGAGCAGCCCCAGGCCCGCAATGATACACCTGTCCAGGTGCCAGCCCAACCACGCGTATCGCTGCTCCAGCTTCTCCATCTGCCGAGCGCTCACCACATCTGGCTCCAGTTTGGGTTCCCGGGGGATGGCGTAGGCCACGATCACCAGGACCATTCCGCTCACTAGCAACACTAAAGCCACAATAAAGCCATAATCCACAGGCTGGGCTCTGGGCTCTGCTGCCCGCTCCTCTTCTGACCCTGGTGACAAGTGTTCGGTGATGGCCACTCGGCAGGGCTGTGAGCCCAAGGCCTGAGCTGCCGGCAAAGCGCAGTCTGTGCTCACGCTGCTCAAGAGGTTAATGCTGAGGCTCTCAGTGCGGTGGCTGAAGGATGTCTCCTGCTCCCCGGAGCCTGGCCTCTCAGTGCCTGTCACTGGCACACGGTAACTGCATTCAGCAGATTCCATTGGAAGGTGGTTGTCGTGAACATCCCAGCACCAGTCTGCGTCGCCTCCACAGCCCTGTAACCAGAGTGAAGCAATAAAAACGAGGGTCGGGAGAGGAGCCAGGAATCAGACCCTAACATGTTTTAACGTTTAAACATAACAACTTGCATTTATATAGTGCCCTTCATGTAGGGTAGCATCTCAAAGCGCTTAAATACCCCAAAAGGTTCATTTAATTTGGTCCCTTAATCCATGACTGTTTGTGGGACACGGCTGGCACAAGTGGCTGCCGTGTTTTGCCCACAAAATATACAGTCAATTCACTACAGTATATCTTGTGAAGTGCTTGAGAATCTCGAAGATATGATAAGGCCCTATATCAAATGCAAGGATTATTATTATTATTAAATACGCAAAAGATGGTGGGAATCATAGGGGTGGAGGTGCTCCATTGGCAGGTAATTGAACACAAACTGACGATGGACATTTGTTCACTATCAGCTTCCTTACAAGTGGAGATTGTATTGGATTCCAACACAAACTGTGCTTTGACCAGGTGCACAGGTCGTTGTTAGATTGTCTGTTGCCGCATGAACTCAGCATTGTTGCTTAGTAACACATAAGCTGGGTCTCCTTGGAGCTGAACATGTCTGGTGAATGTCTGGTTCCTGAGCCAGGTGGGTCTGCAGTATTCCGGGCATTGCTGATGACAGCTCAGTCAGCCTGGCTCATCGACAGGACCTGGAAGCGCAGACCACTTACTAGAGGCAGGGAGTCATCTCACTCAACTGTTAACCCTGCAGCCAAAGCCCTAACGGGGAGGGTGGTCTTAATTGGACAAGCAATGGGAAAGCTTGTAGTCAGCAAAATCAGTGGCAAACTGTGCAGTTTTAGCTGGTTAAGACTCCAGCTGTTACCCCAACACAGACTCTGGGGTCCTCAGGCCTTGGCTCTTCCCAACCTTTGCCTAATACTCTCTGCAATTAGAAAAGCAGGATGCGTTACTCCAGGGAGAGAGTGCATTCCATTCCAACAATCTATCTCTGGGCTGCGTGGCAATCTCAGCTTGGTTTACAGACTCTCCAGCAGGTGATGGGTTTCCACGTGGGTCAGATACCCGCTCGACAGCATTTTTTTCTCCACTTTCAGTGACTCCAGTAAATGTCACAGACATGATTGCAGTAAACATCACACAACTTTTATTGCGACTGTGAAGCTTTCTGGCGGGTGCTTAGCCTGTGCTGGGCCGGGGGCACTCGCTCCACAGTCGCTACATGTATTCCCCCCCACCCCGTGGATCACAAAGCGATTCCCAGGAGTTGGGAAGCAATGCTGGTCCGGATTGGACATTTACATTCTCATGTTTAAAGGCATTTTTAGGGTTACACGAAACCACAAATCCATTCAGGGCTTTACATCTGAGAGGGGGTGTGACCTTGACAGCAATGATCAGCGGATGTCCCAGTACCCCTCACTCCTCACACACACATCACCCCCATCCACACACCCTTCATGCACATACACCCTCACACACCCTCACACAAACGCTCCTCACCCACACTCCCCACATACCCTACACCCATAAACACACTCTCATCCACACACCCCTACTCTCACATACCTCCCCTCACCCACACATCCTTCACCCCCCACCCCCACATCCTTCACTCCACACATCCTTCACCCCCCACATCCTTCACCCCCCACATCCTTCACTCCACACATCCTTCACCCCCCACATCCTTCACCCCCCACATCCTTCACCCCCCACATCCTTCACTCCACACATCCTTCACCCCCCACATCCTTCACGCCACACATCTTTCACCCCCACATCCTTCACCCCCCACCCCCACATCCTTCACGCCACACATCCTTCACCCCCACATCCTTCACCCCCCACATCCTTCACCCCCACATCCTTCACTCCCACATCCTTCACCCCCACATCCTTCACCTCCCACATCCTTCACCCCCCACATCCTTCACCTCCCACATCCTTCACCCCCCACATCCTTCACCCCCCACATCCTTCACCCCCACATCCTTCACCCCCCACCCACACATCCTTCACCCCCACATCCTTCACTCCACACATCCTTCACCCCCCACATCCTTCACTCCACACATCCTTCACCCCCCACCCACACATCCTTCACCCCCACATCCTTCACCCCCACCCCCACATCCTTCACGCCACACATCCTTCACCCCCACATCCTTCACCCCCCACATCCTTCACTCCACACATCCTTCACCCCCCACATCCTTCACCCCCACATCCTTCACCCCCCACATCCTTCACTCCACACATCCTTCACTCCCACATCCTTCACCCCCACATCCTTCACCCCCACATCCTTCACCCCCCACCCACACTCACGGCTGTGATGCAGAAGCGGGAGGTGATGAACGCTGTGACAGCCCTTTGCGGAGCTGAGGCCGGAGCCCCACTGTGGGTTACAGTCTCCTCCACTCCACCGTTTGTATCCAAAGTCTCAGTTATTGAGAATATAACCCCAACACTGACCTCTGTCACAGACACTGCGGTGCGGAGAGCTCCGGCCCGCGGGCCTGACTTCCAATGTCGCAATCGGGGGAGAGACGAAGATTAAATGGTGATTCTGATTCCGGTCACAGCGGCGACTCCTCACAGTCACAGCGGTTATTCCCTCAGTCGGCGCTGTGGATATTGACATAGAATCAGTCCCCGCACTCAGCAGTGCTCCGCCGTGTGATGAGCATCGCACAGACACACACACAGACAGACACACAGACACACATACAGACAGACACACAGACACACACACACAGAGACACACACACATACACACAGGCACACACACAGACACACACAGACACAGGCACACACACAGACACACACACACACACAGACATACACAGACATACACACAAACAGGCACACACACAGACAGACACACAGACACACACACAGACAGACACACACACACACAGAGACACACAGACACACACACACAGACAGACACACACACACACAGACATACACACAAACAGACACACACACAGACACACACAGACAGACACACACACACAGGCACACACACAGACACACACACACAGAGACACACACAGACACACACACACAGACACACACACATAGACATACACACAAACAGGCACACACACGAGCCGTGTCATCGCGACAAGATCCGTCACTCTCCCGAGCAACCAATAAATAAATAAACCGGTTATTTTTGTTCTGGAATCTAAATTTTATTATTCCTGAACCCTCCTGTCCTGTATCATAGGGAACAGGAGGACATCATTCAGCCCCACATCCGATGTATTAGATCTCCTAATCCAATTTCTCCAGTCTTTATCCCCTAATAATAATAATTATCCCCTAATAATAATAATCCTTGCAAGTATCTTATCAGATCTTAGAGACATCTCAAAGCACTTCACAGAATATAGTAAAGTGAATTGACCGTATATTTGTGGGCAAAACACGGCAGCCAATTGTGCACAGCAGCGTCCCACAAACAAATGTGTTTGTGGAGTCCTGTAGCTCAGTGGTTAGAGCACTCGCTTTGCAAGTGAGAGACCTGTGTTCAATTCCAGGCAGAGGGCGAAACCTTGGGCAAGTTTCCTTACTCCACACAGAGCCTAATAATAATCCCTCCAAAACCAAAAACAATAATAAATTGGTCATTTTCAATCTACGACTGTTTGTGGGACATTGCTGTGCGCAATTGGCTGCCGCGTTCTCCCACAAATATACAGTCAATTCACTTTACAGTGTGTTCTGTGAAGCGCTTTGGGACGTCCTCCTGACGTGAAAAGCGCTATATCAAATGCAAGGATTATTATTATTATTATTGAGTGACCAAATTATTTTATTTTTTGCCACAAGGAGGCCATTCAACCCATTGTGTATGTACAGGAATAAGAGGGAATCTGATTGCGGTCTTGAATTCAAGATCCTCATCCTCACCTACAAGGCCATTCACGGCCTCGCTCCCTCCTACCACTCTGACCTACTATCCCCCTACTTACCTGCCCGTACCCTCCGTTCGTCCGGCTCCGGTCTGCTCCACATCCCCCGCCCCAACCGCCCTACCATCGGTGGCCTTCAGCCTCTCAGCCCCGAGGCTCTGGAACTCCATCCCCAGTGCCTTCGCCGCTTCCTCCCTTTCCTCCTTCAAGGCCGGTCTCAAGCTTTCTGAAAAGCTTAAAGGCTATAAAAAGATTGGTGACATGGGACTATAAACAAATCATGTTATTATATGCATTCAGGAACATCCTGTAACCATTTAAAACAAATGCGTTTTAAGTTTTGCAGAAGCCATTCCAAGAATTGGCTGGAATCAGCCCAGTGTGCGTGTGTGGCCACTTTTCCTTTTACACTTAAAAGGAAAGATACAGATTCACATAGAGGTGGTGTGTAACCAGCACTGTTCTGTTTTTATCCACGAATTTAGTGCAGACTTTCAGAACATATAAGGAGTTGGGGTGTGAATAGTGGCGGCAGCAGCTCGGGTGAGTGAAGCAGTCCTTGTTTCTGAGCCCCCCCCACCCCCACCTCCCCGGGGCAGAGCCCCCCCACCCCCACCTCCCCGGGGCAGAGCCCCCCCACCCCCACCTCCCCGGGGCAGAGCCCCCCCACCCCCACCTCCCCGGGGCAGAGCCCCCCCACGTCCCCCCGGGGCACACCCCCCCCACCCCCACCTCCCGGGGGCAGAGCCCCCCCACCCCCACCTCCCGGGGGCAGAGCCCCACCTCCCCGGGGCAGAGCCCGCCACCCCACCTCCCCGCCCCCCCACCCCCACCTCCCGGGGGCAGAGCCTCCCACCCCCACCTCCCCGGGGCAGAGCCCCCCACCCCACCTCCCCGGGGCAGAGCCCCCCCACGTCCCCCGGGGCACACCCCCCCACCCGCACCTCCCCGGGGCAGAACCCCCCACCCCACCTCCCCGGGGCAGACCCCCCCCACCCCCACCTCCCGGGGCAGACCCCCCCACCTCCCCGGGGCAGAGCCCCCCCACCCCCACCTCCCCCCGGGGCAGAGCCCCCCCACCCCCACCTCCCCCGGGGCAGACCCCCCCACCCCCACCTCCCCGGGGCAGAGCCCCCCCATCCCCACCTCCCCCCGGGGCAGAGCCCCCCCACCCCCACCGGGGGCAGACCCGCCGCCCCCCCCAGGCCCCCCCCCCCCCCCCAGGCCGGGACAGGGAAATGGCAGCGGAGGACTCGGACATGGACTTGTTGTTGAGAAGACCGGAGGACGTGACCTCCAGACCGGCACAGCTCACCGGGAGCGCGGCGGCTCGGGTCTGTAGGAGGCTCTTTAGTCCTGATCCCGGGTCCACCGCACGGGAACTGGAGAACGCGCTGCTCCGCCTCAGCCACGAACTGGTGAGTTTCACTGACTCCCGTCAGAATATATCCCGGGATTTGGGCACAGGGTGAGGTTCAGGACAAACAGTAATAGCTTCTTGTGGCCAGAAGTGAGATGGGCTGCGGTTGTCCAGGTCAGTGGTGGCCCTTTTTGGTTGGCCAAAAAAACAAAAGTTTGTATAATAATAATGCAATAATCCTTGCATTTGATATAGCGTCTTATCTGGTCTTCGGGATGCCTCAAAACGCTTCTCAGAATATACTGTAAAGTGTAATGACTGTGTACTTTGTGGGCAACATGCAGCAGCCAATTGCGCACAGAAGCGTCCCGCAATTCATGCACACAGTCTTGCTTATAATGAAGGTACTGAACATTACCCATGTAACCACAGATTCCAAGATGCACACTGGCATTCCCCGATAGTTGGCAAAACGCAATACCATCAGCATAAGAACATAAGAACATAAGAATTAGGAGCAGGAGTCGGCCATTCGGCCACTCGAGCCCTGCCCCGCCATTCGATAAGATCATGGCTGATCTTCTGACCTAACTCTAATTACCTGCCCTCTCCCCATATCCCCTAATCCCTCTCTCAGTCTCAGCCTTGAAGATGTTCAAGGACTGAGCATCTACAGCTCTTCTGGGGTAGTGAATTCCATAAATTCACTGCCCTCTGAGTGAACAAATGTTTCCTCAACTCTGTTCTAAAAGGCTGACCCTTAATTTTCAGACTGTGACCCCTGGTTATAGATTCTCCTCCCGGGGAAACAGACCCTCAGTGTCTACTTTATCAGCCCTTTCAGATTCTTATATGTTTCAATAAGATCCCCCCTAATTCTTCTGTACTCTTGAGAATACAGCCCCAGTTTATTCAGCCTATCCTCATAGGTCAGTCCCCTCATCCCAGGCACTAACCGAGTGAATCTACGCTGCACCCCCTCGAGGGCAAGTATGTCTTTTTAAATAAGGACCAAAACTGCACACAATATTCCAGGTGCGGTCTCACCAAGGCCCTATATATACAGTTGCAGCAAGACTTCCCTACTCCTGTACTCTAAACCTTTAGCAATGAACACTAACTGCCGTTCGCCTTCTTAGTTGCTGCTGCACCTGCAAACTAACGTTTTGAGACTGGTGTACAAGGACACCCTCTGCACACTAACACTATCTAATCTCTCCCCCTCTAGAAAATAATCTGTTTTTCTATTTTTTCTACCTTGGTGAATAACTTCACACTCCCCCACATTAAATTCCATCTGCCACCTACTCGCCCACTCCCCTCGCCCACCTATATCCCGTTGCAATCTTTTTGCATCATCCTCAGAGCTTACTCTCCCACCGAGTTTAGTGTCATCCGCGAATTTAGATACGTTACATTCAATGTCCTCGTCGAGATCATTGATGTAAATTGTAAATAGCTGAGGCCCAGCACTGATCCTTGTGGCACTCCATTAGTCACATCCTGCCAATTCGAGAATGACCCGTTTATCCCTACTCTCTGTTTTCTACCCGTTAGTCCCTCTTCAATCCATGCTAATACGTTCCCATTAATCCCGTGGGCCTTAACCTTGTGCAATAGCCTTTTGTGTGGCACTTTCTCAAATGCCTTTTTAAAATCTAAATATACTACATCTGCTGGTTCCCCCCTCTCTAACCTGTAGATACATCTTCAAAAAACTCTAAAAGGTTAGTTAAGCATGACTTCCCTTTTGTAAAGCCATGTTGACTCTGTCTAATCTTGTTATGGTCTTCCAGGAATCCCATAATGACATCTTTAATTAAGGACTCCAGAATTTTCCCAACCACTGAAGTCAGACTAACTGGTCTATAGTTCCCAATCTTTTCTCTCCCACACTTCTTAAATAGTGGTGTCACGTTTGCAATCTTGTGAGTTGTGAATTGAGTGACCAAATTATTCTTTTTACAATTTTTTTTTGAAGGGATTATTACCCTCAGAAAAGCGATCCACCAATTGACTAATGACCGGGTTCCTACTTACTGCCGGGTAATCAGAGGTGTGTGGAGTTCTTGATTGAATGTTTCTTGATTTTTGGCATAAATGTGTTATTTTGTTGGCCAACTAATGAAGGTTGCAGAACCCTGTGCATTGGTTCCTTGGTTAGATGGATTGAGTTTGGGATATCTGCTCACTGTTCTGTATTACAGGTGGAGTTACGGCATCAAGATCAGTTTCTAATCCAACAACTCATGGCACTCAACACCATCATTCAGGAGCTGAAGCAGGAGCCAGAGCGAGAGGAGTCAGAGCCCGAGAGTGACAGTGAGGCGCTCTGTGCCAGCCGCCCCTCCTATAATGGAGGCAAGAGTAGCCAATGCCCCTCATGTAACTCGCCAATCAGCCACGCTCCGGCACGTAGCAACTCACTGCCATGACCCTCCGCTGGGGGAGACTCACGTGGTCTACAGCAGCGCAGCAAATGTCACATGTTATTAAATCTATATTTTGTCAGGTTATTGAACAATATTTAAAACAAATGTTAATTCTGATGGCACCCACACATTCAAATATCTAAGCTGTAGAAGCAAGACTTGGAGTAACTAACTTTCATAACTTTGTCATGTTTAAAGAAAAGCACATTGCAGTTGTTGCACTTCAGTTAATCTGTGGAAACGTTATACAAAAATATTAGAAATATTAGTGAGTAAAGAGCTCAGTCTCTAAGTCGTGCCATTGCTCACCTGGGAATGTGGACGGACAATGTAGAGGGAGCTTTACTTGGTCCAAAAGAAGTAGCTCACATGGGAGGGCTGAATGGAGACAACAAAAACAATGTGTATTTATATAGACGCAGAGCAGCGTCTCGGTGCAGCTTTTGGTTATAATGGGATCCTTTTTGAAAAAGAAACAAGTATTATGCTTTTTAGCGATCAGCATAAGTTAGACAACAAAGTAATGCAAAGGGGATGTGCATTCTGTTTGCAGGAACTATTGTTGGGCTGTTTTGAATGGAGTCTGCGATCAATTCACTGAGATCTTGTGTTCTGACACCGGCACCAGTAGTTCTGCTGCCCGCACTGCACCCAACAACAACAACAAATTACACTTTCACATCGGGAGTACGTCCTTAAGCGCTGGCACATAGAGCTGAATAAGGTAATAGGATTACACTGTCCCAACACCCGAGCTACTCCCGCTTAGACATGAAATTCAGGATAATGGATGTTTTTGTACTTTGGGACTTTACAGTGTGAATTTAAGCAAACCTCCCCATATTGGGAAGAAGAATTTCATTTCCTACGAGGAAAGATAAGGATCTGTTTCAAATTTGCTAAATTATTTATGTGGGATTTTTAACTTGACTTTTGCTTTGTTTAAACTCAGGTTACAGTTAGGAAGTATCATGATATGACACTGTCATTGTGGCTTCACCAACAAAAGGAAACTATTCACTGCTTTTAAATATACAATACGTTTAATCCGTTTCGTGAGTTTAAGCCCTCAATGCTGTTACAGGTTTAAACCATGGCATCTTAAAATGCTTATTGTACAAAAAAGCTTCAGATATTGTTTTATTGTAGCAATAAAATATATACAAACTTATTTATTTTTGTGATTATATTGTCATGTGTGTTTGTACAGTATCAACACATTTCCATGTAACATATAAGAACATCGTTATATTCATAAGTATTCAAAACATGTTATAGGAGGGAAAAGGGAACGAGGTGTTTGGGAGAGAAGATAAGGACATTGTATGACAACTAACTAACATTAGCAAACCTGCTGAGGATGTCCATCCTCTATAATATAATGCTGTGATTATTTATTAATATAAATATATGATTATATATTATTATATCCTTTATAATCCCGTGTTACTTTCGGGAAAGGTGTAAGATGTTAAATTAGCCTCTGAACCCACAGCAGATCTGCGCAGAATAGTCTGTTTCCATGTTCCACACCCTGACCCCGCCCCTGACGCTGGCCCCGCCCCTGGCCCCGCCCCTGACGCTGGCCCCGCCCCTGACGCTGACCCCGCCCCTGACGCTGACCCCGCCCCTGACGCTGGCCCCGCCCCTGACGCTGGCCCCGCCCCTGACGCGGGGCGAGCTGTATTTTGGCGGCATCACGAGGAGGAGCCGCCATTTTATGTGCTGAAGCCGCCGTCTCGCGCCGTCTCTGTCTCCGGGAGGTTTGTAGCCGCGGAGTTTGAGACACCGAGTTCCGGGCATTTTACACTTAGACTTTCTGTATGAAAGCAGCACTGACAAGGCTCAGGTTACGTTATAATACAATAAATATTAACCTTAATCCGACCAGGATGTCGGGCCAGATTGTAAATGTTGGATGGAATCGAACAGTTGCTCTGACGATACGTTAGAAAATAATAATAGTAACGTTGCATTGATAGTCCTGTGGAGACCGGTGCTCACTGAGCGAGTGAGACCGCACCTCCTCCCCCTTTGAGACGACTCGAAGACGTGATCAGGCGCTGTATCAAATGAGGGGATTATACGCGGGGCCTTGTCACAGCCCCGGCCCCGGGCCCCCCCGACCCCGGGCCCCCCGCCCCGACCCCGGGCCCCCCCCGACCCCCGGGCCCCGGCCCCCCCGCCCCCCCCCCCCCGGGCCCCCCCCCGACCCCGGGCCCCCCCCGACCCCGGGCCCCCCCCGGCCCCGGGCCCCCCCCGGCCCCCCCCGACCCCGGGCCCCCCCCGACCCCGGGCCCCCCCCGACCCCGGGCCCCCCCCGACCCCGGGCCCCCCCCGACCCGGGCCCCCCCGACCCCGGCCCCCCCCCGACCCCGGGCCCCCCCCGACCCCGGGCCCCCCCGACCCCGGCCCCCCCCGACCCGGGCCCCCCCCGACCCCGGGGCCCCCCCCGACCCCGGGCCCCCCCGACCCCGGGCCCCCCCCGACCCCGGGCCCCCCCCCGACCCCGGGCCCCCCCCGACCCCGGGCCCCCCGCCGGCCGGCCCCCCCGACCCCGGGCCCCCCCCCGACCCCGGCCCCCCCCCCCGGCCCCCCCCCCCGCCCCGGCCCCGGCCCCCCCCCCCCGCCCCCCCCCCGGCCCCCCCCCGCCCCGCCCCGGCCCCCGCCCCGCCCCGCCCCCCCGCCCCCCCCCGGCCCCCCCCGACCCGGCCCCCGCCCCCCCCCGACCCCGGCCCCCCCCCCCCGACCCCCCCCCCCGGCCCCCGCCCCCCCCCGCCCCGCCCCCCCCCGGCCCCCCCCCCCGACCCCGGCCCCCCCCGCCCCGCCCCCCCCCGGCCCGGCCCCAGCCCCCCCCGGCCCCCCCCCCGACCCCCGGCCCCCCCCGCCCCGGCCCCCCCGACCCCGGGCCCGGCCCCGGACCCCCGACCCGGCCCCGGCCCCCCCGACCCTGGCCCCCCCGGCCCCGACTCCCCCCCGGCCCCAGCCCCGCCCCCGGCCCCGGCCCCCCCGACCCGGCCCCCCCCGGCCCCGGCCCCCCCCCCCCGGCCCCGCCCCCCCCCCCCGGCCCCCCCGACCCCGGCCCCCCCCCCGCCCCGCCCCCCGGGCCCCCCCGGCCCCAGCCCCCCCCGGCCCCGGCCGACCCCGCCCCCCCCGACCCGGCCCCCCCGCCCGGCCCCCCCGGCCCCACCCCCGACCCCGGCCCCCCCCGACCCCGGGCCCCCCCGCCCCCCCCGGCCCCGGGCCCCCCCGGCCCCGCCCCGGCCCCGGGCCCCGCCCGGCAGCGCTTCACAATATACTGTAATGTGAATGGACTGTTTTTGGGGGTGGAACACGGCAGCTGATGCACACGGTAGTGTTAATGGTTGTGGTTGAATGTCACCAGCACCGGGTGTCAGTGAGGGAAGGAAAGGGATGTCGGTGCCTGTGGAGTAGACTGAACAACAACAACGTGCACTGATATATCGCCCTCCACGCAGGACAGCGTCTCAGAGCTTAACAGTAGCGGAGCTTGACTCCGAGATGGGGGGGGGGAATGGTGCTGTAAACACTGTCGAAGAGGAAGGTTTTCAGGCGGGACTTGAAAGAGGGTAGAGAGAGGGGGCAGAGGGATTGAGGGAGAGTGTTCCAGAGTTTTGGGGTGTAGTGGCTGAAAGCGCGACCTCAGTTGGTGGGGCGGAGGGTGTGAGGGACGAGCAGAGGCTCCAGGTGGTGGATTGGGGAGTGAGGAGGTCGGAGAGGGAGGTGCCAGAGAGTGAAGGGATTTGAACACGAGAGTCTTGAAGTCGATCCGTTCTGTAATGTGGAGCCAGTGGAGCCTGTCCTGCACTTATTGGGCTGTTTGTGCTCCTGTGGCACAGCACTGTTTTACTTGTGAATTGGTCCTTCATCAGTAACAGCGGTGCATTTGGATTTTCATAATCATCTTGGAGTTGTTAGAGAATTCGCCTCGCAAGCGAGAGGATCTGTGTTCAATTCCTGAGCAGGGTAAAACATTGGGAAAATTTCCTTACTCCACATGCCTCTATTGGCAGTAAGTAATAGCGGTAAGTAGGGATCCAGTTAGTCGATTTCCGTATCACTTTTCCGTGGGTAATAATCTCTTAAATTAAAAAAAAACTAATTTGGTTACTCAATCCATGACTGTTTGTGGGACTATGTGCAATTGGCTACTGCCTACAAATATACAATCGGTTCACTTTACAGTATTGGCTGCTGCCCACAAATACACAGTCAATTCATTTTACAGTATATTCTGTGAAGCGCTTTGAGACATTAGAAGATGTGAAAAGTGCTACATCAAATGCAAGGATTATTATAAAATATACAGTCAATTCACTTTATATTCTGTGAAGCGCTCTGAGACGCCATCCGGCGTGGAGGGCGCTATATAAATTCAAGTTGTAGTTGTTGTGAAGCGCTTTGAGACATCTCGAAGACGTGATAAGCCGCTATATCAAATGCAAGGATTATTATATTATGATCTATCAAACTGCAATATTGATACATGATCATATATTTATTCAATTCTGTTCTCTCCAACAGCCATTTTCTGTTCTTGTTGGTGATATTTCTACAACCTGCAGCAATGTTTTATGCTTCTTTATTTTTGACCAAGCGTGGACCACTGGCTAAGATTTGGCTTGCTGCCCATTGGGACAAAAAACTCACCAAAGCTCACATTTTTGAGTGCAACTTGGAGATTACTGTTGAAAGCATTATTTCACCTAAGGTAAAGCAATGGCATTATTTGAGCTAGTTCAGCAGGATATGGGGACTAACAACAATCTATTTTGTAATTCTGAATATAATTCCTGTCGACTAGAATGAACTTTCTACACAGAGTGATCCAGGGTATGTGAACCAAAGGGTTCAGTAGATAACTTTAACTGAAAGTAATTGGATTTTTAAAATGTTTTGTTTTAAACAACATCTTGCATTTATATAGCGGCCTTCACGCGTACCAGAGTGATTTACAATGGCAGAGTCTGACACCGAGCCACGGGGAGAGAGAGAGGTGGAGGTGACAGTAAGCATGATCAAAAAGGAATGTCTTCAGGTGGGACTTGTAGGTGAGGAAGGGGGCAAGGCAGAGTGATTGAGAGGGAGAGAGTTCCGGGGGGTAGTGGCTGAAGGCACAGCCACCGATGGTTGAACGGAAGGCACAAGGGACAAACAGGAGGCTAGAGTCAGCCTAGCAGAGCAGCAGGTGGTGGAGTGGGGGATAAGCAGGTCGGATAGGTATGGAGGTGCCAGGGCATGAAGGGATTTGAAAATGAGTGAGAGTATCTTGAAATCGATCCGTTCAGTGATTGGGAGCCATTGGAGCCTGGCAAGGACTGGGGTGCTGGGGGTATGGAGTTTCGTCGGTTGAGTATCCGGGCAGCGCAGTTTTGAATTAATTGGATTTTTGTGTGTGGTGGTACTGGGGAGACCAAACTGAGAGAAATGCCAGAAAACTGACCTGGTGAATTCAGTTCTCTTTTGTGAACTTTTTGTTTTTTTGTGCTTCACCATTTACTATAAAACTAATCTGAATTCTTTCCCCACCCTAGGTTAAATTAGCACTGAGAACATCAGGACATCTGCTTCTAGGGGTAGTACGGATTTATCACAGGAAAGCAAAGTACCTCTTGGCAGACTGTAATGAAGCATTGACAAAAATAAAAATAACCTTTCGTCCAGGTACTGTATTGTTACAAGAAATCTAGGATGTTATTTCAAGTTTCAGATTCATTCTTTTTTAGTTTTTCTCATTTGGGTTTTCATTTAAGATTTAAGGAACAGTGTTTGCTACAAGATATTTCAGTATTACCGGATTATTTTATCCTTTAGGTCTGCTCCTGCATTGACAACCATTGTTAAAAAAAATTAGTTCTTACACTTGATACAGTATTGTTAAATGCTTTGGAAGGTAACTAAAATAAATGTAAAATTGTAATTTGTGCATCAACATCTGGCCTTTTCCTGTTTTTTATGAAATTAAATAGAAACGAAACATTTTTAAAACCTGAATGAACTCAAATTCATTAAAGTCTTAATTAGTTTGCTTTGATATTTCAGGTATTGTAGATCTGTCTGAAGAAAACCTTGAAGCTACCTACAATGATATTACTCTCCCTGAAGAGTTTCATGACTTTTCTAATCAATTGCCTGATGTAAAGTGAGTGTAGCAACATTTTCCACTGCAGCTAACTACTTTAATCTTTCACTGTTTGTCCAAAGCTCCCTGTATCCTTACCAACAATCACCCAGATAGAATTGGCCATTCACTTCATGGCTGTTTATGGGATTATTTGTGCGTAAATTGACTGCCACATTCACCTAAAAAATACACAGTAACTACAATTTACAGTAAATCCTGTGAAGTGCTAGGAGATGCCTTGCCAACGTGAGATACTGGATAATCCGGAGCAAACTGATGATATTTTATCCCACTTTCCTTTGCATTGTAGTTATACATTTGATAACTCCAAATGATTTATTTCTGAATACTAGATTCAGGCATATACGCACCCAAAATTCAGGTTAGTTGGCAAACTTTCTTTTCACGAATATTCTTTAAAACTGCATGTATTAGGACTTAAACCTGAATAAAGTTAGGTTCATTTTTTGGGTGAACAAGTTTATTCATTTACATAAAACAAGTTACAATTGTAATTTTTGGCTGAAGATTGCACTGTTGACATTCAGATGCATGTCTGTCTGTATCCCCACAGTGCCATTGATGTTGCTGAGCACTTTACCCTAAACCAGAGCACAGCTGAGGAGATCACCCTAAGGGAAGATGTGCACAGGGTGCTTAAGGATAATGGGTTTGGTATGGAGATAAGATACAATTTTATATTGCACATATATTGTAGAACATTCGTTTGACTAGCTGAAAGCCCGCACCCCACTTACTAGACTGTCCTCCTGACGTGAAAGGCGCTCTATAAATGGAATCTTGTTGTTGTTGTTGTCTTCTGCTGTATGTGGGATTGGTACTGAGAAAGCGCGCTGAGACGCTTGTATAAGTGCAAGTTGTTGTTCTGAAACAAAGAATGATCATATATTTTCAGCAGAGACAGATCTTTCTTGTCATGTAAAAATATCTTCCACAAAAAAAGATCCTAGCCAAATGGTCAACAGAACCTTTTCTCTGTTTTTGCTGATGATATTGCTGCTAATTGGGATCTTCTTGCGAGGCGAGTCCTCTTAACCAATATGCTACAGGGCTCCACTATCGTGAAAAAGGAAACAGATTAAACAACAACAACAACAAGATTCCATTTATAGAGCGCCTTTCATGTCGGGAGGACATCCGAAGGCGCTGTACTGTTGGGTCAGGACCCGAGCCTTGGGGGGAAATGGTCAGGATGAGGGGAGGGAAGGGAGGGAGTGAGGAGGGGGTAGAGAGTCGAGAGGGGAGCTGAAGGCACAGTCAAAGAGAAAGGTCTTGAGACCGGCCTTGAAGGAGGAAAGGGAGGAAGCGGCGAAGGCACTGGGGATAGAGTTCCAGAGCCTGGGGGCTGAGAGGCTGAAGGCCCGACCACCGATGGTAGGGCGGTTGGGGCGGGGGATGTGGAGGAGACCGGAGCCAGAGGAACGGAGGGTACGGGCAGGTAGGTAGGGGGATAGTAGGTCAGAGAGGTAGGAGGCAGCGAGGCCGTGAATGGCCTTGTAGGTGAGAATGAGGATCTTGAATTCGATCCTCTGGGGGATGGGGAGCCAGTGGAGGCGAGCGAGGGCGAGGGTGATGTGGTCGCGCGGCCTGGTGCGGGACAGTACACGAACTACAGAGTTCTGCAGCTTGTGGAGGGAGGGCCGGGAAGGCCGGCGAGGAGAGAGTTCCCATAGTCCAGCCTAAAATAAAGTCATATTTTCTTGGTATTTAGTTCTAACAGGAAAGAAAATCCTGTCTGCTTGTTAGAATGGAATGAATTGTACATTTAAGGAAACTTTTTTGTCTTTGCCAGGTGGTTATGGAATGATGAAGAATGGAGGTATCTTGGATGACAATCTGACAAGTACTAGTGAATCAATATTTCCTCAAACACCAGTAAAGGACCCTGGCTATAGTACAAGTGAAATTGTCACATTAAGTAGCAATAAAAATAGCTTTCAGAATGATGGCTTTGGAGATGAGGGAGCAGCTGATACATTGGGTATGTGTCATGTTTGTTTATTTAAGCAAACATAAAGGTAAACTATGCAAGATTGGATTTGCCTTAGTTAGAACGATGCCTTGGTTTCCTTGACTATAATACAGTTTGTTTTTTGTTTTCATGATTTCACAGAGTTGGAAATTGTGATGGGTAGTGATGACTGTCAGGAATATTGTACAATAAAATTTTATACATGTTGTATGAAGGGTGACGTCAAACAACCATTCACTACTTGGCTGTTTGTACAGTAGACTAACACATGTAAAACAAACAAATTGGTAAGAAGGGTGAAATTAAATATTTTTTGTTCACGTTCACATGTCATAATTGGAAAGGAGCATCCAAATCCTGATGTGATTGCCCAATGTGTTATAACAAAATATTCAAACATTTATTTTGTTTTATAAATAAATTGTTTTAAAGTCTGTTTAAAATTAAAATTAATTTCAGAATTATAGATCTAAAAAAGAGATTCAACCAACTCCTTGAAAACACTCCCAGTCTCAATCTGTTTAGATTTTCTATCGTTTCTTTTAAAAATACACTTTCACAGCTTCCCTTGCAAGTTCCTAGATACAGAAAAGTATTGGTTTATTATAAACACCAGGTAAATAATATTAAAAATCAAACTATTACTAATTTTCAGTAGATATATGAATTGCCTATGGTAGTTGATGTGCAAGTGTATCTGCCCTTGAGTAAGAAACAATCAACTTTACAGCCAGGTCTGTCTCTTTGTGAGATGCAACTTGTGCCGTATTTTATTGTGTAAATTATCCGGCCTAATTAACCAATTAGGTGTGCATATAGACCACTCATTAACAAGTAAAGAATAGTTCTCTCAATGCATAGCCTCTTTTCAACTGGCTTAACAAAGATCATTCACAAACAGGCTAAAACTTTTTTTTATTTTCAGAAAAGCTTCTGAGTGGTGAAGCAGAAAATATGTTTATGGATTTTGCCGAGGGAATCATTAAACCTCTTCCAAATAACAACTCAGTCAGCAATATGACAGGTACAGTTCAACTATGAATATGTGCTTCATAGGGTGCTGCACCCACGACATACATAGGATTTTGTGTTAGTTTTAAAACCCGCACAAAGAAATCATGTAACAAAAAAGGCATTAATGCCTACTCTTTTCACATAGATTGCAATCGCTACCCTATTGTAGACTCCATCACTACATCTCCTGCAGTTTTTTCTGCATTAATACTTTGTGATTCCCAAAGATAATCCAGCGCAAGCGGCCTCCTTCCCTTTTTAGAAAATATTTCCCATCACTCAGCTCCCAATGCAGCAGGTGCATTGGGAGGTGTGGAGGCGCTGGCGTGAGCCAATCAGGAGGGCCTCGGTCTTGCTGATGTTGAGTTGGAGAAAGTTCTCCCTCGTCCAGGACTTGATGTCGGACAGGTAGTCGGTCAGGACACCAGCAGTCCTGGAGTTGAGGGTGGAGGCAGAGAAGTAGAGTTGGGTGTCATCCGCATACATGTGGAAATTTACCCCATGTCTGTGGATGATGTCACCAAGGGGGAGCACGTAGAGGGTGAAGAGGAGGGGACAGAGCCCTGAGGGACACTGCACGAGACGGTGCGGGGGCTGGAGGAAAAGCCGTTTGCTGCGACGAAGTGAAGGCGATGTGAAAGGTAGGACCTGAACCAGTCAAGGACAGAACCTTGAAGGTTGAGGTGGGAGGAGAGGCGGTGGAGAAGGATTGAATGGTCCACGGTGTCAAAGGCGGCGGAGGGTTTGAGGAGGACGAGGAGGCAGAGGGAGCCCTGGTCACACATGGTCAGGATGTCGTTTGTGACCTTAACCTGAGCAGTTACCGTGCTGTGGGCAGCACAGAAACCCGATTGGAGGGGTTCACGGAGGGAGTGAGAGGAGAGGAAACAACAGCAACAAGATTCCATTTATTGAGTGCCTTTCACGTCAGGAGGACGTCCCAAGGCGCTGTACAGTTGGGTCAGGACCCGAGCAGGGGGGAAATGGTCAGGGTGAGGGGAGGGAAGGGAAGGAGCGAGGAGGGGGTAGAGAGTCGAGAGCGGAGCTGAAGGCACGGTCAAAGAGAAAGGTCTTGAGACCGGCCTTGAAGGAGGAAAGGGAGGAGGCGGCGAAGGCACTGGGGGATAGTTCCAGAGCCTCGGGGCTGAGAGGCTGAAGGCCCGGCCACCGATGGTAGGGGGGGTTGGGGCGGGGGATGTGGAGCAGACCGGAGCCAGAGGAACGGAGGGTACGGGCGGGTAGGTAGGGAGATAATAGTTCGGAGAGGTAGGAGGGAGCGAGGCCGTGAATGGCCTTGTAGGTGAGGGTGAGGATCTTGAATTTGATCCTCTGGGGGATGGGGAGCCAGTGGAGGCGAGCGAGGGCGAGGGTGAGGGCGAGGATGGGAGTGATGTGGGCGCGAAGCCTGGTGCGGGACAGTACACGAGCTGCAGAGTTCTGAATGACCTGCAGTGTGGAGGGAGGGCCGGGAAGGCCGCGAGGAGAGAGTTCCCAGAGTCCAGCCTTGAGGTGATAAAGGCGTGGACCAGAGTTTCAGCCGCGTGACGGGTGAGGTAGTGACGTAGTCTGGCGACATTCCGGAGGTGATGGAAGGCGGTGCCAGTTGTGGTGTGGATATGAGGGAGAAAGGACAGCTCAGGGTCGAACAGAACCCCGAGGTTCCTGATGGCTTTGAGAGGTGGAGAGTGCGGCCTTGGATGCTGATGGTGTCAGCGCCTGAGGTGCGGAGGCTCTGACGTGAGCCAATCAGGAGGGCCTCAGTTTTACGCACGTTGAGCTGAAGAAAGTTATCTCTTGTCCAGGACTCGATGTCGGACAGACAGCTGTCAGGACATCGGGGGTCGTGGAGTTGAGTGTAGAGGAGGAAAGGTAGAGTTGGGTGTCATCCGCATACATGTGGAAGTTAACCCCATGTCTGCGGATGATGTCACCACAGGGGGAGCATATAGAGGGTGAAGAGGAGGGGACCGAGGGCAGGGAAGCGAAGCTGGGAGGCAACGGCTCTCAAGGACCTTGGATAGGAAGGGGAGGTTCGAGATGGGCTGGGAGCTAGATAGCTGTGATGGGTCAAGGGAAGGTTTCTTCAGAGTGGGGGTGATAATGGCTGTTTTGGGGGGAAAGGAACAGTGCCAGATGACAGGGAGAGGTGGTTGATGTCGGCGAGTAGTGAGGCAAGGAGGTGGAGCCGGGATTTAAGGAAAGGAGTGGGGATGGGGTCCAGGGAGCAGGTGGTGGGCTTCATGGAGGATGTGGTGGTGAAGACAGAAGAGGGGTTGACAGGTTCAAAGGTGTGGAAGGAGGTAATTGTCAGAGTGTGGGTTTGTGGTAGGGAGGGGTTGATAGTTGGGGGGACAGTGGCAGCTGAGCGGATTCCCTCGATTTTGGACTCAAGGAAGTCCAGCATTGAGAATCAGAGAAAAGAATCTGCAAGGCATGGCCGGGATGTCAGAGGAACTGGTTGGTGGTGGAGAACAGGAGCCTGGAGTTGCCTTTCGCCTCCAGGATTAACCTGGAATAGAAGGATGATTAGATTGTTGCAAAAAATATATATTAATTTCTTCTTTAATTAATTAATTGAGTTTCGCCCACAAAATAAACAGTCAATTCCCTTTACAGTATATTTTGTGAAGCGCTTTGAGACGTCTCGAAGACTTGATCAGGCGCTGTATCAAATTTAAGCTTTATTATTTAACAAAAACTGGATGGACCTTTTTTTTGGTTGGGGGGGGACATCAGTGAAGGTACAGGAGCTCACCACTTTCCTCTCAGGGCCTGGCACCAAACACAGACAGAGAGAGAGACACACACTCATAGACACAAAGAGACATATACACACAGAGACACTCAAATATACACACATATGGAAGAGACACACACAGACACATAAACACAGGGGAGTGACACACTCACACATACACAGACTCACAGACAAATCACAACAGCGGGGCCCCTGAGTGAAGCTTATTTGCCGCGTGCGCTCCCCACTCATCCGGAGCCGTCCCACCTACAGAGACGTCAGGTAAACAGCGAGAGGCCAGTGGGCCAGAAACTACATTTTATAGCGGGTTTGTAGTGGAGGGTGTTTGTAGCAAATTCCACAGATATAATTTTCTGTCGCACTTTTCTAGTATGCCTGTTCAGGTTGACATTACATATCCTATTCAAAAAAGATGGGAGTTTCTCCCAGTGTCCTGGCCAGCAACCCTCCAGAGAAAAAAATGGTTATTCACTTCCTGCCTGCTTGTGGGACATTGCTGTGAACAAATTTGCTGCCAGTTCACCTATAAACACACAGTCACTACACTATACAGCAAAATCTTCAAAGCACTTCGATGTAATAAGGTTCTATATCAAATGGAAAAAATATTATTTATTATTACCACTCTGAATACGAACTGTCTCTGAGTTGCAAGCAGCACATTCTGGCAATCTACAGTCTCCACTGAAACAAGTTAGATTGGTGGTACAGTACTTTTAATTGTCTCGACAGGCAATTCAGAAGGTCTTAATTTTATACATCGAGTGGAACATCTTCCATGTGACCAAACAACCCTGTTGTCTAATGAAGAAAAGGGCTTTGCCCTACAGCCAGTTGACACTACTGGTGAGTTTTATTTTTTTATCCAGTTCAGATATCACTGTTCCATTGTTTGTCTGTTTATTGCTAGAGAAACAAGGCTCATTTGCATAATTTGTTTTATAGATTTAAACCTCGGATCAGTTTATGTGATTTTTGCTGCTAGTCAATGGAAGAAGCAGTTTATTTCTTGTTCTATCCCTTTTTTCAATTAAAAAACAATTAATGTCAACCAATTAATTTGTTCTTATAAACAGATGAAGGAAACCCACTGTATACAGGTGGCCTTGTGTGCTATCTCTGATCAGCTATATCAGCTATCTGAGTTATATAAATGTGCAAGACATTGGTACAATGAAAGTACCGAGAGAACAGAAAAGGAAGAATTAGTAAAGAGAAATTGTTTTCATCAGTTTTTATAAAATCCCGATATCAGTTTTGTGATTATGGTTAAGTGAGTCTTAAACTTTTACCTTTCCTTTTTGTGGTTAGTTTCCTCAGGAAAAAAGAGGGGTAAAAGGCGTCGAAATCTCACTGTGGATTGTGTTAAGGAACTTGACAGTAAGACCATTCGTGAGTGGATTAGTGACTTCTCAGATATCATCACTACGATAGACCTGGCTCCGCCCACCAAGAGGCTGATGATTTGGAAGGAGTCAGGGGGAGTGGAAAAGCTGCAATCAGAGCCGGCCCAGTACTTGATCAGCTGTCGATTATTAAAGGTAACTTGTGTTTTTTAAAATTAATTAGTTTGTTTGTTTATTTATTTATTAAATGTAACTTGTTTATTTTTAGACTTTTTCCCATTTCAAATACCTCGAAGAATGGTACAAACTTGGATCACCCTAAGAACAGTTTTTTCAATTAAACATTTCTATCAAATGAGCACTGTTGCTTCCCTCCAAAAGTACTTAAAGATCCAACTCTAGTGTTTCAAAAAAATTGAATAAAATACATTCAATTTCGCCCACAAAATACACAATTATATAGTATATTCTGTGAAGTACTTTAAACGTCTCCAAACGTAGAAAGGCGCTATATCAAATGCAAGGATTATTATTACTATTACATCCGATTTGAGATATTGAACAGTAACCTCATACAATACTTATCGCCTTCATGGACAAAACAAATTTCCTCTGTGGTTATTTATTGTCCTGGAAGAGAATCCACTGATTAAAGCGTTTAATCAGTTGATTATTTAAAGCATTTAATCAGTCAATGATTCCTGCCCAAAACAAGCTAACTTGTTTGTAGTAATTATATACTGCATCTGTTTAGTGGCACATCTGTTTAGCACCACACCTGTTTAGTGGCACGCTTTAGGGAGTAGGCAGAGGAATCTATGAAAAAGCACATGAAATCTCAATAAACCCAAACTGGCAGTTCAATTCTTGTTAAATGACAGTATCTCATTGCTCAGACTACAGCAACAGTGATCAGTGAGAGGAGGAGGTAAACATAACACATCCCTGATGTATGTTTTACCTTTGTTAGTTGTTCACAAGATGCTTGACAAAAGGCCTGCCTCGTGAGGTGAACGGTCAGAGTGAGGAGTTTGGCAGAGAGTGTGAAATTGAAGCAATGAGAAGTGAGCCACACAATGTGATTGGTCAGTAACTCACAGTATCTCCTACAGTTTGTTCTTTCAATGTAAACTTAAATATATATAATGTGTAAAGTATAGCGGCTATATTATTAATGCTTCAAAATTGTATGCGCTAAATTGTTTTTAAGCATGTTATTAAATATTTAAAAAATTCAGATAACAGATGATGATTAATGGCATTTGTGCATGAAAATTCACATTTGTGATATAATTACTGCAAGTTTATTCTGTTAACAATCTGTGCTATAAGTTGCTATAGATCTTTGGCCTGCTCGCTAGTCAGGAATCAGGTCGTATCTGTTTTTAAACCAAACACGTCTTAACCTTGGAGTTTGATGATACTGCTTTTATTTGTTCTGCTTCTTACTGGGTTTGAAGCAGATTTGCCTATTATGGAGGAGCCAAGTCATATGCACGAATCTACATTAATTGAGTCCGATCGAAGCAGCATTGATCATACATCAATGTTAATTCGGAAGAGAAGCAATAAGAAGGATAAGGCAACTGAAAAAGGAAGTCCAGCATCTGTAAGTCTCTTGAAGTAGATACAGATTGTTTTAGTCTTAATGAGCAGCATAGTTGTCTGAGGATAGGGAAAAGGTTTTATTTCTTGTCTGGTGCTGGGATTGTATCCTTAGGCCACAAAATATACAGTCAATTCATTTTGCAGTATATTCTGTGAAGCTCTTTGAGACGTCTTGAAGACGTGATAAGTTGCTATAACAAATTAAAGAATTATTATATATTCGTAGATCTGAAATGTTCCTGAGGAATGCGAGGAGAGTGATTTAAAACTTGGAGTGAAAATAGAAGTAACAGAGTTACGAAAGAGTTGCCTTGTGTTCTTCTGTGATGATCAATTGAAACCCAAGTAGTCTGGGTCAGAAATCATATTTCCAGCAACAGCAGCAGTTGCTGCACATAACAAAATGTTTATGTAAAGGCCGTTGGCACTTTGAAGCAGATAGCTTCCACCCACCCTGCAATCTTTCTCAAACTATTCTGTCTTTTTTACTACTACTAATAATAATCCTTGTGTTTGATATAGCGCCATATCACATCTTAGATATGTCTCAATGCGCTTCACAGAATATACTGCAAAATGAATTGACTATGTATTTTGTGGGCGAAATGTACTGTGTAGGCAAGCTCTAGATCACATTTACTTATGTCATACAGCTCTAGGAAGCAAGCACCAGAATAGGTTCAAAATGGCCTATTCTGATGCAAGCTTTGCATCCTTCTGTATTGCATTTTGTTGAACTGCTACTTGTTTCCAAGATGTGCACTGAACAATGCTGTGAACTGTTTGACCAATGTCTGATAATTGTGCGTGCATTTCATATTGCTTATCTGTGAAGATAGATAGTAAATACATTACGTTTTGCTGTGAACGCAGACCAAACTACAGATGCACTGGAGCTAGCTTCTCTTTATTGCAATTCCCTGTTTTTTTTCCTGTACTCTTATATATCGTTATTCTTCATGACTTATCCGTTTCCCATTTAAATGCTGCTAGGTCTTCGCGTCAATAGCCACTTTAGAAAAGCATTTCATATTCGAACAAATCACTGTGTGAAAATGTCTCCTCTAATCTCAATTGCTGCCTTTTTAAGTGAAGTGTCTCCTGATCATTGCCAAGGCATTTGGCACTGTAGGAGAAATCCTGGAGCTTGGGAGCATGCTGAGTGTGCCAGGAGGTGGGGGTAAGTTTGCTTGTGCCAGTGGTAAGGTGAGCACCTTGGTATCTTTTTCAATAGTAGGGTGCTTATTTTGCAAAGAGGCAACAAAGCAGAAGAACCCAGATTAAATAAATGTCATTATACTTTACAGAAAACTCTGACATGCTTTGAAATGTTTTGATTTGTTGACTTTGCTATCTATATGTTGTTCAGTCTTTGTTACTTAATTTTAATTATTTCCACAAATTCTAATCAAGACATTTTAGGGTTCCCAGTAGTCAATACTAAGTGATTTATACTGGCACAAACACCTTTATATTAACAATTAAGAGGATACAAACTTTTGAAAATTCAATCTTGTTCTGGATAAGTTTTAGTTGATTTGTTGGATCATAATGTAACTGTAGAAATTCCACATAGTTTTGTTGCATTGAATAGGAAATACTTACCGTACACTTAACATCGGTGGACCTTCCTCTTGAAGTCAGTCATCCACCTACTGGGCAGAAAAGAATAGGTGAAGAAATGGAAGATGTGAGTCAATTCAGAAGATTTTGTATATTATTTTGTATATTCGCAAAATAAGGAAGTCCCAGTGATTGCTCGTGGAAACTTTCATAATTACATTCATGTAATAGTAAATGGAAGATTGAAAGTATACTCCATATTGTTGTAGTAAATGGTTTAAACAACAACAAGATTACATGTGTATAGCACCTTTCGCGTCGAGAGTACATCCCAAGGCGCTGGACAATGACAGCATTTCATACCCAAGCTGGGGTCAGGGGTGGAGGAGGGAGGGGAGGGGAAGGGGGGGTGACCGATGGCATGGTCGAAGAGGAGGGTTTTGAGGCTAGACTTGAAGGAGGCGGTGAGGCAAAGTGATTGGAGGATGGAATTCCAGAGGTTGGGGGCAGAGTGGCTGAAGGCTCTCCCGCCAATGATGGGGCGAGTGGGTTGGGGAACGTGGAGAAGCCAGTGCCGGCTGAGCGGAGGGAACAGGCGGGTTGGTAGAGGGTTAGGAGGTCGCAGAGGTAGGGTGGGGCGAGACCATGGAGGGCTTTGTATGTGAGGGTCAGGATCTTGAACTAGATCCTCTGAAGGATAGGGAGCCAATGGAGTCGGCCGAGAGTGGGGAAGACGGGGTCATGCAGTTTGGTGCGGGAGAGGCCACCCGCTGCAGAGTTCTGGATGATCTGCAGGCTGTGGAGGGAGGAGTTGGGAAGGCCAACAAGCAGGTGAGAATTCTAATGGAGATTTTTAAATAACAGTTAACTCATTTTAAGCTGTAGTCTGTTATGTAGGAGCCAAGGAGGAGCCATTATGAAGCTCATAATTATGATGAGAGAAAGTGGAACAAAAGAACTCAACTGTTACTTCACAACCTACAGGTAGGGACCTAACCAGCAACAGCTGTCAAAATAATTTAATTTTTCATAAGCTAATTCAAGGAGCTTTAAACACTAGCAGAGGGGAACATTACGAATGGAGTACAGCAATAACTTGCACTTATACAGCGCCCTCCACGCAGAGGAGCTTCTCATAGCGCTTAACAGTGGTGGAGCCTGACTCCGAGCCGGGGACAGGGGGTGACCAGGTAAGCATGGTCGAAGAGGAAGGTGTTCAGATGGGACTTGACAAAAAGGGGAGAGGGGGCAAGGTGGAGGGATTGAGGGAAAGTGTTCTAGAGTGTTCGGGCGTAGTGGCTGAATGCGTGACCTCTGATGGTGGGACGGAGGGTGCGAGGGATGAGCCAGTACCGGTCGAGCGGAGGCGATGTGTAGTGGATTGGGGAGTGAGAAGGTCGGAGAGAGAGGGAGGTGCCAGGGAGTGAAGGAATTTGAACACGAGAGTGAGGATCTTGAAGTCGATCTGTTTGGTGATGGGGAGCCAGTGGAGCCTGGGCCAGAGCTGGTGAGATATGGGGACAGAGTTTGGTCCAGGTCAGTATGCGGGCGGCAGAGTTCTGAAAGTAGAGTTACTTATTTATCTTTTTTCCTCTGTGTGAAAAGATCAGGCTTCTACAATAATAAAGCAACAATGAAAGGCTTCTTTATAGAGCCAAAAGTTGAACATTTTATCTTGCTACATTTAATGAAAGTAAGTGTTGCTGTTATGAAGCTGGTGGATCTTTCCTAGTCCTTCCTCTTGGTGCTAATGCTGGGTTAATACTGTAAATATTGACGCGGTCTCTAATACCAACCTTTTGAGGATTTCCTTTTGGGAGAGCATTCCTCCAAACCACTGGGCAGCATTATTGACTGAGGCCGTTGCCAGCTTCTGCTATTCGCAGAGCCATTCCTGGGTCAGGCCCCCACCCAACCTGAGGATTACTGCTCAGTGACACTCGTCAGCCTGACCTCTCGTCTCTCCTGCTGCCTAATAGGAACAAAGCAAAACAGTAACAGGACATTGAGACTGTTCTACCACTTTATTAGATCATGGAAGATCTTTTTATCCCAATGCCCCAACATTTCGTGATATCTCCACTGCCCAAGTATTTGTCCTCCTGTTTAAAACAATCCTATCGATTCTGCCATTTCTGCTCTCTGGGGCAGAGGGTTACACACTTTCATGACCTGATGTGGGAAGAAATCCTTCCTGACGTCGGTTCTAACTGTCCTTAATTCTGAATTTAAGTAATCCTTGTAATAGATCATCCACTATCTTACTTGTCGATTCCTTCATTATTTTAAATACCTCAACCAAATAATCCATCTCCGCTCTAAAGAATATTACCCCAGTCTACGGAGCTCAGTACACCAGCTTCCTCCACGTTCTCAATAATTGGCATCAAATATACAGTCAATTCACTTTATAGTATATTCTGTAAAGCGCTTTGAGACGTCCAGAAGACATGAAAAGCGGTATATCAAATGCAAGAATAATTATTATTATCTGTATAACAACACCAGTTCAAATTTATTTGGCTTTTCTTCATGCTACGGTTTACTTTACTCAATTCCTTTTCACAGAAAATCCATCAAAGCACAAGTGCCAAGTGTTTCAGCTTGCTGGAGTTGTGCAGAAACAATAACCGTAAGCAGGCAGCAGTCAAATTTTACAGTTTTCTGATGCTTAAGAAACAATCAGTACTTATATTTTCCCAAATAAAACCCTATGCCGACATCATTGCCATCCCAGGACCAAGGTTTCACCTTTGAACACTTTGTTCAATTCTCAGAATACTCAATTATTTTTTAAGCTTTCTGATGTTGAATAATAGTTCATGATTCAAACAATGCACAGAACCATAGAACATTTCTCCTTGGACATGATTTCTACTGCAATCCCTTCCAGTTTAGTTTAATTAAAGTCTGAGTTCAATTCTGAGTAAATTTATACCCATTTAGCAAGTGTTAGAATTAATACAAACAAAAGCTTCAAGTCAAGATGGTGCTTCATAGAGCTTGGCGCTGAAGGTCTGTAACATAAAGGGGAGACAAGTTAAAAGTTTATTGAATGATTGGCAAGCCTAAAGTATAGCACCTGCTTGTCACCAGCAGTAATATAATACTGGTTATTGATGATGGTGTTGGCGACTAGTCACAATGGATGTTGGGTTCCCAGCACCCAGAGGTCACTAGGGACCAGTTTGACATCAAACCATTAGCGATTGTTGGTCATTTATTGACTTTGCTGAAATATGTGTTCCATTCTGTTAGTAGCAAATGTTCAGAAAAATTATATATCTTTTTACTAAAATAACTTCAACCAAAGCATTTTATTATAAAAGTTTATACTTTTTCCTGTGTTTTGTATTTAAATAATTATATTTCTGTAAACAGACCATTTTGTTTTGCTGCCAAGTGTTTATAGTTGATGCTCAGAGCTGATGCAATAGGCTGGGTATTAATATTGACCAAATCTTTGGGTGTTTTTCACTGGAATGTTTTTCTATACTGTTTAAAAAATGTTTTATGTTATTATAGCTCTGTCTGAAATAAAACAACACTAAGCTGTCATTAGTTTCTGTTTGCTTTCAAAACGTAGTTTCTTAGTTAAGAAATGTTCCATTTCATATTGCGATAATGGATTGGAAATGTGGAGAAAACAGCGGCGAAATTTGTTGTTGCTACTTTTTCCAAGTACAATAATAAACAGGATGCAATCAATAAGCAATCAATAATCAATAAAACCTCAGAATTTTTACTATGACCTGCCATGTATTAGATGCCTGGTATTTATTTTGATCATGTGAGTGTTTCGTACATGCAGAAACCCATCACCATGCTTAAGAGAATGGAAACCAGACAGAGATCTACATTTGAATACTAGTTACACATGGAAATTTCCCTGTGTCTGGAATGGAATGTGCATTCTCATGAGAGAAGGATCCTGCTTAACTCATTTCTGAGGCGATTAGGCACAGATTGCTGACAGGAAAGGCTGGGAGACCCAGAGTGTGTATTGGGGAAACTGTCGAGTTAACCAAATGGGAAGAATCCCTGCTCCCAGTCTACCTCTCCAAGTCCTCCTGATGAGCTTGGTTGTGTCATCTATCATCAGCAGTGCCTTAGAGTACAGCAAACCTGTCTACCTCAGGAACTGAACTAGAGACCACCACAGATGGTTGCCTCGGTTCTGACATTTCGTTGTGTACTGTGTCACCTTGGAACAGCTCAGCTTGAAAGAAACTGCACTTTCCCTGCACCCTCCAGAGGACAGATAGGTAAGTATAAGGAGATTCCACACTCCTAGCTTTGTAAATAATTAAATCATCCCCCTCTACCTGACACAAAATTGCTGAACAGTTCTGGAGGCATCTCGAGAACGGAAATGTTTGCGGTGCTCACTAACCTCCACCCTTGTGCCATCTGGTCTTTGGCTGAGACTAAAGCCAGGTCCTGTCTGCCCACACAGGTGGAAAATTTCACAGCACTTCAAAACCAAAAAGGAATTTCTTCTGGTGAACAATCCGACACAAAATCCATTATGGGATGTTGTGCCCACATTGGTTGCCCTATTTTTGAACAGGAACCTGGTTGTTAGTCAATTGGGGGATCGCTTTTCCAGGTAAAAAAATAAGTTGGTCACTCAATCCAGACTTTGTGGGACGCTGTAGTGAGTAGACTCTTTTGCCCAAAAAATATCCTGTCTTTATACTATATTGTGAAGCGCTTTGAGATGTCTACAAAACGTGACAAGGCGCTGTATTAAATGATTATTATTATTACTACCTGTGATTGTGTCAGAATAATAAGCGACTACACGACAACTCGCCCCCCAGTTGGGAAAACCCGTTGAAAAGGGCGGCGGTGGGTTTTCGCCGCTGTTTTCTCCACTTTCATGTCCCGAAGCGCCATTGTTTAAGTGCTCAGAGGACCATCTGACAAGTCATCGCGCAACTGCCTGTACCACCGGAGCGCTCCGCCCAGATCCTCCCGAGCAGCGCTTCCCATCCCATCCCATCCTCTGGAATACCGTCACCCGGAGCGGCCCGGACCGGCCCGCAGCACAGAGGGGCCACAAGCGGGTAAATGCACTCGCATTGCCATGTTTTGGGGGGCGGGGGATGCGGTGGCTTTACTGAGAGCATTTGGCAGAGATGAGCTGCAGTTGTAGAGGGTTATTTGTTATTTATTTGGCGTCTCCTCTCCTGTAAATATGTAATTGACTGAAATGCGAATTAGGACCGCGCAGTCGGTGCTGAATGTCGGGTTTCGCGTCAATTTGAGTGTGAAACGCGTTCCGCAGTGTCGCTGCAGCAGCACAGCCTCAGGTGCCTCCTCTGCAGCATCACTCCCCCCTCAGTGCTGAGGGTTCTCGGCTCAGGGCCTCTCTGCCGTTTGCCGACGGCTTTGTAAATCCGGGGACTGTTTATTCACATAAACTGAAGATCAGCCTCAATCCGCCCTGTGATGATGAGCTTTGATTTTTGTAAAATAATAAAGTTTTGTTGGACTGAAGACAGTGAAGTGTTGTTTCGCAACCTCCAGTATCTTCCCAAATGGGAGCTCCAGACAGTGAGTGTCCACATACATTGGGCCCAAACCCTCAAAAGTTACCTGACTTTCACACAGCACACCTTCCAGACGTTGATCACAGAGAGAGACACCTGGTTGATGTGTATTTTCCTGTGGTTGGGTCTCCCCAGCTCCACCTCCCGCTCAACAAAAACAACTTGCACCCTTCATGCAGGATAGCGTCCCGGAGCGCTTGGCAGTGGTGGAGTCTGACCCCGAGTCAGCGGTAGAGGGAGGTGACCATAAGCACAGCCACGGAATTCTGAATTAATTGAATTTTGTGTGTGGTAGAGCTGCGGAGACCAGCGAGGAGGGCATTGGAATAGTCCAGCTGGGAAGTGACAAAGCTGTGGACGAGGGTCACCCCTTGGCTCATTGTTAGACTCTGCCACCGTGAAGCACTCCGGGACCCTACCCCGCATGAAGGGTGCTATATAAATTCACGTTGTTGACCTTACCATATCGTTGAGACGTCTCAAAGCGCCTCACTGTAAAGTGAATGGACTATATATTTTGTGGGCAAAATGGGGTAGCCAATTGATCGAAATCCAGCTCATAGGCCGTGCAGTGGGTGGGGGGAGGGAGGGTTGTAAATAGTTTCAATTATTTTCTTGGCTAATTTGAAGTGAAAAATTTCATTATTTCCATTTGGCACAGGCTGGGAAGATGCTGCTATTGGCTATCGATTCACACATCTGCCTCACTCACACGGCAGAGTGTTTCTAAATTGAGAAAGCACTTCTACATGACTGCCTTCACGCAGGTAATACAAGAATAACTTGGTTAACGCCACTTTACATCAATCGAAAAAAACTCAAGGTTTACTTTTATATGTAAGTTTGCTCAATTAGTTGGAGTTCAATAAAAGAAAGTAATGAATAATATAACAGTCATGGATGCAGAGAATCCCTCACCTTAATCCTAACAACAGGGAAAGAGATTCTTCCCACCGGATTTTTGTAAACCCTGAAGACCAAACCCTACCAGTAGGATGGACAAGCAGCAGGAAGTTTGCCAGAGAATGCCCACAATGGCAAATTTTGCAGTTTCAGCTAGTTAAACTCCAGCAGTTACTCCAACTCACACTCTGGGATCCCTAAACCTTGCTCTTGTCAGCCTCTGGGATTGCAGTAAAATCTAATTATATCCAATTTGACCCAAACAAATATTGTCCACTGATGCTGTAGCTCAGATTCCCAAAGAGCACTCTTAGATGACATGATGCCTGGACTGAGTACCAAAGTGGCTGGTCACTGCTTTGATGTTACTCAAGTTCCATGTATTGTCTGAATTCAGTAACTCCTAGCCAGCACCTTGTGTGAATGCCTATTTGGGATGTTGTCACAAGGTGAAAAGCGCTATACAAATGTAATTTTGTTGGTGTGGACTGGAGAAGAGCCCTGTAGGAGTTATTGTGGGTTTGGTTGGGGGAGGGAGGTAACCTCTGGGGAAGGGATCCCTGAAGTGACAACTGGTCACACCAAGGCTTTTCCGTGTTTGGCATGTGATGGCACTGCTTCTGCCTTTGGGGCTTTCAGCCTGGTCTAAAGTATCAGCACCAATCGTGCAGCTGCTGTAAACCTTATCCAGTTTTGTTTGAAATGAACACTTACTCCATCAGTCGCTCATCTCCAGAGGTGGCATGAAGCAGCTGGGACCAATCCTTATGTTTGTTTTGTGTTTAGGAGTTGGGATAAGTTCCTGCAGCGGCCTCCATGTCAGGATCAGGAAGCAGACGTTCCTCTGTCCCTCGCAGGTACCTACAGCTGTACTGAGCAGCCAACATATATTGGCTCATAACGTATTCCAAACCATAACACAAACCATGTTTGACATTTTCTATTCATATTTAACTCCTCATATACTCAGGAAGTATAGGAATGGTTTGCATTTGGATTCGGGTGAATGAAGCAAGGTTCTCTCACTCAGGGAGATGAGCTTGTTTACACTTAATAATTACTAAAACTTATCCATGTGTCAATGGTGCCCTGAGCAATTCCCTGAATTAATTCTAGACTCTTTCTTCTCCAGCCGTTGTCTCCATGGAAGAAGTGGCTTTTCTTCACTGTTTAAATCCACATTGACCGGGACAGGGAGCCAGCGTGAGGCACAGCCTCTCCTGCAGCCACCCAGACACACCTCGCCTCCAGTCAGGCTCCGTGACAGCCACCCCACCTCCTCCCTGAGCAGCAGCAGTAACTCAGGCTCCTATAAAGGGAGCGACAGCAGCCCAACCCCCCGGTGAGTGGCAGAGACTCCTGCCTCTAACCCCAACTTGACAAATTACACCCCCAAATTAACAAAAGTCCCATTTGGTGAAGACACTAGACTCCCTGTCTCTGCTGAGTTTCAATCTCATCTTGGCGGCAATTTGAGACCATTAGTCCCAGCACAATTGGGTTTGTGGGGTATCAGTTCCCCCTCATTATTTCCAGCAACCGCTCCTGGAAAATTTCACGTGAGTATCATGTGAGGACTGACTGAGCTAGGATGAGTCAGGTTAAGGCACTCCTGCAAGAGCGAAGGTTAAGCCTCACTCAGTCCGAAACACTTATTGTCCAGCTGTGGGACGTCCTCGCGATGTGAAAGGCGCTATACAAATGTTGTTGTTGGCTCTGCATTACTTATATTCTCAAATCACCCATAGGCGTTCCAACAAGTACACCTCCTGCAGTGAAAACCATGGTATCAAACCCCCCACTCCTGAACAGTACCTGACCCCATTGCAGCAGAAGGAGGTCTGCATTCGTCACCTGAAAGCCAAGTTGAAAGAGACACAAGAGAAGCTGAAGGAGAGGTATTTGTCGACACCGAGGAGGCCGAGTCTCTTCTCTGTGTTCCTCTCCACCACTGGGCGGCAACATAGAAACTTGGATTAACAGGGGCACAATAGGGTCATTCGCCCCTTTGAGCCTTTCACCATTTTTTATTAAGATCTTTAATTGCATCTGAGTCAGAGCAGATGTCAATTAGCATTTGCCGGAGAATATGGGTCATTGTTGTGTGTGTAATCTTTCATCATGAACCTACTTTCTTTTTTTAAAAGCTGATGCAGTTGTTAAGTAATCCAGCACTCGTCATTTTTATTTATACTAATTATAAAGATGCCCAATTTGTTAGACCCTGCTCTCTCCCTCCCCATATACAATGCAGTCCCTGTAGCACTGCACGGTCAGCCCAGACCATGGTGTTTAAACCTACAACCTTCTGATTCAGAGATGTGAATGTGGGCAGCAGAGCCAGGCACCTGACACTGTCTTTCCTGCAGGGAGGCTGAGGTGGAGGATCTAAAGCTACAGCTGGGCCGGATGCAGGAGGACTGGATTGAGGAGGAGTGTCACCGGGTGGAGGCGCAGTTGTCGCTGAAGGAAGCTCGGAAAGAAATCCAGCAACTGAAGCAGGTGATTGAGACGGTGAAAGAAAACCTGGTGGAGAAGGACCGTGGCATCCAGCAGTATTTTGTAGACATCAACATCCAGAACCGTAAACTGGAGTCGCTGCTACACAGCATTGAGCGGGCGCAGGAGGGGGAGGAGGCCCAGGAGGGGGAGGGGGCCCAGGAGGGGGAGGGGGGCCAGGAGGGGGAGGGGGCCCAGGAGGGGGAGGGGGCCCAGGAGGGGGAGCTAGAAGGGGAGCAATGCAAGTCTACCAGTGGCTCTCCAGCCAGGTCCCTGCTTCGCAGTAACATGTTCACCGAGCTGAATGAAGGAGAGGCCAGGCCCCAGAGCAGACATACTCTGTCAGCTGAGGACTCACTGGTCACCACTGGCTCAGATGTGTTGTTGGTGCTGAGTGATGGAGAATTGCTGGCACCAGCTGTGCCGGGCGTCCCATGTCACTGGAGCCGCCACTACCTGCTGGACCTGCTGGCGGTGACAGTCCCAGTGCTGCCAACTCTGATGTGGATTTTCTGCACCCAACGTGGTGGCACCCAGCCTCTCTATAACATTAGCTGCTTTCTCCGCACCTGCTGTCTAGTGGCATTAGGCTCCCTGCGGACAATGAGCAACCAAGAAGTGAGGGAAACTCTGGCACCTCCTCTCAGCCTCTCTCCTGACCTGCAGGAAGATAAATTATAATTATTAAGAACAACATCAGCTGTTATAGTTTAAGAAGGAGTTGTTGGGAGTTTGGAACGGGAGGGAGTTAGATCTGGAATTACACGTTTTATTTCATAAAGACTCAAACCTGCCAAATCCCACATCAAATCATTTTAATACAACATTCAAAACCCCGTCAGTAGAAAGCAGCACACCTGTAGCTGGGGGGGAAGGGTGGGGGGAGTTTAGAAATGGATGGACCTTTGCTTCTCATGGCTCGGAGAAGCGAGCAATAAGAGGTTTCCTGGTTGGTGTGACCTGGAGCGTGGGGGGGCAGTGGGCTTAGGCATCCGAGTCTGGAAGTCTGGGAGATGGTGGGATTGATGGCAACATGTGTCTGTCACAGACTCCTGCCTCTTTGGGTCTATTGTCAACATCTATTCACACACAGACTAGATGAGGAGGTTGTCGTCAGTACGATGCTCTGTTCTGCTCAGCGTCCTGCCCTCAGTCGTCTCCTCATTCTGTGCGTGTGTCGCCCCAGCAGCAGTGGCAAGGTCTATCAAATATGAAATAGTTTCCTGTTTTTATATTAAAAAAATGATTTCAATTTGCAAAGTCTGTCCTTTGTTTCCCATTCATACACAACTGTTGCCGAAGTGTTGCTCATGGATTAGGCTACCAACTGTAATGCTTGTAGAAACACTATATGGACAATTGGGGGATGCCAGACACTCAAAGTATGGAAAAAGATCAACTAGTTTGAGATGGTTTTCAGGTCTTGGTATATTGATGGACATGCTAGGAAACAAACATAATACGCTTATAAAAATGCAACAATTTCATAAGGTTTAGAGAAAGCATTTTATTGTAAAAGCATTTTGGAACTTACTGTATCGCCAATCACAAAGCTACAGTGCAATGACGATCTCAGAAGCCGCACAGAAGAGAATGCATTGGCAGACTTCAATTACAAATTGTGACTAGCTTCAAAGGACACCATCAGTTGTTTCACACAAATCATTTATCAGAGAATGAGGGATAGAGGGACACAGTATACACTCATACCACGGAACAGCCACTGGAATTTCAGGAATCTATCCAGTTGTATATTTAGTTAGAAATGTAATTTAGACACATTTAATCAGTGCAGTAAGGCTGTGATATCACAAGTTTTCCTGCAGCAGCCCCCGTGATTTAAGCCTTTCCTATGATTTGTTACCTGTGTATTAGCTTCTCCCTCGGTCACCTTCTGCAAGCAAGCATTGTGAATCAGTTTTACCAGGAAATCAGACTTCCTGCAGTACATTAAATCGATCATAGGTTTAAATAATATTTCCCCAGATTAGATTGAAAACCAGTGGTGCTGGGCAGCTCATGAACTTCAGGTAAAGCTCAAGACTAGATTCCAAGCAAAGACAAACATGTCCTGCTTAAATGAATCTAACATGTATTAATCACAAACCAAGATGGTATATCTCTGCTATATAAAATCTGACTTACATACCCAAATGGTTTAGTTGTTCCATTCATTTATGGCTTCAATGAGTCAAATCAATGATTATCATGCTGTTAACTGAATAAACAAGATGTGCTTCTTTGTATTTAACATCGAGGAAATGATCTACCAGGCACAACATGGTCTTGGATAAAAAGCAAAGCACAATAACATCAAAAATGGAAACAGGTTCGGTTATAGCCCACAGGTGTCCGCAAGATGACAGCCCATGGATGTTTGCAAAGAACGGACTTGCTGTTGATAGATGCTGACAGTGGGTGCTCGACAGATAGAGTAAGTGTAGTGTGATTATAGACTAGGCGCTACTGCACTCTCCAAGCTTGCCAATGTTCACATGCCAAAATGCGGCAACAAACCTGTTAAAAGAAAGAAAAAAAAACTAGCATCTACTTTTTTCCTCCCCAAATTAGCAACAATAGGAAAGGAGTTTAAATAGTTAAATAAATCACCGCTGCTGTGCAGTTACACCTACCAGCCAATGAGTTACTCCAGCCGGAGGAGCTCAATATCAAATATCAAAGTTGCATTAGGTGGAATGACACCAGGGTAACCTTTGGATCCATAAGCATATTCTGGTGTGCAGGTCAGCTTAGCTCTCTGGCCAACGCTCATCTAAAACAAAAATACACAAGAATTATGTGAAGATCAATTTTCATCTTGAAACTGATGAGCTACACATTGTAAAACACCTTGCATTTGTATAGCGCCCACACGCACGGCAGCATCGCAGAGCACTTAAGTAAAGGAGCACTGCAGTAAAGGAAATGAAGAACCTGTTGGACATACTCTACAAATTGTTTTTTAGTCACACATGCAGAAACCCATTACCATGGGTCAGAGTATTCAAACCAGATAGTTCTACTTATATATGCTACCCTCACTTGGAAATTTTCATGTCTGGAAATGCAAACACTCTAGAGGGACGCTCCCTGCGTACCTAATTGCCCCAGTGACTTGTCTCCCTCCCCACCTCCACAAGTCTTACTGATGAGTCAGGCTGGCTGATCTATCATGAGCAATGCCCTGGAGATCTGTGCCCCACCTGACTAAGGAACAGGACAACCAAGAGGAATGACTTGATTCTAACATTCCGCTGCCAAGAACATCATGTTGTAGCCAAGTCACCAGCTGGTCACGTGGTTACTAAGAAAACACATGAACTGAACAATATCTAACCTCAGTTCCGACTTCTCACTCTTCAAGGAAGAATAATTATGGAACGCTTTGAGACATCTCGAAGATATGATAAGGCGCTATATCAGATGCAAGGATTATTATGAGCACTCGAGCACCAAGGCCATTCAATGGTCAGCATCCTGAAAAAGGAGAAGACTAGAGAAGCTGCGATTTTACCTGAGACACTCCTTCTTCCCAGCCTCTGATGACTTCTCGTCGACCCATTACAAATGCAAATGGCTTGCCTCTGTCACGAGAGGAATCAAACTGAGATCCATCTAGCAGTGTTCCTGTTGGTAAAGCGCAAGATGTCAGTAAATGGAAATGTTGCATGTCAACTGACATTTGTCAACCCCATAGAAACACCCGAACATTAAAACTTATAATGCTTCTTTCTATTGCTTCTATTTTGGTGGCCACTTTGGATTGAAGCAGAACTATTCCTCGCTGGAACTTTTCGCACATTATCGCTGTCACAATCTCGGTCATTCACTCTGTTTTAAGGCAGCTCCCCTTACCCCTCTTTTGGGAACTAAATACAGATATCCTGAAACCCAGCAGCACCAATCTTGTTCTTTTAATAGTGTGTAGAACAATACTTTACATTTATATAGTTGCTTTCACACAAGATATATACCAGTAATGCTAGGGGAGTAAACTTGAATGTTATCAGTATCTTCCGTGATTACATGGTTCCCTCCATTTCCAGATGTTTCATTTGGGTGCGTGACCACCATCAGTGTGCTGGGAATGCTACAATTGGTGTTTACACTTGTGGATATGGAGAGAGAGAGAATATCACTACGTTGGAAAGTGCTGTTATGCTAGGATTGGCAATAAACTGCTATAGTAAAACAGCCTATTCACACTCACTGTGAAAGCCATTTGAGCAAGGTGCTACTCACTCGAATGAAACTGTACCGCAGGACAAATTGTATGTTCAGGAGTGAGAAAAATAAAAGATTCCCAATGTTGGATGACCATAAATAATAATCTTCACATTTGATGCAATAATAATTCTTGGATTTGATATAGTACTTTGTCATGTCTTCGAGATGTCTCAAAGTGCTTCACAGAATTCACTGCTGTGCATTACCATTTCGTCAAAACATCTTAAAACGCTTAACAGGAATGATCAAAAAGTGTAATGACTTTGTCTTTGTGAGTACACCAGGCAATTGATGCAGAGCACTGTCCCAAACAAAAACAGGTACTCACTTCATGGCTGTTTGTGGGAAATTGTTGTGGGAGACTAGCTGCTCCATTCACCCACAAAATACAGTCATACTTTTCAGGAATTTCATGTTTTACTTTATCCATTAAAAATGTTTTATTTCTTTTTATCACATTTACACCTCTTCTCCACATCAACACTTCTCCATCTCCGGCTTATATGGGGGGAAAGTGGTACACCAGTATGACTGAGTTCTAGAAGACTCAGCAGGCAATGGCAGTTGGCTTTTTTGTTTTATGTCAGTTTATACATTTTTCATTTCATTCCACGATGTATTTACCAAAAAAGGGGCTCTTGAGAAACTCCTCACCTGGTTTATCTCCTCTCCCAAGGATAACAGTTGGTCTCTACCACTCGAAAACAGCTCGTCTCAGAGAAAGCTGACTGGCGATATTTTTATAATGCTATAACGTGATTTTATAGACCCAACCACTACACTATAAAGGGGTCCAACTGAATATATGCTTCAGATATCTGGCACAAGTTATTACTGAAAGTGTAATTATATAATTCTGGGCACAACAGTTAACATTCGTATCCAAATTAAACATATTCAGTAACTCCCCAAGTAACATCTGTCAAAGAAACAGAACTCAATCTGGTTCCCAGACTCAGCACCGAGATTGTCAAACACAGGGAACAGGAACTGGACTGTAAGCGCTGATATTCACTGTCAAGAGTTGCAGATATCCGCTGCTCCCGCCGGGCAGTGCCGCTCCACCACCGGCTGCTCCCGCCGGGCAGTGCCGCTCCACCACCGGCTGCTCCCGCCGGGCAGTGCCGCCCCCCCCCCCCCACAGCGTTAATAGGCTCTCCATAGACTTTTATTCTGTGTGGTTTGCTTCAAACTTTGTGTAATTGAGGATCGTCCCCGTTGTCACCGGGAATATTAAGTGTAATATATTGTACAGAGTGCGCTACACTGATTCTCACTTTGATGAAGAACAGCACATGTGGTCGGGGCCCTCCCGGCGGCACCGAACATGGCTCTGAGTCTCAGACCCGGACCCCCTCCCACCGGAACACGCGCTGTCGCCGCTGTTATTGTTGCTGATCGGACCCCCTCTGGTGTCGCCAACAGCCGCGCGTCACTCACCCACATAGTGAACCACACAGCGCTGCTGCTTCTTAGGAAAAGTCCGTCCTGGAAAACAAGCGGAGTTTAGTCCAGGCCGCGCCCCCGCGCCCGCCCCCCCCCCCGGGCCACCCGCCGCCCGCCCCGGCCCGCCCGCCCGCCCGGCCGCCCGGCCACCCGCCGCCCGCCCCGGCCCGCCCGCCCGCCCGGCCACCCGCCCGGCCACCCGCCGCCCGCTCGCCCGCCCGCCCGCCCGGCCACCCGCCGCCCGCTCGCCCGCCCGCCCGGCCACCCGCCGCCCGCTCGCCCGCCCGCCCGCCCGGCCACCCGCCGCCCGCTCGCCCGCCCGCAACATCCCGGCTTCCATCTGCGAACCCCAGGCCTCGGGGCCTAAGACTATCGGAGCCCCCGCCAGAACCGCCATTAAGCCGTCCCCACACCGCTGTCCAGTCAATCTCTTACCGTCCCCCGGAGCGATGGTTTCGACCTGCACTCCCATCGCTGTGCTGTTATGTCTGGGCTGAGGGCTGAGGGCTGAGGCCGAGGGCTGAGGGCTGAGGGCTCGGGGCTGAGGCCGAGGGCTCGGGGCTGAGGCCGAGGGCCCGGGGCTGAGGCCGAGGGCTCGGGGCTGAGGGCTCGGGGCTGAGGGCTCGGGGCTGAGGCCGAGGGCTCGGGGCTGAGGCCGAGGGCTCGGGGCTGAGGGCTCGGGGCTGAGGGCTCGGGGCTGAGGCCGAGGGCTCGGGGCCGAGGGCTCGGGGCTGAGGGCTCGGGGCTGAGGCCGAGGGCTCGGGGCTGAGGCCGAGGGCTCGGGGCTGAGGCCGAGGGCTCGGGGCCGAGGGCTCGGGGCTGAGGGCTCGGGGCTGAGGCCGAGGGCTCGGGGCTGAGGGCTCGGGGCTGAGGCCGAGGGCTCGGGGCTGAGGGCTGAGGGTTGGGCCCGAGTCGCGCGGTGATAACGGTATTTTAACCAATCAGCTCACAACCGTTACAGCTTCAGTTCCCGGATGTAGATCCTGTTTCAGATTGAGCGCTTTGATTGGTTCAACTTCGAGCGCAGTGATTGGCCAGCCCCGAGCCCGGTGATTGGCTTAGCTACGAGTGCTGTGATTGGTGCAGCTATGAGTGGGATCCAATCTGGCTGTTGTTGAAGAGGCTGTCAGTGTCTACATCACCATCATCACTATCACCATCATCATCATCGCCGTCATCATCACCAGCATTGTCGCCGTCACCATCGCTCTCACCATAGCTCAGCAGCTCAGCCCTTTGTCTCTCTCTTTCATGTTGACGTCACTTGCTGTTCGGATGCATATTTCTCTGCAGGAATCTCTCCTCCGCTAAACTTACTGTCAATAAACACACACTTACATAACGACTTCCACAATAGGATGAATGTCTGGAAATTGTTTACAGACACAAGGGGAATCCCCCATTGATGACAGTTTGAGGATTTGACCAAAGGTAGTCAAAGAGAGATTGTAAAAGAGAGTTAAAGAGACACAAGATAGATCAGGGTGCAATGTAGCGATGCACTGAAGATTTATTCACTGGGACAGAAGGAGGTGCGAACAGTAGACCAAAGTTAGAAGAGGAGAGAGAACAAATGGGAGAAATAGAGGACAAGTCATTGATGAGAAGAGATAAGACTGAAAAGATTTAAACATTAGAACAAGGACTTAATATTGCTACACCCCCAAATACAGAGTGTACTCATCTTAATAAATTAATCGGACAGGCTCACTAGGGAAACAGTGCAAGTAGAAAATGTCATTTGTTTCAAGAACAAATTAAATAGATTTCTGCTAGAAAATAATATCTCAGGATACAGTATATCGTTTGGGACATAGCCTGTCCAGCAACTGCCAGGATGGTGGAAGACAAACTAGATGCACCTTAGTCTTCTTTAGCCTAGCAAATTCTTATGTTCTTATCTTGTATGTAGTTCTTTGCTGCCACAAGAAGTTGTATTAGAAATGATAAATCTTGAAATTCATGAAGAGTAATTTACAATACGTTTAATGCTGATTAATGCAACAGAGATTGCTGCAAAACTCTTAATGCCAGAAATAATTACATTTTTTAATAAATCTGTTTCAATAATCGGCTGGTTGTGGGCAATGAGGATTCAAGGTGAGAAAGTTGTTTGTCAGAAGTCATTGTAATAACAACCAGGAAAATGCTTCCAAAAATCTATTAAAAAAATCTTTTTGAAAATTGAGACTAATGAAATATGTTCCATTATACAAATTACCACATTTATACAAATGTGCATTTTTGTCTCACAGTCAATATCCTGAGGCACAATCCCCACTACCAGGGTGAACTTAGCCTCCACAGAGTAAGCAGAGGAAGTGGGACAGAAGCAAACCAGAATGATAGTGAGTAGGTAGTGAGCCAAATATGGCTAGGAATTTCAGGTGTGAATTAGGAATGGGTTTGGGATGAGTTACGCAGTGTGGTCCAACGATAACTTTATCCGGCCCGCGACCATTTCCATCATTCCAACTTCCACTTGCTGGATGCGACCTGCGGACCTTTCTCAAATAGGGAATCCAGCCCACGGCAGCCAAAAGGTTGGTCTGTCCTGAGTTAATGTATGCTAAATGCAGAGCAACATTCCAGATTGGGGAAATCTCTTCTGGACATGAAGATTTACAGCAGCCATAGTAAGATAGGGTGTAAATGGACAATATTGTGGAGGTGATAGATTAGATGTAGCATCAGTTCAGGATGATTGTCCTCCATGAGAATTTAATAAAACATAACAAATTGATTTAGTTAGAAAACTAATTCATGCCTCTTTATTTTCTAGCACAGCCATCTCATTAAGAATGGATAGAAAGGATTTGTGATTTATTGAGGTCCATGTAGTTGTTGGTTTTACTGACATTTTGTGTAACTGAGTTCCATGTGGTGCACTTCAAGTTCAGATAAGCAAATCGGTTCCACTCTAATACGGCACCAATTCAGGAACCTGACGTTGCAGCTGATAAAGTGTTCCTCAAAGTGTGTGGATTTCTTCCAGCTCAGATTCCCAGTCTCTCCTGCTGAGAAACAAGGGGACAAAATGAGCTGTTGTATAAACCCACACGGTCAGCCATGGTGTTCAAGATATCCCAGACACCAGAAGCACAAGATTTTCATCAAGCAGCTTTCCTCAACCTCTCGGGTTCCAGTTGTTAAGCGCTCTGAGACACTACCCTACGTGGTGGGGTGCTATATAAGTGCAAGTTGTTGTTTTTAGGTTTCAGAGAATCATATAGCACAGAAAGAGGCCATTTAGCACATCGTGCCTATGCTGGCTCTTTTTAAAGAGATATCCAAATCCAAATCAATCCCACTTCCCCGCGCTTTCCCCATAGCCCTGCAAACTTATAGAAAACTTATAGTTTGTGATCAGTATTTTGTTACAAACTATACTCAATTCTACACAATAGGTCCTGCCCCTTCACACACCTGGGTCCCATGTCTTTAGTTCTTCAGTCCCTCCCCCAGTTTGTACTTCAGGAAAAATCTCCAACCACATGTTGACCACATGTTTTCAGATGTTGATATTTTAGCCTTGGACAAAGTGAGGAAAAACTTATTCACTTACATGACTGCCTCAAGCTCCACCTTCAGTTGTTTTCTTCGCGTTTCATTGATTGGATAAAAGTAAAATATTACTAAGCCAATAAGTAGTAGCGTTATTGGAATGGGAGCTATCAGGACCCTCAGAGTAATGGCCACGGTTGGTGAATGTGAACAGGTGCCAGCTCTGTAACCCGAGAAACTGAAGAGAGAGAGAACCATTTTGGTATAAGTACTATATGAACTGACCCTTCATATCACATTCCAATGTGGGAAGTCACAATAATAACACAACAACAAGATTCCATTTATTGAGCGCCTTTCACGTCGGGAGGACGTCCCAAGGCGCTGTACAGTTGGGTCAGGACCCGAGCATTGGGGGGAAATGGTTAGGGGGAGGGAAAGGAGGGAGCGAGGAGGGGGTAGAGATTCGAGAGGGGAGCTGAAGGCACGGTCAAAGAGAAAGGTCTTGAGACCGGCCTTGAAGGAGGAAAGGGAGGAGGCGGCGAAGGCACTGGGGGATAGAGTTCCAGAGCCTCGGGGCTGAGAGGCTGAAGGCCCGGCCACCGATGGTGCGGGACAGTACACGAGCTGCAGAGTTCTGAATGACCTGCAGTGTGGAGGGAGGGCCGGGAAGGCCGGCGAGGAGAGAGTTCCCATAGTCCAGCCTTGAGGTGATAAAGGAGTGGACCAGAGTTTCAGCCGCGTGAGGGGTGAGGTAGTGACGTAGTCTGGCGACATTCCGGAGGTGATGGAAGGCGGTGCCAGTTGTGGCGTGGATATGAGGGAGAAAGGACAGCTCAGGGTCGAACAGAACCCTGAGGTTCCTGATGGCTTTGAGAGGTTTAGAGTGCGGCCTTGGATGCTGATGTGGTCAGTGCCAGCATCATACATCATACACAAACTGGTTGGTGAGGCTACGGGAGATGGAAACCTGTCAGTTGCGTGGGTGACCGGATGTGAAGTTGTGTACTTGTACCAGATATGATCCTGCACAGAACATAAGGCTGTGTGAGCCATGAGACTTTGAGGAACTTACTGCAGACACAAAGTTGAGAATCCGAGTGAGGCGCCAGCGGCAAATTTGGTGAAGAAGACATAGAATGAGTAGAACAAGGCCTCAAGGTCCAGGCAGTGTGGGTGTTTGGCTCTAAAATCATCCACTACATCTGGCAGCATTGACCTGGAGAGAGACACAGGAATCAGACAAGCTTTAACAAAGGGAGCAACAACAGTTGCTGGGATCAAAATGTGTTTTCTCCTGACTGAACAGGGATTGACGTCAGGCACAATGCACCATATCTCCACCAGAAAGTTCTTGCAATGTGCGCAAGAATATGTGTATACATGAGAGTCAGTGCTCACAAGCATCCGTATTTGAGCGTATTTAAATGTGTGCATACACATGAATGAGCATTTAGGAAGGAATGAATGTATGAATGAATGAAGCCACAGCAAAGTCTCAATGCAGCCTGTAAGTACCATTGTCACTGATGGATTTGGTATGTGATGTGTTCATTGTTGGAAATGAATTATTTTTAAATACTTCATTTTCACCTTTGATCTCTTGATCAGCAACAGCTGCTGAGTCTATCACAGGTCATCATAGTAATGGTGCAATCTTACCATGGCAACAGGAAAGCCACAGCTAGGCTAGCACCAGCAGGGACAGCCATGACTGTGATCAGTGACAGATTTCTGTTGACCAGCGCGATGGTGATCAGAGGCGGAATGTACCACTGAAAGAGAGGGAAATGAATGTTAGTCAGTCACAGCAGCAAAATAATTAATAATTCAAGATTTGAACTTAAGAATTACTCATCAAATGACTAAAGTCAGCACCTAATATTCTGTTAACAGATAACATTCCATTGAAGATGTTTTTATATTCTGACAGTAAATGGTCTAACCACAAAAGACGCACAGGAAATACACAATGTGCAACAAACAGGAAATAGACTAAAGCTCTTAGGAAATGATGCAGGGACAACCTGACACCGATTCCACACAACATTATAAGTGTGACTAGCTTTTCATCTTTTGCAGGGCTGCCACAGTTTAATGCACATTAGCTGTTCAGTGGTTAAATGTTAACATTTAATGATGTTGAGCATCCTTCTAAAAAGTTATTATGAAACAAAAGTTCAAGTATTTTTCAAGAGAATTTCCTCCAATAGCAGCAAATGTTTTTATAGCGAGGTGGCATTTGATGAACAAATAAACATAACTTACTATCAGTCCCACAAACAAGGCTGTTTTCTTTCCGAATTTCATCAGGACCCACTGCCAAAATGGAACTGTAAGTGCAGCTGAAACCTGAACAAAGGTAAATTAACAAGTTAAACCACAAGTGAAAGATGCAGAAGTTTATAAACAGTCCCCGATGCTCGTGTCACTGTACCCAAATTTGGCAAACATAGGAGGAAAAAAGTCTGAGAAAGGTAGGAGACCTATTCAATAATAAACTTATATAGAATTACACAGAACAGCACAACATGAAAACAGACCATTAGGCATAACTAGTCTGAGCTCCAAGCCTCCTACTCCCCTCTATCGCCTTCTCACGTATGCATCAAATTTTTAAAATACGTTGATGCTTTTTATCACAGCTTTCAGTAGTGATTTACATATTCTTACTATGCTCTGTGTAACTAATACTTACATTTGATATCACACCTTTCACGTTGGGAAGACGTCTCAAAGCACTTCACAGAATATACTGTAAAGTGTAATTACTGTACTTTTGTACACGATACTAGCAGCTAATTTGCGCACAGCAGTCTCCCACAAACTCATAAAATAAATTATCAATCTTATCTGGGGGATTGTTAGCCTGAACACTGAGAGAAACTCTGTTCTCTTTTTGAATAGCGCCACACGGTCTTTAATGTCTACCTTGGTTTAACATCTCACCCAAAGGACAGCACATCCTCAGTATTTTAGTGCCTAGACTGAGTTTAAAGTCCTAAATTTCCTGCTAAACTCCTTTTTTAAATCTACTACTGTTATTGGTACAGTACATTGGTACGGTTAGCATGGTGCAAATATGATGGATCAAGTTGCCTCCTCCTAAGAGAGTTGAATACATACCAGGATTATGAGCACGATGTGTTGGAAGTGATGTCCCAAACCAGCTGCGTGCGTGCAGAACAGCGCAAAGTTACCCTGGACGAGCTGGAGAGAGACAGGCAGTGATTCTCAGAATAATACCAAGTTTTTGTTCCATTTTTAATAACTCAATATACAATCTCCAACACTCCTCCCCACACAAGCCACTGAGGATCATGTCCAACCAGACAAGCCAAGAAGCCAGCTTCAAAATTGATTGATTCTAAGCTAGCATTTCCCGATTGTTATTTGCAATCCTGCTGAAACATGCACGTCTGAGCAGACAGGACTGAGCCTGACTGTAAAGCCCCCTCTCATCCAATGCTAACTACTGGACCCTCATCGACTAGCCTCACGGAATGGAGGATCAGATGCCTTGGTTTCAGATCTGGAAAAGCTATGAACTTTATTCAGGAACATTCCATGCCATGTACTGCATTCTTAGGTCTGTCACTTAATTACCAAAGCCCATGAGCTGCCATTGAACATTCACGACATCATCTTCATTCATCACTTACCTGAAAAGCTAAAGAGATGAAGAGGAAGCCAAAGGTCAGGCTTACATATGGTTTGTGGTTCATCACCAGCTTCAGGCCAGTCAGGTATGAAACCGCAACCTGGTTCTTGGATGCGAGGGAGCCTGGAATAAGAGCATACCATCACCAGCTTCATGCAATCAGACATTGTCAGGTTTAACCTTATGGAATCTAGAATAATTTGTGGATGTGCCCTCTCACCTTCAGCTGCTGGTTGGTGGGTCACTGTAGGCTGGAGGCAATCCTTTCACACACTATGCGCAAGCATGTTGCTCATTCTACTCAGAATCCTTCTAACAAGAGCTCAAATCCTCAGGAGGGGGCAGATGTAAGCAGGGTGACTAACCTGGCGATGGAGAGGCAGCTTGGGTGGACTGTGGTGTTGATCAGCCTGCCTGGCTCATCATTGTGACTTCAAGGGGCAGTCTCGCGAGGGATTTGATTCTTCTCACTTGCGTCCTGATGGATAACCTTGCAAGCTTACAGTGCATTATATTGATAATTTGTTCAGTTTCAGCTGGCATGCTCTAGCCATTCCACAATGTGAACTTCAGGATTTCTGATGCCTTTGCTACTGACAACCTGCATCCCCTTCACTACAGCATCTCAACCAGACTCAACTTAAGTTTCTCCTATTGGAGAAACTCAAGGTGCATGGAGCAAACGCGGCAGTTTGGATAGAAAGGTTATTGAAGAATACGAACTAAGAGATTAGGCTTAAAAGGATATTTTTCCAGGTGATGGAAAGTAATTAGTGGTCTCTACTGGGGCCTCTCTTGTTTTCCATGTATATTCATGACAGTGATTACAAGGGGTATCAAAGTTTGTGGATGATACCAAGCTAGGCGGTATAGTGAATAGTGAGGTGGCTGGCAAGAGACTGTAAGAGGACTTTAACAGATGGGTGCAATGGGAAGATGGTTTAATGAAACAAAATGTAAGGCGATTAATTTTGGTCGAAATAGCAGTATTTTGCAAGGAGCAGACGAGCAATGGGACCTGGACGTTGAAAGTGGAAGTGGACGTGGGAAGACCTAAGAAAAAAAGCGAAATATACATAGGGGCATAGATTACTAAATTACTAGATTACTAAAGCAAAGCAATAATGCTAACTTTGTGCGCAAAGCTAACTTGTGCGCATCATTGGTTAGACCACAACTGGAGTGTTGTATTAAGTTTTGGGCACCTAATTTCTAGAAAGTTAATTAGACCTTGGAAGGGGTACCAGGGCAGTGGGGCCTTTAGTTATGAGGAGAAATTGGAAAAGTTTGGTCTCTAAAATAATGAGGGGGTTTGATGAGTAAATAGGGAGAAGCTATTTCTGCTGCTAGAGGAGTCAGTGACGAGGGACCAAGCTTTAAATCATCAAGATTTACTTTTGCTCTTGTTGTAACTACCTTATTAGTTACAACAGATTTTTCCCATTCAGAGAGTTACTGTAGTTGGGATATGGAATGTCCTGTCAAGTATAGGCAGAGTCCAGGGTGAGTTTCAAGAGGGAAGTAGCAGATGGGTAAATGAAGGGCAGAGGCTTGAAGGGGGTTGGGGATAAGGCAGGACATGGGACTGAATGAACACCTTGCTCTGAAAGCTGGTGGGGCTCGATGGGCCGAATATTCTTCTTTGTGCTATCTCTCTGATTCTATGATTCAATACTCACCGGCCAGTTCTTTCACCCCCAGAAAGAGAATCATTGAACAAATAAAGTAAAGGCCACCAATCACTGCGGCTGCCAGGATATAAGCTCTCTTCTGTAGAAACAAGAGAAACATGGTCTTACTGCTTTTTGATCGTATTGAGATCAGCCATGATAGAAGCTCCACACTTGTAATTGCTGAAATCACCATTCAATGAGTATGTGTGTGTGTGAGGGTATCCAGACTGCAGTCATGAAGATAATGGCAATGCACTCAAGCATTTTGTACTGAGTTAGGTTGCTCACTATTGCAGCTCAATTGGTGTAGAGGAAGAGCCCATTGGCATTACTGAGTATGGATCGGAAGATTGCAGGTTTGCATCCTTATCTAATCTCAGCAGTCACATCTAAATTGGTCGCTGTTATCCATTTAGTGAGTGGTCAAACTTAGGCATGTCAATAACAGCAACTCTTAGATATAAGAGAATATAGAATAAATACTTACAAACCCATATTTGTGTAATTTGACAATTATTACCTGTGAAATGCTTTGAGACATTTGATTCTATGTGAAAGAATTATTAACTGATATAAAAGGGTTAAAGGAACAATGACTTTATAAGTCACTAGGGCCAGATGGCCTACAACCCCAAACAGAGCAAATAGAGATAGATTATAATTCTCAAAATTCTTTGGAAATAGGGCTAACACCAAAGGATTGGAGGGTGGCAAATGTTACACTCATTCAAGAAAGGGGAAAGGGACAGGCAAAGTAACATCAGCCCGGTGTGTCTCACATTATCGGTAGACAAATGGAGGCTATCTTACATTTTAAGGTAAAGTGGTCTCATAGCCTAAGACTAAGTGGAATTTCGGGTATCCGATATTAATGACAAAACGGTCACTGTGAAGTTGATCATTACCAGGAAGAAGACAATTGAGTTGAATTTCCACCTCTTGATTTACTCTGTAACATTTTTAGTGTGTCCAGAATTTGACAAATTCTTAAGTGTTATCTTAATTTTGAAATGGTTTGTAAGTTCACTTAAGAACAACAGAAAAACAGTTTCAAAGTTAAGACTGACTTCAACAATTTGACAAATTCTGACATTAAAATATGACATAAATAGAGTAAATGTAAAGCTGGCGGAATTTCACCCAAAAGTTACAATAAACTTTTATGGTCTGCTCAGGCTGTTCATACACTTTACCAACTGATGTAGATGAGAATATATTTTAAATGTTTTAAAATGTGTTCAGGAAATCAAGCATAATGCCATAACCAAGCAATGGAGGAGAGAAGATCTGGGTTTTTCATACAAGCACAAGTTGGTTGATGCTAGCATCCAAACAACAAATGCACAAAAAATATAATTTAAACACAACTTGCAATACAATGAGAATTGGAACTGACTGTGCTGTCGAGGCTGTTGCCCAGTAACCAGGTACTGTTGATGCTCTGATTCTGGCTCAGGCGACAAGACTCAGCCGTCTGTGCATGATACACTCCCACAATCTGCCCCTGAATAGCAGCTCCAGCTAGAGTCGCCACAATCTCCACTCCCATTCCTGCAGAGACACAATAACGCACAACTACATATTGTTGTAAATATTGTACATTCATCCTAACTACATTTACACCAGAGCTCAACTGTATCTTAAGACCACAGCTTAACTCCAACTTGCCTACAGCTTTAACTGTACTTTTTAACTGCATCTCTCCAGAATTTACCATTTATACTTTTCACTGGTTCATTCAAGTCTACAACAGGTTAAAAGCAGTTTTAAAAAGATACATTGTACACATCTCATCTCTCCTCCCATCCTATAACTCATGCTGTTTATCACTTCCACTCATCAATATCCAACACTTCACTCAATGGTGGTGGGAGGGGGTGGGGGGAGTGCTCATTAGCCTTACCGAATGTGGATCAGAAGATTGCAGGTTCAAATCATGAGTTACTCTCAGCAGTTACCTCTACAATTGACCTTGACTTCCCTGGGATGGGGGGGGGGGAAGAAATTCTGCTACTGTTCCCCATTCCTGGTCATTATCCAGAGAACTCTGCTGAAAGATGCTGGTCTATGGATGTCAGGCAAGGACAGAATATGGCTTAGCTATGATGTCCTCTCCCTGTGGATGTCAGACAGCATACGTGAAGAATAGAATATTGCCTGAGGCTCCACAGGGTACCCAGTGCAAGAGGAATAATGTCCCAACGCAGACCAGTGTAACCAAGAAAGGAAGAGACCATGGCAAAATAAAATTTTAGGTATAATTACAATATCACATTATATTCTGTAGATGCCCATCTGATAACTATCGTGTGAACTCAGAGGCTTAATATGACAGCTGCTGGAAAGCTTTCTGGAGTTGGTGTCTGGGAACACATACTTATTGATTGGTATAGAGAGGTAAGCAGCTAGTGCTCAATTTCTGCATTTCCAACTAGAACTGTAGCTCAATGGATAGGGATGTGTTTCATCTGTGGGCAGGAGGATGATGGCAATGTTCTCACACATTTAATGCTCAATTGGATTGCTCACCAGAAATCTCAAAGGCAGTTCCTGGTACCTGCTATCCATCTAGTGAGGATTCAACCTTGTGTGTCAGATGTCAAATAATAATGGGGTTCCACCCAGACAAGCAAAAACAAAGAGCACAGCAGGAAAATGTACAATATCACTACATGGGCTAATTATTTCCAGAAAAAGAGAAAATCTACATTTAATGGTGGGAAAGTGGTGCTTACGGAATGCGGTTGCTGAGTCTCTGTCCTTCTGATCACCACCGAGGAACATAGTGAGAGCCGAGTATGGGACATGGAAACACTGGAGAAAGAGAAACAACAAGTGTCAGAGCAAGATTTACATGGAATGTTACAGGAAACAATCTAACTGTAGCATCAGGTCAACCTGAGGTGAACGATTGTCTCAATTGAATGGACCGGTTCTGTCTCATATTAAAATGTTCGGTAACTGGGATGACTAAGAAACAGTAATACACTCAGGAATTACTCTGTACGTTCAAGAAGCATCAATTGACCTTTTTCGTCTGTCCCACTATTTATCTGATTATGGCAATTTGTTATACAGTAAATCCCATGTCTATATAGCAGTTAAAATTTGAATGAACTTCCGAATAAAATTCATTTCAAACATGATTAAGGTAGAGCTGAATCTCGGGAGGTCACTGAGTTCAACCACAATCAGGATGAAATTGAGTAATTAGCAATTGAGTAAGTACTTAATTTGATCATTTATACCGTTTGAACAACATCCCTGAAGAATCCGCAAGAAAAGTGAGGTCTCCAGGCAAATCACAACTAAGATAGTTCTATTTTGAGCTTCCTCTAGGCATTTACAGGCATGAAACAATTGACCATTTATTTAGGAAAGCTTCTTCACTTTGCTGACAAATCTGTTCTCATGGGCAAGGCACCAAGCACAAACCTGTAGTACCTCTAATCGCTGCTACTGAGGTGAGAATGGAATCATTCACCAAGAGAAATATGTTAATAGGTGGATCAGAGTAGAGAGAACTTTACTCAGTCTCTACCCATACTGTAGCTGACCTGGGAGTGCTGGCTAGACAGTGTAAATAGTACCCATGGAACCTGTTCTGTACGTGATGTGGGAGCATTCAATTAGGTTCAAGAGGCAACTGGGTACATTTCTGGAGGGAAGGGATGGAGGAATTATGTAGCGAAGCAAGGTAAATGAAATTGAGAAGCAAACATGGATTTTTTTTAAGGCCCAATTAACTTTTGTGAGTTTTCATCTAAAAAGACTAAAGCACTTACACTCATACAGGTATGAAAGGCACAGTACGTGACCAAATACCAGATGAAGCTATAGGCTGAGGACATGGTATAGGAGGGGCTGAACCACAACAGGAAATAGGCAGCGACTCCACATGGCATTGAAAAGATTATCCTAGAAATAGTGAAAAGGTAGTTATTTACAGCAAATTACACACTCTAAGGAAGCTTTTCATAAATATGAATATAAAAAAAGGCAATCCACTCTTTACTTTACAATCTTCCTCACAAATTTCACACAAGCTGTAAAGGTGTATTCTCAAGAGTGCCTTTTTGCTCATAATTGTAGTAGTAATAATAAAAGAATTGCATTTGATATAGGTTCCTATCGTGTTATTGAGATGTCTCAAAGCTCTTCACAGAATATATTGTAAAATGGATTTGTGGGCAAAACTTGTGCCATTTGCTTTATTATAACAAACTGATATCAGTCAGACAACAGTTTAGCAGAATTTCAGTCTAAGGCCAATTTACCACCACTGATAGACAAACTTCACTACCAAATGGGGATCTCACCAGTGAACCACCAATGGTCTGTGTGGCTCAGTGCATTTGTGCAATCTATGACACTTAAATATAATAATTTATTCAGTATTCCTTTCCATCTTTCCTCTGCTCTTATATTGGGATAAGAGCTAGGCCAAGTTAAAAGAATAAATCTCCAGGCTGCCCATGATATTTTACAAGCCATTATTCAACTCCTTCAAGCAAATAGCTGAATGGTTACAGCCATCTTCAAAATACCAGATAATGAAACCAGAAACACAGCAGCAGAATATGGATTTTAAAATAATCTAAAGAAAACAAGACACGAGAACTGAAAGTCCTAATAAAGTTATGGGAAGATAACTTAAGTGAATATTAGAAGAGGAAATAGATAAACAGACATGCGCTTCATTACAAAAAGAACAAATAGATTCTATAAGATTGATTACAAAGTGAGTATGTAGGAAGAACAAGAGAGGGAATTGCATTGGAGCAATGATCAAAGTTGTATCTTAACAGAATTTTTTTTAGGGTAGGACGAGAAGGTCAGGTCAAACAAACTAATTTCTTTTTCATGGTTTGTTCTCCTACCCACCCAACTATATCCGTCAATCCCTTCTCATCATCTCCCTCAGTCCCTTCAGGCTCCCATCCATTTCCTCATCATATCTCTCAATCCTTCTTCTTTACAGGGACAAATTTGGGATAGCTTCCTGGGATAGGTACCACATCACATAACACCTACCACCAAAGGGGAGAAAGGAAGTCTTTAGATAATAAGCAGGAGCATAAACTTGGCTATTTTTCTGCCTCCTAACCCAGGGGGCACTACGGCCATTTGTAGCTTTGAAATCAGAAACTTTCTGGTCTATCTGGCTTTAAATATAATGAATGCATTTGATGAATAATGAATGTACTCTTTTGATGAAGAGCATCCAATAGAGTTTACCCCGATATCCTCCGACTCAACCCCAGGGTGTCTCACGCAAACTCACCAAGGCAGCAACTTCCCAAATCTGGTTCTTCTGCTTTTGCTGACAAGGAATCCAACAATGGGATCTGTGAAAGCATCCCACACACGGCCCGTGAAGAGAATCAGACTTGCATAGAAAGCCTCCATCTGCAACAGAAAGATAATCTGGAATCGTACATACAATCACTATCTATACTGCTTTCTTGTCATGTGAAATCTCCTTAAATTTACAATGCATGAATATTGTTGCCACATTCAGTTCCTAATTAGGAGTTGATCGCTGCCTCCTGATTTCTGCCTCCTGGTAGTGGAAATCTGGAACTCTCTGTCCCAAGAGGCTGTGAATGTTGGATCCATTAAAATTTTCAAGACTGAGGTGGATAGATATTTGTTAGGTAAGGGTATCAAGGGATACGGGTAAAGGGTGGGTAATTGGAGTTGAGGTGCAGATCAGCCGTGATCTTATAGAATGCTGGAACAGGTTCGAGGGGCTGAAAGACCTACTCCTGTTCCTATGTTCCTATTAGAGAAGAAGAAAGTGGAAGCGAGCGAGAGGGAGAGAGAGAGAGAGAGACTCTTTTCCTAATTGTTGGTATGGGGGGGTCTGTAACTAGGGTACTCGAATCTAAGATAACAACTAGGGGATCTAAAAGAGAATTTAGGAGGAACTATTTCATGCAGTAGGAAGTGAGAATATGGAATTTGCTGTCTGACAGTGCAGTGGTTAAATCAGATAGTACGATTACATTTACGAGGAAGCAAAATATACATGAGGGAGAAGGGAATAGAAGTTATGGGAACTTCTTTGGGAGGAAATAAGGAGTTGGTGGATACTCAAGTGGAGTTTGAATGAAAAGGTGTTGGCTTGACTCTGTTGCAATGGAGCCTTCTGCTTCTGTGGAAAAAGTAATTAAGGGATATGCGGATAAGGCAGGGCCAGGTTATTAGTTGGAGTTAGATTAGAAGGTGAGCCATGATTGAATGGCGGGGAAGGCTCGAAGGGTCGAATGGCCCTTACATGTTATGTTACGTTAAAAGTCAGGGATGAAGAGGCTGAGGAGCCAAGCTGGATACAGGGAATCTGGGTGGTATTGCGGCGGGGAGGGAGGTGTTGGGGGTGTAACCTGGGGAGGGAGGGAGGGAGGGACGCAATCTTGACTTACATTCGGACCTTATCAATAAGAGAAAATGATCAGAATGCCTCTTCGGCAGTCCTGAAGGACAGTGCTCAAGCAGCCCCCCAGAGTGGCCCCCGCAGCCCCCACAACAATATCCAATATCCTGCAGTGGTCATGAAGTGAATGACTAATCTTACCTGGAGGATTGTTGTCGAGAGCATCAGGAGAAAGTTCCTTCTATTTTCAAATAGTGACATGGAATCTTTGACATCCATTTGAACAGACAGACTGGGCCTGAACATGTCCTGCAAAGGATAACACCCTAACACAAAACAGTAGCCCAACACTGCATTGCAGTGTAAGACTGGACTGTGAGTTCAAAGTCCTGACGAGGAGTTTAACCGCACAACCATCTGACTTGGAAAGTGGAAACATTGCAACTGAGTCAAGCCAACACCTTCTCATTCAAAGTGATTGTCAGACTCTGGACTCCCATCTGATGTTTAGTGTGAAGTTCATACCTGAACCACATCCAGGAGGAAGATCTGTAAGAAGAAGCCAATGGCGTTTCCTGTCATCTGATAGGGGGCCCCACCCATGGCAAAGCACAGCTTCCTGCAGACAGATAATGATTCAGCCTTCTGCTTCTGTGGAAAAAGTAAAAGGATGGAGAGGCTGAGGATCCAAGCGGTGCCGATACAGGGAATCCGGGTGGTATTGCGGCGGGGAGGGCAGTGTTGGGGTGTAATCTGGGGAGGGAGGGAGGGAGAGACTCAATCTTGACTTACATTTGGACCTTATCAATAAGTGAAAACAACCAGAATGCCCTCTTCGGCAGTCCTGAAGGACAGTGCACAAGCAGCCCCCCAGAGTGCCCCCCCCCCCAGCCCCCCAGAGTGCCCCCCCCCCAGCCCCCCAGAGTGCCCCCCCCCAGCCCCCAGAGTGCCCCCCCCCAGCCCCCCAGAGTGCCCCCCCCCAGCCCCCCAGAGTGCCCCCCCAGCCCCCCAGAGTGCCCCCCCCCAGCCCCCCAGAGTGCCCCCCCAGCCCCCCAGAGTGCCCCCCCAGCCCCCAGAGTGCCCCCCCCAGCCCCCAGAGTGCCCCCCCAGCCCCCCAGAGTGCCCCCCCAGCCCCCCAGAGTGGCCCCCGCAGCCCCCAGAGTGGCCCCCGCAGCCCCCAGAGTGGCCCCCCGCAGCCCCCAGAGTGGCCCCCCGCAGCCCCCCAGAGTGGCCCCCGCAGCCCCCCAGAGTGGCCCCCCGCAGCCCCCAGAGTGGCCCCGCCCCCCAGAGTGGCCCCCCCAGCCCCCCAGAGTGGCCCCCCGCAGCCCCCAGAGTGGCCCCCCGCAGCCCCCCAGAGTGGCCCCCCGCAGCCCCCCAGAGTGGCCCCCGCAGCCCCCCAGAGTGGCCCCCCGCAGCCCCCAGAGTGGCCCCCGCAGCCCCCAGAGTGGCCCCCCGCAGCCCCCAGAGTGGCCCCCCGCAGCCCCCCAGAGTGGCCCCCCGCAGCCCCCAGAGTGGCCCCCCGCAGCCCCCCAGAGTCACCTGCCGGACCAACACCGAGTCCCCGCTGTCCTCCTCTTCCTCCTCCTTTTCCCGCAACAGGTCCCGCCCCGCAAACCCCATCCCAGAGGCTCCGCTGTGTGTAATCGGCCGCTGCTCTCTCTGAGGCAGAGTCGGTGTCTCGACGGCGTCACAGCGCAGGATTGTGATCGAGAGCCGCCACTCACCAGCGTCACGGCCCCGGGCACCGCGGCCATGTCCTGATGGGGGGGAGAGCCCCGGGGGTGGGGGGGGGGGAGAGCCCCGGGGTGGGGGGGAGAGCCCCGGGGGAGAGCCCCGGGGTGGGGGGGGGAGAGTCCCGGGGGGAGAGCCCCGGGGTGGGGGGGGGAGAGCCCCGGGGGGGAGAGCCCCGGGGGTGGGGGGGGGGGAGAGCCCCGGGGGTGGGGGGAGAGCCCGGGAGGGGGGGGAGAGCCCCGGGGGTGGGGGGGGGGGAGAGCCCGGGGTGGGGGGGGGAAGCCCGGGGGGGGGGGGGGAGAGCCCCGGGGTGGGGGGGGGAGAGCCCGGGGGGGAGAGCCCCGGGGGGGGGGGAGCCCGGGAGGGGGGGGAGAGCCCCGGGGGGGGGGGAGAGCCCGGGAGGGGGGGGAGAGCCCCGGGGGGGGGGGGAGAGCCGGGAGGGGGGGGAGAGCCCGGGGGGGGGGGGGGAGAGCCCGGGAGGGGGGGGAAGAGCCTCGGGAGGGGGGGGGAGAGCCTCGGGGGGGGGAGGAGAGACTTGGGGGGGGTAGGGGAGAGCCCGGGGGGAAGAGAGCCCGGGGGGGAAGAGAGCCCGGGGGGGAAGAGAGCCCGGGGGGTAGGGAGAGCCCGGGGGTAGGGGAGAGCCCGGGGGGTAGGGGAGAGCCCGGGGGGGTAGGGGAGAGCCCGGGGGGTAGGGGAGAGCCCGGGGGGGAGGGGAGAGCCCGGGGGGGGGGGGGGAGGAGAGCCCGGGGGGGAAGGAGAGCCCGGGGGGGGGAGGAGAGCCCGGGGGGGGAGGAGAGCCCGGGGGGGGGGGGAGGAGAGCCCGGGGGGGGGGGGAGGAGAGCCCGGGGGGGTAGGGGAGAGCCCGGGGGGGTAGGGAGAGCCCGGGGGGTAGGGGAGAGCCCGGGGGTAGGGGAGAGTCCCGGGGGGGTAGGGGAGAGTCCCGGGGGGTAGGGAGAGCCCGGGGGGGGGGGGGAGAGCCCGGGGGGTGGGGGAGAGCCCGAGGGGGGTGTGTGAGAGCCCGAGAGGGTGTGGGAGAGCCCGGGGGGGAAGGAGAGCCCGGGAGGGTGGGGAGAGCCCGGGGGAGGGTGGGGGGAGGAGAGCCCGGGGTGGGGGAGAGCCCGGGGGGGGGAAGGAGAGCCCGGGGGGGGGAAGGAGAGCCCGGGGGGGGAAGGAGAGCCCGGGGGGGGGGGGGGGGGGGGGGGGGGAGGAGAGCCCGGGGGGGGGGAGGGAGCCCGGGGGGGGGGGGGAGCCCGGGGGGGGGGGAGGAGAGCCCGGGGGGGGGGAGAGCCCGGGGGGGGGGGGAGGAGAGCCCGGGGGGGGGGGGGAGGAGAGCCCGGGGGGGGGGGGGGGGAGGAGAGCCCGGGGGGGGGGGAGGAGAGCCCGGGGGGGGGGGGGAGGAGAGCCCGGGGGGGGGGAGGAGAGCCCGGGGGGGGGGAAGGAGAGCCCGGGGGGAGGAGAGCCCGGGGGGGGGGGAGGAGAGCCCGGGGGGGGGGGGAGGAGAGCCCGGGGGGGGGGGGAGGAGAGCCCGGGGGGGGAGGAGAGCCCGGGGGGGGGGGGGAGGAGAGCCCGGGGGGGGGGGGGAGGAGAGCCCGGGGGGGGGGGGAAGGAGAGCCCGGGGGGGGGGGGGGGGGAGGAGAGCCCGGGGGGGGGGGGAGGAGAGCCCGGGGGGGGGGGGAGGAGAGCCCGGGGGGGGGGGAGGAGAGCCGGGGGGGGAGGAGAGCCCGGGGGGGGGAAGGAGAGCCCGGGGGGGGAAGGAGAGCCCGGGGGGGGGGCGGAGGAGAGCCCGGGGGGGGGGAGGAGAGCCCGGGGGGGGGGGAAGGAAGCCCGGGGGGGGGGGAGGAGAGCCCGGGGGGGGGGGAGGAGAGCCCGGGGGGGGGGGGAGGAGAGCCCGGGGGGGGGGGGGAGGAGAGCCCGGGGGGGGGGGAAGGAGAGCCCGGGGGGGGGGGAAGGAGAGCCCGGGGGGGGGGAGGAGAGCCCGGGGGGGGGGGGGGGAGGAGAGCCCGGGGGGGGGGGGGAGGAGAGCCCGGGGGGGGGGGGGAGGAGAGCCCGGGGGGGGGGGGAGGAGAGCCCGGGGGGGGGGGAGGAGAGCCCGGGGGGGGGGGGAGGAGAGCCCGGGGGGGGGGAGGAGAGCCCGGGGGGGGGGAGGAGAGCCCGGGGGGGGGGAGGAGAGCCCGGGGGGGGGGGGGAGGAGAGCCCGGGGGGGGTGGGGAGGAGAGCCCGGGGGGGGGGGAGGAGGCCGGGGGGGGGGGAGGAGAGCCCGGGGGGGGGGGAGGAGAGCCCGGGGGAGGAGAGCCCGGGGGGAGGGAGAGCCCGGGGGGGGGGAGGAGAGCCCGGGGGGGGGGGGGGAGGAGAGCCCGGGGGGGGGGGGGGAGGAGAGCCCGGGGGGGGGGGGGAGGAGAGCCCGGGGGGGGGGGGGGGGGGGGGGGGGGAGAGCCCGGGGGGGGGGGGAGGAGAGCCCGGGGGGGGGGGGGGAGGAGAGCCCGGGGGGGGGGGGAGGGAGCCCGGGGGGAGGGAGCCCGGGGGGGGGGAGCCCGGGGGGGGGGGGGGAGCCCGGGGGGGGGGGGGGGAGCCCGGGGGGGGGGGGGGGGGGGGGGGGGAGAGCCAATGAGAATGTGCGTCTTTGATGAGAAACGCAACGCTTCAGTTGTACAATTAACAATTTTGTGTCAGGTAGAGGGGGATGATTTAATTATTTACAAAGCTAGGAGTGTGGAATCTCCTTATACTTACCTATCTGTCCTCTGGAGGGTGCAGGGAAAGTGCAGTTTCTTTCAAGCTGAGCTGTTCCAAGGTGACACAGTACACAACGAAATGTCAGAACCGAGGCAACCATCTGTGGTGGTCTCTAGTTCAGTTCCTGAGGTAGACAGGTTTGCTGTACTCTAAGGCACTGCTGATGATAGATGACACAACCAAGCTCATCAGGAGGACTTGGAGAGGTAGACTGGGAGCAGGGATTCTTCCCATTTGGTTAACTCGACAGTTTCCCCAATACACACTCTGGGTCTCCCAGCCTTTCCTGTCAGCAATCTGTGCCTAATCGCCTCAGAAATGAGTTAAGCAGGATCCTTCTCTCATGAGAATGCACATTCCATTCCAGACACAGGGAAATTTCCATGTGTAACTAGTATTCAAATGTAGATCTCTGTCTGGTTTCCATTCTCTTAAGCATGGTGATGGGTTTCTGCATGTACGAAACACTCACATGATCAAAATAAATACCAGGCATCTAATACATGGCAGGTCATAGTAAAAATTCTGAGGTTTTATTGATTATTGATTGCTTATTGATTGCATCCTGTTTATTATTGTACTTGGAAAAAGTGGCAACAACAAATTGTGTAGCGTAGATTCAAAAAGTTATCTTGTGAAAAACTATATTCCCCACAAACAAAGTCCCTCGAGCCCTGCCCCGCCATTCGATAATATCTTGGCTGATCTTCTGATGTAACTCTAATTACCTGCCCTATTCCCATATCCCCTAATCCCTGTTTTTAAAAATCTATCAGTTTCAGCCTTGACGATGTTTGTGCAGTCCAGTAGCTCAGTGGTTAGAGCAGTCGCTTTGCAAGCAAGAGACCTGAGTTCAATTCCAGGCAGAGGGCGAAACCTTGGCAAGTTTCCTTACTCCACACTAGTAATAATCCCTCCAAAAAAAAAAATAATAATAAATTGGTCATTTTCAATCCATGACTGTTTGTGGGACGCTGCTGTGCGCAATTGGCTGCCGCATTCACCCATAAATCTACAGTCAATTCACTTTACAGCATATTCTGTGAAGCGCGTTAGGATGTCTAGATGTGAAAAGCTCTATATCAAATGCAAGGATTATTATTATTATTATCTACAGCCTTCTGGGGGAGTGAATTCCATAAATTCACTGCCCTCTGAGTGAACAAATGTTTCCTCAACTCTGTTCTCTTGCTGTGCCTCAGTGGCGCCTTGCATTAATTGTCGGTAATCGTTTGCACAGAAAAAAGAGGATATAGAGACTGAGATTTAGCCACACTGTGGTCAGAAGAGCAGAACATTTGGCATCAGAAGTGACCGAAGCACCGATCTGCTTCCATGAAGTTGACGACAAACTCAATTGAAGTTGCTATCTTCTCCTCCATCTCTTCCAGGCAACGGCGAGATCACCTGACATTCCAGACAGGGGAATTTCCAATGTGTAGTTTGTAACTTAATATTGGAACTCTGCCTTGAATGCTGTTGATCATGGTTTCCGAGTGTATCAGCTGGTTCCATCCAAAAAGTCATCTAACCACTTATCTTGGTTTCTCTCCTAGTCTTGTCAGGCATTCTGATGGTTCCTTTTCCCTAATTATAAATAAAACTTGTTTGGTTTCTCAATAAAAAACACACCAGCACCACTGAACAATTGTCGCCAGTCCTTTCCAGATCCCAAATTTAAATGCTCAGTTTATAAAAAATAATTCTTGCACGTGATATTGGCTCTGATCACATCACCTGCTCAAAGTGCCTGATGTTTAACTTATGAAGCATTGAATGAGAATATGTGGATCAAGACTCCCAGTTGATACTGGTGATTTTTTCCTTGAAAAGGGAAGTGGAATTAACTATTTGAGAGGTTAAAGGGACAGTTACAGTCAAAAGGAACAAAAAAAACAATGGGAGCTCTGCTCCCAGCTCTGCTCCCAAGTAGACCTCGCTTATCCACCGCTCCCCAGAGGATAAGCCAGTTAAAGTTCTGTGCTCACACATCTAGTTATTAGACCTCCACACTATCTGATCACTTCCTGTAAACAAAGCTGAGCTTCACATAGTATCAAATCTGTACAGGACCCAGCTACACGGGGAAATCACTGGGACTAGACCAAGATTCAGCTTCCTTATTAAGGACACATTAGTGGAGTCCGATAGCTTAGTGGTTAGAGCATTTGCTTCGTAATCGAAAGGACCTGGGTTCGATGCCCGGGCAGGGCAAAACTTTGGGCAAGTTTTGTTACGCCACACTCCTCTGTTTACCTAGCAGTAAGTAGAACCCGGTTGTTAGTCGATTGGCAGATTGCTAATATTGCAAATAGACTTCAGAACTTCTTATATTTGATTGAAATTTTAAAATAATTGTGAGGAATCCCCACAAACACAATTGTAGTCAAAATAATATTTGCTGGCTTAGTGCAACAGCTTATATTTGTTTCACTTAAAACAGGCAAAAAGTGTTACACATCAATTGTCCGAATAGAATATACCTCAGTCACAAAAAGCTGTGCCACCAAATGCTTATATCTTGTAACTTTTAATAACCTTTAAAGTAATGAGTTTCATTTAAAAGCTTTTTATCCAATTTATCACAACCACCAAGTTAAACTAATGCAAAGTCCAACAGTTCAAATATTCCAGAAACACAAGGTTTAAATAATGAAGTCCAATCATTTTAGTCGCTGGACAATCACGGCATTGAGCAGATTGGCATCTTTCAAGGTCTGGTTCTCATCTGTCAGCTCTTTACTGGGAAAGGTCGTCATTAGGATGAAGGGAGTGTAAGCCAGGGCTGGGCGGGCACTCACGATAAACTGCCGGATATCCTGAATGCTGTAATCCCAGAAACATCAATTAGAAATTACATTCAATTACACGGAATTAGAGAAAAACAATTCAGTTTATTTTAGTAACTGGTTAATCTTCCACAGTATAGCAGGTGTCGCAATGCTGTCAGTCAAATGGCTTATTTTAATAGGTCAGATATCTGACCCAATTCATGCACACAGTCTTGCTTATAATGAAGGTACTGAACATTACCCATGTAACCACAGATTCCAAGATGCACACTGGCATTCCCCGATAGTTGGCAAAACGCAATACCATCAGCATAAGAACATAAGAACATAAGAATTAGGAGCAGGAGTCGGCCATTCGGCCACTCGAGCCCTGCCCCGCCATTCGATAAGATCATGGCTGATCTTCTGACCTAACTCTAATTACCTGCCCTCTCCCCATATCCCCTAATCCCTCTCTCAGTCTCAGCCTTGAAGATGTTCAAGGACTGAGCATCTACAGCTCTTCTGGGGTAGTGAATTCCATAAATTCACTGCCCTCTGAGTGAACAAATGTTTCCTCAACTCTGTTCTAAAAGGCTGACCCTTAATTTTCAGACTGTGACCCCTGGTTATAGATTCTCCTCCCGGGGAAACAGTCCCTCAGTGTCTACTTTATCAGCCCTTTCAGATTCTTATATGTTTCAATAAGATCCCCCCTAATTCTTCTGTACTCTTGAGAATACAGCCCCAGTTTATTCAGCCTATCCTCATAGGTCAGTCCCCACATCCCAGGCACTAACCGAGTGAATCTACGCTGCACCCCCTCCAGGGCAAGTATGTCTTTTTAAATAAGGAGACCAAAACTGCACACAATCCTCTCGGTGCGGTCTCACCAAGGCCCTATACAGTTGCAGCAAGACTTCCCTACTACTAATATTCTAAACCTTTAGCAATGAACGCTAACATGCCATTCGCCTTCTTAGTTGCTGCTGCACCTGCAAACTAACTTTTTGAGACTGGTGTACAAGGACACCCAAATCCCTCTGCACACTAACACTATCTGATCTCTCCCCCTCAAGAAAATAATCTGTTTTTCTATTTTTTCTACCTAGGTGAATAACTTCACACTCCCCCACATTAAATTCCATCTGCCACCTACTCGCCCACTCCCCTCGCCTATCTATATCCCGTTGCAATCTTTTTGCATCATCCTCAGAGCTTACTCTCCCACCGAGTTTAGTGTCATCCGCGAATTTAGATACGTTACATTCAATGTCCTCGTCGAGATCATTGATGTAAATTGTAAATAGCTGAGGCCCAAGCACTGATCCTTGTGGCACTCCACTAGTCACATCCTGCCAATTCGAGAATGACCCGTTTATCCCTACTCTCTGTTTTCTACCCGTTAGCCACTCTTCAATCCATGCTAATATGTTCCCATTAATCCCGTGGGCCTTAACCTTGTGCAATAGCCTTTTGTGTGGCACTTTGTCAAATGCCTTTTTAAAATCTAAATATACTACATCTACTGGTTCCCCCCTATCTAACCTACTAGATACATCTTCAAAAAACTCTAAAAGATTAGTTAAGCATGACTTCCCTTTTGTAAAGCCATGTTGACTCTGCCTAATCTTGTTATGGTCTTCCAGGAATCCCATAACGACATCCTTAATTAAGGACTCAAGAATTTTCCCTACCACTGATGTCAGACTAACTGGTCTATAGTTCCCCATCTTTTCTCTCCCACCCTTCTTAAATAGTGGTGTTACGTTTGCAATCTTCCAATCAATGGGAACCGTTCCAGAATCCAGAGAATTTTGGAAGATCAAAGACAAGCCATCCACTATCTCAGTAGCCACCTCTTTTAAAACCCTAGGATGTAGGCCATCAGGTCCAGGAGATTTATCAGTTTTAAGACCTGACAATTTACCTAAAACCATTTCTTTACTAATATTAATTCCCCAAGTTGCTCGCTAACATTGTCTTCTTGGTTCCCCTCTATTCTTGGTAGGTTTTCAGTGTCTTCTAAGGTGAAGACAGTAGCAAAGTACTTGTTTAATGACTCTGCCATGTCTTTGTCCCCTACTATAATTCCTCCCGTCTCCCCCTGTAACGGACCCACATTTACCCTTGACAGCCTCTTCCGCTTTATATATTTATAAAAACTCTTAGTCTGTCTTTATGTTCTTCGCTAGTTTGCCCTCATATTCCATTTTCTCCCTCTTAATCACTTTTTTGGTTCTCCTTTGTTGATCCCTAAAGTTCTCCCAATCCTCGGGTTTACTACTCATCTTAGCTGTTTTATAGGCTTCTTCCTTTAACTTTATACTTTCCCTAACTGCTCTAGTTAGCCACGGTTGGGCCACCTTTCCCGTGGCATTCTTATTCCTCAAAGGAATACGTGCTCGCTGGGAATTTTGCACTATCTCCTTAAACATCTGCCATTGCTGGTCTACTGTCAAATCCTTAAGTCTAATTTCCCAGTTTATTTTGGCTAAATCCTCTCTCATACCAGCAAAATTGGCTCTACTTAAATTTAAAACCTTTGCTTCGGACTTAACTATTTCTCTCTCTAACTTAATGCTAAATTCCATCATATTATGATCACTTTGCCCTAGAGGAGCCTTAATTTCCAGTTTCCTGATCAGCTCTGCTTCATTGCACAAAACAAGGTCTAACATGGCCTGTTCCCTGGTTGGCTCCTCGGCACACTGATCTAGATAATTATCCCTAATACATTCTATAAACTCTTCCTCTATCATACGTTTCCCAATTTGGTTAACCCAATCTATGTGCAGATTAAAATCACCCACAATTAATGTTTTTCCTTTACTACATGCTCTGCTAATTTCCTGATTTATACCTTGAGAGATACTGTGACTGCTATTTGGGGGTCTATAAACTACTCCCACTAGACTTTTCTACCTCTTGTTGTTACGTACCTCTACCCATACTGACTCCACTTCCTGCTTTTCTGATTTAAAATCTTTCCTCTCTACTGTTTTTATCCCATCCTTTATTAGCAGGGCCACCCCCCACTCCTCGTTTACCACATTGCCTATCTTTCCTATACACCACGTACCCTGGAATATTTAGCTCCCACCCTTGATCTCTCTGTAACCGTGTCTCAGTGATGGCTACCAGATCATACCCGTTTGTTTCTATTTGTGCATTTAACTCATTTATCTTGTTTCGAATGCTTTGTGCATTCAGATATAGCACCGTTAATTCTGACTTCAGGCTATTAGTCCTATTCACCAGTACCCTATCCCTGGGCTTCCTTTCCCCGTTTGACACCCTTTGCTCATCTCCCTGGTTAATCTGCTCTCCCACTTTCATCGGTCCTAATTTTAATTGTAACGGATTACATCCCCCCTTAGTAGTTTAAAGCCCTGTCTACCTCCCTATGTATTCGTGTTGCCAGGACATTTGTCCCAGCCCTGTTTAGGTGGAGTCCATTCCTTTGGAATAGCTCCTGTCTCCCCCAATACTGGTGCCAGTGGCCTATAAACTGAAACCCCTGCCCTCCGCACCATTCTTTTAGCCAGGTATTCAGCTCTTTAATTTTTTTTTACTGTACCAATTTGCCCCTGGCTCAGGTAATAACCCCGATATTAACACCTTCGATGTTCTACTCTTTAGCTTAACTCCCAATTCCCGGAACTTGCTCCTCAACTCATCCCTACCTATCCTCCCTACATCATTGGTCCCTGTGTGAATCATAACTATTGGATCCACACCTGCCTGTTTCAAATTTTTCTCCAGCCCAGAAGTGACATCCTACACCCTGGCCCCAGAGTCTTCTTGCCTCCTTGCTACAGCTGCAGAAAAGTGTGTCAGTCTTCCTGACTGTCTCATCCCCAATCACCACTATATTCTTTCTGACTATTCCCAGTGTGGCCTTCTGTATAGAGGCGTTGGAGTGAGTTTGCCCATCTTCCTCACAGACTTCCTTGTCCACACAGGTTGTAAGTATTTCATACCTGTTGGACAAGGTTAAAACCTGGGGTTCCTCTGCCCCTCTCTGTCAGTTCCCCTTAAGCGCCTGTCTGACCATCACCCAGTCCTGTCCGTGGCTGGCAACGGAATGTTCCCCGAGTCTCATGGGAGTGTCTGACTTCAGGATGAAACTGTCCAGGAAGCTCTCCCCATCTCTAATGCTGCGCAGTGTCTCCACCTGAGACTCCAGCTCAGCTATCCTAAGCTGGAGCTTCCTCAGTTGCAGACATTTGCCGCAGATGAACTCGCCCGGGCTCAGGGCCCTCCATCAACTCCCACATACCACATTCCTCACACATCACCAGCCAGGTCATTCTCTCCTCTCACTCTATTTATCCCTGTATTATTGTCGTTTAGAAGATATACTTCCCCTTCTGCACCTAATTCCCACTCTCACCCAATTCCTTCTCACTCTGGCCTCACCTCACTCCGGACGTAGCTTACTCTGGGCTCTCTGCTCGAGTCAGGCAGTCTTGCCTCATCTCTGGATTGTGTCAAAATAATCATTTATTTTCATTTTAATCAGAGCAGCGTACTTTTTAGGCTCATGATTTCTAATAAAATTTCCAGACTTCCATTCAGGACCCACTCATCTCATGACACATCACATCTCATCTCATCTTACACAGCCCACCCACAGCACATACTTCCTGAAACAAGGGCCAACCTTAAAATTAATTTCATATCCAACCTGTGTGTGTGGTTGAACTTTTGAACCAAACGCCCTCCATCCGCCAATCGTATCTGAATGCTGGTGGTAGCTTCAGAATCATTTAGAGTAATGGTAGAACTAGCCTTAGCTTCATTCTCTGCTTGCTGTGCAGGAGAAGATATAGTGACGAGCTGAGGTGTAGCACTGTGAACGAAAAGAGATAGTGTTGCCCTGGATCTTAATAAAGCCATAATTGTGGTTTCACTGAAGAATGCATTACTAATTATAAATTATTAGTGAAACGATAGTTAGCATTTCAAACAGAATTTATCAAGTTGTGAATGTTGTAATTTTCTACAAATATAGTACCATGAAATGGAGATCACATTCAGTAATAGGGATAATACAAAGTAATAATTATCCTTACATATGATATAGTGCTTTTCACGTCGTCTAGACATCTCAAAGCGCTTCACAGAATATGCTGAAAAGTGAATTGACTGTATATTTGTGGGCAAAAGATGGCAACCAATTGCACACAGCAGAGTCCCATAAACAGTCGTGGATTGAAGTGACCAATTTATTATTTTTTTCTTGAGGGATTATTATCAGGGATGTGAAGTTAGGAAACTTGCCCAGGGTTTTGCCCTGCTGGGAATTGAACCAAGGTCTCTCGCTTGCTCGGCAAATACGCTAACCACTGAGCTACAGGACTCCAGGGATGTTTAAACACAGCAGCAGAGTCTGGCACAGTCATACCCAAGCAGAGATATCGTGCTCACCGAGACTTGAATTAGATTATACAAAGCTGATCCTGATTTACAGTTTATCATATTTACCTTCCCAGTTTCTGCCCTTCTCCTGCAAATGCCTTAAAGGCAGCTTTAGCTTTCATGAATTCCTGATCTCGGTGATCCTCCATATCCAGGTTGACCTGCCCGCCACGGGCCAACCTCCTCAGCTCCAGAGGAATCTCCCTGTCAGGGGCAACAAGACGCATCTTTATCGTAAAAGTGAACCAATGGAAAAATTTTACTAATTTTACTCCATAGCCAATAACACAAGTCCGACATTGTACAAGGAAAAAACAGTTTCCCTCCTGTGTATAAAAGAGACAGAAATTGGGTTGGAGGTCGTCCATACGTGCATACGTGATCCCCCTCCAATAACACACTATTCATCTTTATTAGCTGTTTTGGATATGCAATGCATACAATCAAAGTTTCAGGTGTATTGCCTATGGTAAATTGGTACGTTGCCAATTAATGGCAATCACAACATCTGGGAATCTAGCCAAAATTTAAACATCGTCTCCAAAAGTTGCCAATTTATCTGGTATAATTATTTTGATCTATTTTGTGTATACGAAGATTCAAACTTTGCAAGACATCTAACAATAACACTGAAAAATCATCTGCAATTTAAATACCGTCACTAACCCTCGTCTGATCGCATCCAAGAACTGAGCATTGGCCGGGTCATTGTAATTCCTCATTTCCCCTTCATCGACACTGAAACCATTCTTCCAAAGTTTCAGTACCACATGAACCTGTTAAACATCATTCAGTGAGATCAGTATTGTCCTTAGAACAAATTAAACCATTGATTACAAAAGATCCCTACTTAAGAGTGTAATTTTAGGAATTTAAACCTGCTAATTGTGTCTCAGTTGGTAGTACTCTCTCTACCCCTCACCTCTCTCTCCCCCTCCCCTCATTCTCTCATCCCACCTCTCTCTCTTGGACCGGATGCGGCCCATGGGCCACCAGTTAGCCCATGCTGGATGCGGTCCGTAGACCTTTCTCAAATAGGGAATCCGGCCCGCGGCAGCCAAAAGGTTAGATATGACATAGCTGACATAGCTTATCACTAAAATCACAGGTGGGATTCAGCTCATCAAGCCACTCATGTCGCTAGCTCCTCCAATGGACCTACGTACACATCAATCCATTGACTGATCTTTCCTGTGTCCTTTTGATTTATATTTAATAGCAATCCCATAGTAAACAATACTTTCCATGACATGAGAATATAAATTAAGGAGCCAGTCAAATATTGTTGCATTCGGAACATGTTGCTTATACAAAACTCTTACATCTTGTGCAGATTCAGCTTTCCTTTCTCCCACAACGTAAGGTGAATGCTCTCCTTCAGCAGCACCTAGACGGTAGCCACCTCCACCAAAAGGCTGAAAAGAGAAGTTTTATGTCGCAGAAAACATTTAAAAATATCAAGTGTTTTACTGTTAGATCAAACATTCATACTGCTGTCATGGAAATAATATAATTGCTTTAATAACAAACTTAGAGGTGTAGAGGGACAGGCAATTTTTGCACTTCATTTATAGCGCGGCCACTGAAATATTGGGCCCAAACTGACAACCTATAGCAACGTAATTCTGTACTTCCAAACTACTGTACCTGACTTGCATGAGAACCTTAGTTAATTTTGTAACTGCCTAGCTTACCATGTAATTTATTTTCTTGTTTGCAAACAAAACAAACACAATGAAAATCCAGTATAAGGAGATTGCTGTTGAGCATCTTATTGCTCATCATGACACAGAACAAACTAAGCAAATATGCAAGTTACCAGCTGGCTTTTTAATACTGTACGTACTTTAGATCTACTGGATTCTCCTAGACTTCTGCCAGCTCGTTCAACAGCAACTGCACCATGTTCCTTTGCTCCTTTAAATAAATCTTCTACAACTTCATTAGAATTCTTCTTTTTTGGAGGCCCAACAATTTGCTGTCCACTTCTTTCAGATCCACCAGCATAAAACCTTGTAAAATAAAGATGATTAACATCAATGTTTGACTTCAAAAAGAGTTGCACCATTTCTAAACAAGGAATTCCATTATAATTCCCATCAACTTGTGTGAACTCTATTCCAGGACTATATTGTCTCAGTGCAAAGTTCTCATTCTATATTTTTGGTTAGCAGAGAGCACCATGGCTAATGTAACTTTGTCTTTTTTAAGGAACACCAAAATTACATTTGTATAGTGCCTTTCACGTTGTACCCTCTTATTATTGTTCCCACTGCTGGTCGGGTAATCAAAGCCAAGACATTTGTCTATTACCTGTATTTGTGTAGAAGATGTGAAAAAGCACTATATCAAATGTAAGAATTATTATTATTTACTATTTTTAACAAATCCAATATGAAATACCACAAATCAGAACAAATTTCTTTTTTTGCAGCAGGAAAGGGCATCTTGTCAGCCTCATTGTTGGCTTTTAGATTTGAAGTTTCACCATTTCAAATAAGATATCATGAGACAACCACCACTGGGTGAACTGACAATCATATTTCGAAAAGAATGAAATAACAGCATCAAATTAAATCAGAACTGTTCTGTTAAAAATCAGAATACTGTATGAAACAAGCTCAAAAACAACAACTTGCATTTATACCACACTCTTTACTCGGGGTAGTGTTTTGGAGCACTTAATAGTAGCGAAGCACTGAGCCGGGGAAGGGAGGAGATAACCGTCAGTCATCAAAGAGGCAGTACTGAAAAAGGAGAAGGAGGGAGCAACGCAGAGGGATTGAGGCAGAAAGTTTCAACGTTTCGGGATCTCCAGAATGGCCTGGGAATAGATCAACTGAAGTGTTGAGATATAGCTCATTGTAAAGCTTTGCTGTTAAACAAAAGCCCAAACTGATCACAAACACGCCATTTTTGGTTTCTTTTAAAAATAACTCACTAAACCATAGTCACTCTTGACCACTCTGTGCGCAAAACATTATTCCACCTTCCAATCTAGCTCAAGGTCTGTAATGTTTTCACTGATGTTCCCTAGACCCAAGTTCACCAAACAAGTTAATTGTATGCTTACCTCAGCCTTATGTACGTCTTCCATCATTCTAAATCAGTGAACAGCAGGATTTCTGCATTTTTTTTACATTTTTCTACAAAGTTCAATATACTAGAACAGGGGTGGGCAATTATTTTGGCTTGGCGGGCCACTTCACAAGTTTTGATAAGCTTTGCGGGCCACACATTTAATATAGATGCATAATCATAGTTCAAAATCAAGTCTTACACTTGTACATGCATAAAATAGTCTATATAATTGACATTCATTAAGATTAGGTTAAATAAAAACAACTCATTGAGCAGACATTTATTTAATATTTATTCAGTTATTCACATATTGATGAGAATGTGAGAAGCTCAATGGGAAGAATGAAAGCACTGATGTGCATTAACCGGACAATTGAAGTCAAACATCGTCTCCGTTGTTGCAATGTGGAGCACTGCTGCAAGGTGGTCATCAGTCATCACAGATCTATGTTTGATGTATTGAATTTCATCACAGAAAATGTTGATCCAAACAGCACAAGCATCCGCCGGGCATGAGCCTTTATTTTTGGAAAGGTATATTCATTAAGAGAGATGTTAAAACTGGGAAGTGGCACTGATTTGAATTGCTCCGCACATTGATCACATTGCAGGTCAATAAGCTTGAGTTGGAGGTCAAATGGGGCTTTGTCAACATCAAATGAGAAAGGTGAAGGGCCCAAAGACAGGTCACTTTTGATCAAATTGAAATCCTGGAATCGGCGATAAAATTTGACATGTAAGTCAAGTAGTGACGAAGTCTACTTTTTAAGGCTTTGATTGCAAACAGTAATCTGCTGCGAAGTTGGAAAGTGGGTGAACAGCCTGTTTCCTATCTGATGCGATAAAAGAAATAATTTTGTCATAAATGCCTTGACACTGCAATATAAATCGTGCACAAAGGCCCCCTTCCGTTGCAGTTTTGAATTCAGTTCATTCATGTGGTGCATGATATCAATGGCAAATGCGAAATCAGAGCCAATTCACATCATTCGGCTGTGGGAAATCCAAATCTTTTTGTTTCATGCCCAAAAATAAATCAATTTCTGTTCTCAGGTCCCACACTCTTTTCAAAACCTTTCCTAAACTAAGCCATCGTACATTTGTGCGATATAGAACATCCGTTTGCTCGGATTCCAATTCCTCAAGCAGAGTTATAAATTGCCTGTGGTTTAATCCTCTTGCTCGAATGTAGTTGACTACTTTTGTAGCTGCGTCTATGACATTGCTTAGTTTTAGAACGCTCTTACAGAAGACCTCTTGGTGGATAATGCAGTGTAGAAAAACAATATTCTGCTCTGGATTTGTTTCTTTGACTTGATCTTGAATTCTTTTCAGCATTTTTGCCTGTCAGATTTGGGTTTCCATCGGTGGTCACATTCACCAATTTTTTCCACTCCACTCCTAATTTTAAGATACACTTAATTACTGCCTCCAAACGTCTTCTCCAGTTGTCATACCTTTCATTGACTGTATTGATTCCAATTCTTCTGTGAGTTCAAAATATTTGGTGATACCTTGAATAAAAATTATCAACTGGGCTGTGTCTTTGACATCACAACTCTCAACGAGTGCCAGTGAAAAACATGCAAAATTGCTTACTTTATTTTGTAACTACAGATATAGATCCTCGACACATCTCACAATAGTTTGCCTTGACCAGCTAATGTTCTCAAACTGTTTTTTCTTGTCTGGGCATAAAATCGAGGCAGAGTCAACCATACATTCCTTTATAAATTCTCCTTCAGAGAATGGTTTGTTGTTCTTGGCGATTTTGTGTACAATCACGTAACTCACTCTTGTAATCTCATCCTGGGACGCAATTTGTTTTGTGAAAATGCTTTGCTCTATTTGCATTCGAATAATCATCTCATCAGCTTTCTTTCCTTTTTCTTTGGCAGAATCATTCTTATATTCGCAAGCATGTTTGCTCTCAAAATGGCGATTCAAGTTGTAGTCTTTGAGGACTGCCACACCTTCTTTGCAAATTAAGCACAGCTTTTCCATCCACACTGGTAAAAATTTTTTAGAAGTCCATGCTTTGTTGAATATTTGGCCTTCAATGTCCGCTTTCCGCTTCTTTGATAAACTCATTTCGAATTAACGTCCTCTTCAGTGAAAAGTATTGCTGCGGTTGTCACGCATGCGTTTGAAAATTTGCCGATCCGTACATTTCTGGCGTCGGCCGATTCAACACTTAAAGGAGCATGCACATAACTAAGCCGTGTGATTGGCTAATGTCAGATTCAAATGCTAAATTTGTGAGACTTTCTGGAACTGAACGAACTATAATTTTTTCTATTGCTGGACACAATGACAGGCCGGAGAGTATCATTTGGGGGCTGGATACGACCAGGGGGCGTATTTTGCCCACCCTGTACTAGAGAGTCTGAGCATGACTGACTTGGTGTGTTGTGTATGAATGTAAAATGCATGACAATAAAGATTGCATTGATGAACAACAACAACTTGGATTTATAAAGTGCCCTCCACGGCGGACAGGGTCTCAGAGCGCTTCACAGTAAGGAATCCCAGGGCCGAACCAGGGGATGGGGAGGAGCCGGGGGAGCCAGGGGGAGGGGGAGGAGCCTGGAGGGAGGGGATGGGGGTGGGGTGGGGAAGGTGACCAAAGGCGCGGTCAAAAAGAAAGGTTTTCAGCAGAGACCTGAAAATAGGAAGAGACGAGTTGAGGCGAAGGGAGTGAGAAAGGGAGTTCCAGAGCCTCGGGGCATAGTGGCTGAAGGCACGGCCGCTGAGGGTGGAGCGGAGGACTCGGGGGACGAGGAGGAGGCCAGACCCGGAGGAACAAAGGCAACGGGCACTGTTTTGAGGAGAGAGGTCAGAAAGGTCGGAGGATGCAGAGGAGTGGAGGGGTTTGAATGCAAAGGTGAGGATCTTGAAATTGATCCTCTCTGGGACAGGTAGCCAGTGCAGTCTGGTAAGGACTGGGGGGGAGCAGGGAGCGGAGTTTGGTGCGGGTGAGAATGCGGGCGACAGAGTTTTGAATAATCTGGATTTTATAGATGGTAGTGGATGGGAGGCTGGCGAGGAGGGCGTTTGAATAGTCCAGCCAAGAGGTGACAAAGGCGTGGACCAGGATTTCAGCGGCTTTTGAAGAGAGGTATTGGCGGAGACGGGCGATGCGTCGGAGGTAGAAGAAAGAGGTGCTGGTGAGGGACCAGATATGGGGGAGGAAGGATAATTGGGGGTCGAACCTGACACCTAGGTTGCGTACCGGTTCGGAGAGTTTTAGGAGGAGGTCGGGTAAGTGGAGGAAGTGAGAACCGTGAGATTTTAGACGTTGACCAGAGCCAAAAAGTCTTCCATTTTGTCAATGTTCAGCTGAAGGAAATTCGCGCTCATCCAGCTCCTGAGGTCTGACAGGCAGCTGACAGAACATCAGGGGACTGGGGGGTCACAAAGTGAGGTGGAAAAGTAGAGTTGGGTGTCGTCCGCATACATGTGGAAGTGTACCCCATGTCTGCAGATGACATCCCCAAGAGGAAGCATGTAGATCAGAAAGAGGAAGGGGCCAAGGATGGATCCTTGGGGTACCCGCAGGTGATCGGGTGAGAGCGGGAGGAGAAGCCATTTGTGCAGATGTACTGCTGGCGGTTTGTGAGGTAGGACTTGAACCAGGCGACGGAGGAAAGGCGGTGGAGGAGGATGGCGTGATCGACTGTGTCGAACGTGGCGGAGAGCTCAAGGAGGCAGAGGGAGCCCTGGTCACAGATAGAGAGGATGTTGTTTGTAACTTTCACAAGCCTCCGTACTGTGGGCGGAAACCAGACTGGAGGGGTTCGAAGAGGGAGTGGGAGGAGGTGTGCGCGGAGTTGAGGGGGGCAAGAACTGATCCGGAGCAGAGGGACTGGTTGATGACGTCAGCAGGTAGTGGGCAGAGGAGGGGGAGCTGGGTGACCAGCAAGTTAGTGGGGAGGGGGTCGAGGCAGCATGTGGTGGGTTTCATGGAGGTGATGGTGGGTGAGAGGGAGGGAGAGATGGGGAGGAAGGAATGTAGGATGAGGGTGGTGGTAGGAGCAGATGATGGTTGGGTGAGGGGGACAGAGAGGGCGTGGTGCTGGCTGACAAGATGCAGGTGGGTGAGGCTGCCTGGGGGACGTTGTGAATTTTAGATGAAAAGAAGTCCATGACCTCCTCGCTCTTGGCATTTGATACGAAGATTGAGGGACCTGAGGGGGGCCACGGAGAAGGTAGTGGGTGATGGAAAAAAGGATGTTAGGGTTGTGTTTAGCCTCCAAGATGATGTTGGAGTAGAAGGCTGTTTTTGCGCGTGTCAAGGAACGGCGGTAGCTGTAGAGACGCTCGAGACACAGTTGGCGGTGGACTGTCAGGCCAGTTTTCCGCCATCTGCGCTCGAGCAGCCGGGTTTGGGTTTTTAGGCAGATTGTTGTACCGGGGGATCAGGTGAATTTGGAGATGGTCCTGGATTTCATGTGGATGAGGGAGTTGAAGGTGGAGGAGAGGCGATCATGGAGCAGCTGGACGACTGCTTCCGGATCTCCGCGGGTGGAAGGCCAGAGGGATGCGATATTTGATGATGTTGTGAGAAACATTAGGAACAATGCAGAGTAGGAGAAGTTTCACATCACTGATGCGCAATTAATAGCTTTTTTGAGGGTCTCAGGGGGTAGCCTTTTCCAAGGGCAGTAGAGAGTGGTTGAGGGCTTGGTAGAGGAGAGAGGGATGAGAGAGGAGAAGGAGATGAGGAAGTGGTCCGAGATGGCCTTGTCCAATATGCTAAGGTCGGAAATGTTAAGGCCATGGGTGATGACGAGGTCAAGGGCATGACCACGGTTGTGGGTAGGTGAATTTATGTGAAGGGTGAGGTTTAGGGAAGGGAGGAGGGCAGTGAAGTCGGCAGAAGTGATGCAAGGGGAGTTTAGGTGGAGGTTGAAATCGTCCATTATGAGCAGGCAATGAAAGGAACAATTCAGAGAAATGACAAATTCAGCAGATCCTGACCTTTGACCCTCATCCTCATCATCTTCTTCCTCATGCCACAAATCTCTCAGAGAGGTTATGCGACCATCACTGCGAGAATAAATAACACGTATAGATTAGAAATTGATACATTACTGAAGTAATCCTAGTGAGAAACAAAATTTAATTACTCAATTTTATTTACGACATGACTGTCCATGGAGCCTGAATCGCAACACTGGTTCTGATAAACACAACAATGTGGTACTATGTTTAAGTATGGGCTTTGAAAAAAGACATAAACAAGCCTGATTCACAAAACTCCAGGACAATGGGGCTTTGAAATTAATGAATCATTACACTGAATGAAAGCATTTTTATGAGACTAATCACTCCGTTATATTCAATATTGCAAGTGAGAAACATTAGGAACAATGCAGAGTAGGAGAAGTTTCACATCACTGATGCGCAATTAATAGGACATTGAGGAAGGAGTTACATCATGCCCACAAAAGCCTTTGGCCTCAGTTTAAAAAAAAACAATTTGAAGATATTCCAACTGCTTACTTGTGGCACAGTGCCAATCAAGATTTCCTGATCATTATCTAATGACTATTGGAAAGTGTGCGTAAGAACTCATGCAGGCTCCACAGTTTTAATAGAGTGATGAGTCTGTTGGATTCTATGTCTGTGTTCACCAAGAAGCTCGGCTGCTTAAATGCAGAAACCGAGGGAACTCACCTATCAAACAGGAACCAACAAATCAGTAAAGTGTTTCTTATATAAATATAAAAGACAATATTCAAATATTCAAATATTCAAATTCAATTCAAATCTGAATCAGCAAAGTTATGAATGCTGGAGATCCATAATTCTCACCTGGGTGCCGTACTCCTAGGACCTGGGCCTGTCTCTGGCTGTGGCAAAGTGATCACATCATCATCACCTCCATCTTCATAGAAACTACCCAATGCCAGCTGTAACACCAGAAACAAGAGTCACCGCTGCCCAACATCCGCTGATATATATTACAAATCCCTTCCCAGAACGCATACAATTTCTGCTACAGGAAGTCTCGTTTAAAAGTGAAACTAAAACCATGTCTTTTCACAAAGAGTTAAGGATATCGAATATGCTACTTCAGGAGGCCTAAGACTCGGTATCAAATAATAATAAATAAATAACAATCCTTGCATCTTCTAGATGTTTCAAAGCACTTCACAGAATATACAGAGTATAAAGTGAATTGACTGTATATTTGTGGGCAAAACACAGCAGCCAATTGTGCACAGCAGCTGTGTCCCACAAACAGTCATGGATTGAAGTGACCAATTTTTTTTCTCTCTTGAGGGATTATTATTAAGCGTGTGGAATAAGCAAAGTTGCCCAAGGTTTCGCCCTGTGAGCTGAGTGCTCTAACCACTGAGCTACAGGACTCCTAATAATTGCATTAGATGCAATCAATGCCTGCAAAGTCAAAGCTCCTAACTGCTGTCCAGTGCGACTCCCTCTCCTCTCCCTGCTACTGGCCAACACAGTCAACCAGTCGCTCTCCTCAGGTTCTGTTCCTCCCCACCTCTTAAAACCGCTGTCAACACTCCCCTCCTCAAAAAACCCACCCATGACCACTCCAACCTCCCATTTCCAACCTGCTGTTCCTTGCCAAAGCTCTGGAACGCGATGTCCAGCTTTGCTCTCACATCTCCCTCCACTCCCTCCTCGAGCCTCTCCAAACTGGTTTCTGCCCTGCCCACAGCCCAGAGACAGCGCTTGTCAAGGTCACAAATGTCCTCTATCTCTGTGACCAGGGCTCCCTCAGCCTCCTGATCGCCATCCTCCTACGCCGCATCTCCTCCTTCATCCACAGTCTCCCCAGCTCCACCATGCACAGGATCCAACTGATCCAAAACCCACACTAAACTCCGTACCCCAATCACACCAGTTCTAGCCTAGCTCCACTGGCTCCCTATCGCCGAACTGGTCGATTTCAAGATTCTCACACTCCCTTCATGCCCTCTCCGACCTGCTTAACCCCCAACCCGCTGCCTCCACGCGACTGGCTCCAGCCTTCTGCGTGTCCCTCATGCCTTCCGTTCCACCATTGGCAGCCGTGCTTTCAGCCACTACGCCCCGAAACTCTGGAACTGTGGAACACGCTTCCTCTATCCCTCCGTCTTGACCCTTCATTCCCCATCTTCTGGTTGCGCCTGAAGATCTTCTTTTTCAACTGTGCCTACGGTCACCTCCCCCTCCACGTGGCTCGAGGTTGAGCTCCACCACCACCACCCTGCGTGAGGGGCACAAGTTGCAAGTTGTTGTTGACTGAGTATTTGTGGGCAAATCCAACAGTCAGCAAAGTGAGGAGCCAATTTATCTGGATCTTGGTTTAACATCTCACACGAACCTCCAACTATAAAAACTATTTGCAATTTATATAGCACCCTTAATGCAGGGTAACATTCCACAACTATAAAGTACTCCCCCCCACTCCCACACAGCTTGGACTACCAGTTCAAATCCTGACATGGTGCATAAACTCACATCCTTCAGACTCACAGGCAAGAGAGCATTATAAACTGAGCTAAGGTGACACCAGGAGCAGTACCAAGACGTGCAGGTAACTCGACATGATACCCACTGAAACCTTGAGTCACAGTTGTTGGTTATTCGTCAACACCACAACATTAAATGTTTCAAGCATTTGTGTGTTGTTCTCCCAATCATCGCACAACTGTAGCGGTTTGTGTCTGAATATCCAGCACATTCTCCCTGAAATAATTATAATAAAATATTTGAAATAAGACCTTTCACATCGGAAGGATGTTTCAAATAACTACACGGGATTTATGTCGCGAAGACATAAGGCATTAAGTCAACTGCAATGATTATTTATAAAGTCCAACAACCTTCAGGCTCCAGGGCGAGCCCGGCCGCCCGAGGCCCCCGCCCGCCCCCCGCCGCCCGAGCCCCCGCCCCGCCCGAGCCCCCGCCCCGCCCGAGCCCCCGCCCCGCCCGAGCCCCCGCCCCGCCCGAGCCCCCGCCCCGCCCGAGCCCCCGCCCCGCCCGAGCCCCCGCCGCGCCTCATCCTTACCGCAGGTCACCGACAGCAATAAGGGACAGCGGCGCAGAGGCTGCACTTCATTGCCGAGTCGCTGCTCTCAGCCCAACAGTGTCTCAGGCGCCGATCCTGAGGCCGCAACTAACCTGCGCCGATCCGTGACTCAGCTGCGCCCGGAGCCTCGCCCCAGAGCCCGGACTCGCGCCTCAGGGAGGAACCCCAGCGCCCCCTCACCTGCAGGTCGCCCCCCGCAGACTCCAGGTACAGCCGCGCCCGCTCCTCCGCCGCTCCCGTCACCGACACAAACTCGCGTATCGCTTCTTGTTGCGAAGCAGCCGCCATGTTGCGGTGTCACAGACTGAGTGTCCGCCGGACAGCACTCGGCGCAGCTTCGGGTTCCGGTGCCTCTCCCTGAACCTTCCGTCTCGAGTTACTGGTTAGCAATTAATGCATCAATTATAAATATAACCCGTGATACTTTTTATGCAGATGTTAAATAAAACTGACAACCATTTACATTTGCCTTCCATTACCTTTTCTATTTATGTATCTTTATGCAACATTGCACTAAATAATGATAATATTTGCAACGCATATAGAAAAACGTTGCCTAAAAACGTCGAGAACATCTCAAATCGCTTCACAAGTTTCTAAAGTGTGACTAATAATTTCAAGACGAATATGACAGACAATTTTCTATCTCTCTGAAAGAGTTATTCACAACTCTGCCTTTCCTGTTCTCAAACTACACCCCACCTCCAAACCCCCTTTCCTCTCCAACATACTGGAGTCGTTGCTTCGCTTCTTCCTCTCCCGCCGCTCCCCTCATGAACCCCTCTAATCAGGTTTCCTTGCCGCCCACAGCACAGAAACAGAAACCCTGGTCAAAGTGACAAATGACATTTTGTCGAACTGCCTTCTCATCCTTCTTGACCACTCTGCTGCCTTCGACACTGTTGACCACTCTAAACTCATCCATCGCCTCTCCTCCCACCTCAACCTTCATGGTTCTGTCCTTGAATGGTTCAGATTCTATCTGTCACAACACCTCCATTTCATCTCCACAAATGGTTTCCCCTCTAGCCCCCGTGCTATCTTGTGCAATGTTCCTCAGGGCTCTGTCCTCGGTCCCCTCCTCTTCAATATCTATATGCTCCCTCTTCGTTACATCATCCGCAGACATGGGGTCAATTTCCACATGTTTGCAGAACACACCCAACTGTACTACTCTACCTCCACCCTTGACTCCAGAACCACGGCTGTCATGACAGAATGTCTGTCAGACATCAAGTCCTGGATGAGAGGTAACTTTCTTCAGGTGAATGTCAACAAGACCAAGGTCCACCTGATTGCCTCCCATCAGCGCCTCTACACCTCAGGCGCGCTGACAGCATCACCATCCATGGATGCACACTCCACCTTATTAAGCCAGTCTGGAACCTTGGCGTTTTGTTTGACCCTCAACTATCCTTTCTACCCCACATCCATGCCTACCCACAACTCTGCAACATTGCCCAGTTCCAAAACTGCCTCACCCCTCAGGCCGCTGAAAACCCTTATCCACGCATTCATCACATCTATGCCAACTTCCTACTTGTTGGCCTTCCCAACTCTTCCCCCCATGAGCTGCAGATCAGCCAGAACACTGCAGCCCATGTCCTCTCCTACACCAGGCTCTCTGACCCTATCAACCCCATCCTTACCTGACTTCACTGGCTTCCCAATACACAGAGGATACAGTGCAAGATCCTAGTCCTCACCTTCAAAGCCCTCAATGGCCTCGCTCCCCCCTACTTCTGTGACTTCCTAACCCCATTCCATCCTGCCTGCTCCCTCCACTCACTAGGCTCCGACCTGCTTCACGTCACCCGCCTCGCCTGCCCCACTATTGGCGAGCAGGCGTTCTGCCACTCTGCCCCCACCCTCTAGAACTCCATCCCGCCCCCTCGCTTGCCTCCTTCAAGACCCATCTCAAGACCCTCCTCTTCGACCATGCTTTTGATCACCCTCCTTCCCTACTGCCCTCCACCCTCCACAATCCCGAACCCCAGCTTGGGTCCGCAACACTGACCGTCCATGCCTTCGGACGTCCTCCCGAAGTGAAAGGCATTGTGTAAATGTAATGTTGTTGTTGTCCCATATCCTATTATATATTTCATTTTAAAATATTTGCTCCGATTCCCTTTAAAATGTTATCGTAGATTCTGTTTAACTATCATTTTTGTAGAGTATTTTGTATCCTAATAATTCTGCTTTTGTGTATATATATATGCACCTTTGTAATTTGCTTAAATTATTGCTTTAACAGAGAGTTCCTGGAAGCTGCTATACACCAAGCGAGGGCTCATACCTGTGCATGTCAGATGTCAAATTACCAACTACTGAGTTTCCTCTTTGAGGGGAGGTCAGCATGGTATCCTTGGAGCTGGATTGGCTCCAAAGTGAGGTGCTTAGCAAGTGTTCTATGGCAGTCTTCATAGTCTGAGCCAGGCAGGTCCACAGCACTCCAGGGCACTGTCGATGACAGCAGTGGCGCAATGGCGGAACTTAGAATGGTAGCAGGGATTCAGCCACTGGAAGCAGGGATTCTTCCCACTGAGCTCCTGTTAACCCTATAAACCAAAGCCTTAATAGGTTAGGGCTTTCCAGTCCTCCAGACACAGGGAAGTTTTTATGTGTAGGTGGCTACATATATGGACCTCACTAGTATGGTTTGGCTACTCTTAAGCATGGTGATGGGCAGCGGTGCACTGGCTCCCTGAAAGGGCTAGAGATTTTCAGGTAAAATGGAATGCTGATTCATGTGGGGACACAAAAAGCATAAGCACATGGATGTTTTACCAGTAAGCATTGGGAGCCATTCATGGGGGTGTTTAGGAACCATTCCTGGGAGAACTCAGGAAATTTCCAGCCCTGGTAATGGGTTTCCATATGTGTCAGACCCATAAAATTATGAGAGAGTCATACTAGTTCTAGGGTTTCAGATACAAATGCTTTTACTGTCTTCACTTCATCTCCACAAACGGCTTCTCCTCTAGGTCTCGCACTATTTTGTGCGGCATTTCTCAGGTCTTTGGTCCGCTCCTCTTCAATATCTACTTGCTCCCTCTTGGTGATATCAGTAGCAGAAATAGGGTCAACTTCCCAAATATGCAGATGACACCCAAGTGTATCTCTCTGCCTCCACCCTCAACTCCAGCACCACGGCTGTCCTGACAGAATGTCTGTCAGACATTGAATCCTGGATGAGAGCTAACTTTTTACAGTTGAACATCAACAAGACTGAGGCTCTCCTAATTGCCTCCCATCAGCGCCTCCACACCTCCAGGGATGCACACTCCACCTCACCAAGCTAGTCCAAAATCTTGGCAACTTGATTGACCTTCAACTGTCCTTTCTACCCATCTGTGCCATGACCTGCTCTGCCTTCCCCCACCTCTGTAACATCATCTGGCTCCGTCACTGCCTCACCCCTCAGGCTGCCAAAAATCCTCATCCACACATTCATCATATCTAGGCTCAACTACGCCAACTCCCTGCTTGTTGACCTTTCCAACACTTCCCTCCACAAGCTGCAAATCATCCAGAACTCTGCAGCTCATGTCCTCTCTCACACCAGGCTCCGTGACCTTATCACATCCACCCTATCTCAGCTCCACTGGCTCCCAATCAAATAATAATAATAATAATCCTTGCATTTGATATAGCGCTTTTCATGTCTTCTCGACGTCTGAAAGCGCTTCACAGAATAGATTGTAAAGTGATTTGACCGTATATTTGTAGGCGATCATAGAGGATAGAGTTCAAGATCTTCATCCTTGCCTTCAAGACCCACCATGGCCTTGCCACTTCCTACCTCTGTGACCTGCTAATGCCATATTAACCTATTTGTTCCTTCCGTGCAGCAGGCTTCGGCCTGCTCCATGACCCGTCACGTCCCGGTGGTTGGGCCTTTACCCTGTCTGCCCCACCCTTTGAAACTCCATCCCACAGTCCCTTCACCTTGCTCCCTCCCTTGCCTCCTTCAAGGCATACCTCAAGATCCTCTTTGACCACCACTTCAGCCACCCTTCTACCCCTACCCTCACTGCTCTGCACCCCTTCTGATCCCATCCCCTTCATAGGGTCCAAATCCCTGACTGTCCAGCATCTTGGGACGTCCTCCTGATGTGTGATGTGCTATACAAATATAATTTGTTATTTGTTGTTTATATCAAGAACAATAAATTGTATTTATGTAGCCCCTGTTGCATTGAAAATGTTTCAACGTGTTTTGCAATGTTTCTGCGAGGTGTCGTTATTGTGTATTATAGACAAAGTTTGAAAATATGGGGATGTGGGTGAATTGGCAATTGATGTGTAATGTGTAAAAAAATAACGTTTTATGCTTGCCCATACATGGCAGATATATTAAATCTCAATGAGGTATAGGTATTTCTATATAATTTGTGAATGTTGTTGGCCAATTAGATGCAATGCAAGGATTTGGGGTTCAGAAATAATTGATTTGCTTTTCCTCGGTGGATCTTAATTCAATGGAAAGTGTTGCTTTAATATTTCTAATTTAGCACATAAGGTTAGCTTTTATTTTACAATTTTCTTCAAGAGGTTGTGTATTCAGGAGGTGAGATGTTCTGGTGCTGACCCTGTGATCATTTAAATTTGGCCAATTTGAATGGGAGCGGATCAGAGTCCACCTCTGGAGCCGCTCCTCAAGCGTTCCGATTGGCTATTGCTGGAGAATCCGTTGGCGCCCGAGGAGCGGCTCCGACCTTTGTTTGATTTTGTCAGACACCGACACCGGCTCCAGCCTCAGCCTCAGCCTCAGCTCCAGCCTCAGCCTCAGCCTCAGCTCCAGCCTCAGCCTCGGCTCCAGCCTCAGCTCCAGCCTCAGCCTCAGCCTCGGCTCCAGCCTCAGCCTCAGCTCCAGCCTCAGCCTCAGCCTCGGCTCCAGCCTCAGCCTCAGCTCCAGCCTCAGCCTCAGCCTCAGCTCCAGCCTCAGCTCCAGCTCCAGCCTCAGCTCCAGCTCCAGCCTCAGCTCCAGCTCCAGCCTCAGCTCCAGCCTCAGCTCCAGCTCCAGCCTCAGCCTCAGCTCCAGCCTCAGCCTCAGCCTCGGCTCCAGCCTCAGCCTCAGCCTCGGCTCCAGCCTCAGCTCCAGCTCCAGCCTCAGCCTCGGCTCCAGCCTCAGCCTCAGCTCCAGCCTCAGCCTCAGCCTCGGCTCCAGCCTCAGCCTCAGCCTCGGCTCCAGCCTCAGCTCCAGCCTCAGCCTCAGCCTCGGCTCCAGCCTCAGCTCCAGCTCCAGCCTCAGCCTCGGCTCCAGCCTCAGCCTCAGCCTCGGCTCCAGCCTCAGCCTCGGCTCCAGCCTCAGCCTCAGCCTCGGCTCCAGCCTCAGCCTCAGCTCCAGCCTCAGCCTCAGCTCCAGCCTCAGCCTCAGCTCCAGCTCCAGCCTCAGCTCCAGCCTCAGCCTCAGCTCCAGCCTCAGCTCCAGCTCCAGCCTCAGCCTCAGCCTCAGCCTCAGCTCCAGCCTCAGCCTCAGCCTCAGCTCCAGCCTCAGCCTCAGCCTCAGCTCCAGCCTCAGCCTCAGCTCCAGCCTCAGCTCCAGCCTCAGCCTCAGCTCCAGCCTCAGCCTCAGCCTCAGCCTCAGCTCCAGCCTCAGCCTCAGCTCCAGCCTCAGCTCCAGCCTCAGCCTCAGCCTCAGCTCCAGCTCCAGCCTCAGCCTCAGCTCCAGCCTCGGCTCCAGCCTCAGCCTCAGCCTCGGCTCCAGCCTCAGCTCCAGCCTCAGCCTCAGCCTCGGCTCCAGCCTCAGCTCCAGCTCCAGCCTCAGCCTCGGCTCCAGCCTCAGCCTCAGCCTCGGCTCCAGCCTCAGCCTCAGCTCCAGCCTCAGCCTCAGCCTCAGCTCCAGCCTCAGCCTCAGCTCCAGCTCCAGCCTCAGCCTCAGCTCCAGCCTCAGCCTCAGCTCCAGCCTCAGCTCCAGCCTCAGCCTCAGCTCCAGCCTCAGCTCCAGCTCCAGCCTCAGCCTCAGCTCCAGCCTCAGCTCCAGCCTCAGCCTCAGCTCCAGCCTCAGCTCCAGCCTCAGCCTCAGCTCCAGCCTCAGCTCCAGCCTCAGCTCCAGCCTCAGCCTCAGCCTCAGCTCCAGCCTCAGCCTCAGCTCCAGCTCCAGCCTCAGCTCCAGCCTCAGCTCCAGCCTCAGCCTCAGCTCCAGCCTCAGCCTCAGCTCCAGCCCAGCTCCAGCCTCAGCTCCAGCCTCAGCTCCATCTCCAGCTCCAGCCTCAGCCTCAGCTCCAGCCTCAGCCTCAGCTCCAGCTCCAGCCTCAGCCTCAGCCTCAGCTCCAGCCTCAGCCTCAGCTCCAGCCTCAGCTCCAGCTCCAGCTCCAGCCTCAGCTCCAGCCTCAGCTCCAGCCTCAGCCCCAGCCTCAGCTCCAGCCTCAGCTCCAGCCTCAGCCTCAGCTCCAGCTCCAGCCTCAGCTCCAGCTCCAGCCTCAGCTCCAGCTCCAGCTCCAGCCTCAGCTCCAGCCTCAGCCTCAGCTCCAGCTCCAGCCTCAGCTCCAGCCTCATCCTCAGCTCCAGGAAGAAAGAGGAAGAAATCAGCGGTTCAAACCCTGGGTCAACAGCTGAGCTGGGCTCTGGGCTGGGGGGCAGTGAGCAGGGTTGGGGGGGCAGTGAGCAGGGTTGGGGGGGCAGTGAGCAGGGTTGGGGGCGCGGTGAGCAGGGTTGGGGGGGCAGTGAGCAGGGTTGGGGGGGCAGTGAGCACAGTTGGGGGGGGCAGTGAGCAGGGTTGGGGGGCAGTGAGCACGGTTGGGGGGGCAGTGAGCAGGGTTTAATAATAATAATCCTTGCATTTGATATAGTGCTTTTCACGTCGCGAGGACGTCCCAAAGCGCTTCACAGAACACACTGTAAAGTGAATTGACTGTCTATTTGTGGGCGAACGCGGCAGCCAATTGCACACAGCAATGTCCCACAAACAGTCGTGGATTGAAAATGACCAATTTATTATTGTTTTTGGTCTTTTGGAGGGATTATTATTAGGGCTCTGTGTGGAGTAAGGAAACTTGCCCAAGGTTTTGCCCTCTGCCTGGAATTGAACTCAGGTCTCTCGCTTGCAAAGCGAGTGCTCTAACCACTGAGATACAGGGGGCAGTGAGCAGGGTTGGGGGTGCAGTGAGCAGGGTTGGGGGGGCAGTGAGCAGGGTTGGGGGGGCAGTGAGCAGGGTTGGGGGGGCAGTGAGCAGGGTTGGGGGAGCAGTGAGCAGGGTTGGGGGAGCAGTGAGCTGGGTTGGGGACATGCCCACAGACAGGGCGCCGAGTTACCAGATGTTTAAAGCCGCTTCTGGTGCGGCTCCGTCCGCGATGCCTCTGCGGCTCCTGAATAAGGGTCCCAGCTACTTCCGTCGGCAGCAGCACAGCCCTGGCCACAAACCCAGCGCTGTAGAGCGACTGGAAGCCGACAAGGCCAAGTACGTGAAGAGCCGGCAGGTGGCGAGTACCAGACAGGAGCCTGTGAAGCCGGTTCTCGGCAACAACTCTCTCTGGTCACCAACTCTCAGACTGTTGAACAGCCCCAGCAACAGCAGCAGCAGAAACAGGAGAGGGATTTCTGCAAGAAAAGGCATTTTAAACCTTGAGATCCTGAACAATTTGATTAATATCAGTGATAGCCCGGTCCCACTCGGATCATTGGATTCCAGGGTCAATAACGCCGCCCAGGTGAAAAAGAAACTGTTCTTTCAAACTGACTGTGAGCAAGCGATTGGAATCTCAGCATCCAGTCTGCAGAGCCCGACACTGAAAGCGGCTGTCAGGCGAGTGGATGTCAGACCCAATGTGCGAGGTGCCAGAAGGCCTTTCGCCAGTATCCCGTCTCCTGCTTCTCCAGATAAGTGCACATCGCCTTCCCTTGGCTCCAGGTCTCCAACCCCAAGAGCCAAGGAACCAGTTGGTGGGAGTGCCCGGCGCCAGGCTTCGCTTCATAGATCTAAATCCGACCTCAGTGACAAGTTTACCAGAGCAAATGCGGACTTGGAACGCTTCTTCAACTACTGTGGTCTTGGTCCAGAAGAGATTGAAAATGTTGGAATGGAGAGATTTGCACGGGCCACTTCCGATATCGTGTCCACCAAGTTGGCCAGTGTCAGCAGCCCCAGCTCGGGATATGCCCGCTCAAATTATAGTTGTGCGGCAGAGGAGACACTGGGTGAACGTGCGGTATATGTGGTCTCTATCATTGAGCGCAATGCAAGAGTTATTAAATGGCTATATGGCTGCAGGCAAGCTAAGGAATCACCAAAAGCCTCGCCTGTGTAACATATTTCCAATTTCTGGTGTGTGGATGACATCCAACTCTATCTTTCAGCTCAACCTGACCTTGATTGGTTCAAATCTCATCTTTCGCACCATCTCCACTTTGTCTCCTGCCTCCGCATCCATCTTGTGTTAGTTCCTCAGAGCTCGGTCCATGGTCCCCTCCTCTTCAATATCTGCTCCCTCTTGCTTGCATCATCCGCAGACATAGGATCAACTTCCACATATATGCAGATGATATGTACCACATGTACTCTATCTCTCTGCCTGCACACTTGACTCCAGGACCACTGCTGTCCTGATAGAGTGTCTGTCAAATATCAAGTTCTGGATGAAAAATAACTTTCTCAACAAGACAGAGGCTCTCCTGATTGGCTCCATCAGCACCTCCACACCTAAGGTGTTGGAGCATCACCATCCATGGATGCACTCTACACCTCACTGAGCCAATCTGGAACCTTGGCATCTTGTTTGATCCCCAACTAACCTTTATGTCCCACATCCCGGCCATGACCCGCACTGCATTCCTCCACCTCGGCAGCATCTCCCGGTTCCACCACTGCCTCTCCCTTCAGTCTGCCAAGATCATCATCTATGTGTTCATTACATCAAGGCTAGATTAAACTAACTCCTGCTTATTGGCCTTCACAACTCTGCCCTCCACAATTTGCACATCATCCAGAACTCTACAGGTTGTGTCCTCTCCCACACTAGGCTCCGTGACCCTATAATCGCCATCCTCGCCTGGCTCCCATTCTCCAGAGGATACAGCTCAAAATCCTCATCCTCGCCTTCAAAGACCTTCACAGCCTTTTTCCTCCCTACCTCTGTGACCTCCCAGATCGTCCTGTCTGCTCCCTCCACTCAGCAGGCTCCACGATCCCACCCACGCCCCCTCACCATCGGTTTGGGCCTTCAGACACTCTGCCCCCACCCTTTGGAACTCCATCCAAAAGTTACTTTGTCTTGCCCCCTCCCTTCTTCACGGCACATCTCAAGACCCTCCTCTTTGACTGTGCCTTTGGCCACTCTCCTACCCGCACCCTCTCTGCCTTCCAGCCCTCCTGATCCCAAGCTCCTGCTTGGGTCAAAATCCCTGTCTGTCCAGTGCTTTGGGACATGCTCCAGATGTGAAAGGAGCTAAACAAATGTAATACAACAACAAGATTCCATTTATAGAGCGCCTTTCACGTCGGGAGGACGTCCCAAGGCGCTGTACAGTTGGGTCAGGACCCGAGCAGGGGGGAAATGGTCAGGGTGAGGGGAGGGAAGGGAGGGAGGGAGCGAGGAGGGGGTAGAGAGTCAAGAGGGGAGCTGAAGGCACAGTCAAAGAGAAAGGTCTTGAGACCGGCCTTGAAGGAGGAAAGGGAGGAAGCGGCGAAGGCACTGGGGGATAGAGTTCCAGAGCCTCGGGGCTGAGAGGCTGAAGGCCCGGTCACCGATGGTAGGGCGGTTGGGGCGGGGGATGTGGAGCAGACCGGAGCCAGAGGAACGGAGGGTACGGGCAGGTAGGTAGGGGGATAGTAGGTCAGAGTGGTAGGAGGGAGCGAGGCCGTGAATGGCCTTGTAGGTGAGGATGAGGATCTTGAATTCGATCCTCTGGGGGATGGGGAGCCAGTGGAGGTGAGCGAGGGTGGGAGTGATGTAGGCGCGAGGCCTGGTGCGGGACAGTACACGAGCTGCAGAGTTCTGAATGATCTGCAGCTTGTGGAGGGAGGGCCGGGAAGGCCGGCGAGGAGAGAGTTCCCGTAGTCCAGCCTTGAGATGATAAAGGTGTGGACCAGAGTTTTAGCCGCGTGAGGGGTGAGGTAGTGCCGTAGTCTGGTGATATTCCAGAGGTGATGGAAGGCGGTGCCATTTGTGGTGCGGATATGAGGGAGAAAGGACAGCTCAGGGTCGAACAGAACCCCGAGGTTCCTGATGGCTTTGAGAGGTGGAGAGTGCAGCCTTGGATGGTGATGCTGTCAGCGCCTGAGGTACGGAAGCGCTGACGTGAGCCAATCAGGAGCTCAGTTTTGCGCACGTTGAGCTGAAGAAAGTTGTCTCTCGTCCAGGACTCGATGTCGGACAGGCAGCTGTCAGGACATCGGTGGTCGTGGAGTTGAGGGTAGAGGAGGAAAGGTAGAGTTGGGTGTCATCCGCATACATGTGGAAGTTAACCCCATGTCTGTGGATGATGTCACCACAGGGGGAGCATATAGAGGGTGAAGAGGAGGGGACCGAGGACAGAGCCCTGAGGGACACCGCACGAGACAGTGCGGGGGGTAGAGGAAAAGCCATTCGTGGAAACAAAGTGAAGACGGTGGGAGAGGTACGACCTAAACCACTCAAGGACAGGGCCTTGAAGGTTGAGGTGGGAGGACAAGCGGTGGAGGAAGATAGCATGGTAATATGTTGTTGTTGGTGCAAGCGATGAAGCAACTAGTAGGAAGACTCATTTATGCTTGGTGAATTGGTTTCCATCCTATCCCTCTTGATATTGGATTTATAATGGTACAGATAATGAGCCAAACGTTTGTGTTGAATTGCTGATCATCTGTGATTGTAATTTAAAGCGTTTTCCTTTAAAATCTTAAAGAAAGCACTAATTGAAACTGTGACCTCACAAGGCTAATCTTGAATTGATGCGGAGTCAACATCTGGACATTAGCCATTGGAAATGTATCCTTCATATGATTTGTTTGAAACTTACAGTGTTTTTGTCATGTAATTACTTAAAAATAAATTAACACATTTAGAGAAGTTGTAGCTCAACAATACTTTTTGAAGCGGATTCTTAGAGTGTATTAATTAGCACTAATAGTTAGTAAATGATGTACTTCAAATAGTCTTTTTCCTCTTCTATAGTACTTCTCCACTCCATGTGTGTTTCTTAAGGCACATTCTCGTTTTCTGAAGATTGCAAATATTTTAAAGATAGTCTTTGATATTTTGCCATTTTTTTCAATAAATTTCATAGAATCATAGAATCGTACAGCACAAAAAGAGGCCATTCGGCCCATTGAGTTTGTGCGGCTCTTTGAATAGAGCAACTAATGTCAGTGCCACTTCCCAGCCCTTTCCCCATAACCTGCAAACCCGTCCTAAAATACCCGTCCACCGCGTTTTTAAAAGTAGTTATCGAGTCGGCCTCGACCGCCCTTTCAGGCAATGCGTTCCAGATTCAAATATATATTTCTTAATATATATTAATATATATTATTTATATTTGTGGAGTCCTGTAACTCAGTGAAAACATGTCTTCTCACCTCCCCTCGGATTCTTTTAGAGACTATTTTGAATCTGTGACCTCGAGTCACCGACACACCCACCAGTGGGAACAATTTTTCCCTTTCTAACCTATCAAATCCCCTCATGATTTTGAAGACCTCTATTAGGTCTCCTCCTAACCTTCTCTGCTCCAATGAGAATAATCCTAACCTCTCTTAGCCTTTCCTCATCATCAAGGTCCCTCATTCCTGGTACCATCTTCGTAAATCTCCTCTACACCCTTTCCAATGCCTTAACATCCTTCCTATAGTGTGGTGCCCAGAACTGGGCGCAGTATTCTAACTGAGGCCTAACCAATGTTTTATATAAGTTAATCATAACCTCCTGACTCTTATACTCTATGCCCCTATTTATGAAGCCCAGTATCCCATATGACCTTTTTACAGCCTTATCTATCTGTCCTGCTACCTTCAAGAATTTATTTACCTGAACCCCCAGGTCTCTCTGTTCCTTCACCCTCCTTAAGATTGTATTACCAGCCTATATTGCCTCTCCTCATTCTTTCTACCAAAATGAATACCTCGCATTTCTCCACATTGAAACTCATCTGCCATGTGTCTGCCTATTTTACCATTCTGTCTATGTCTTCCTGCAGTTGGCTCTATGCTTCTCACTGTTTACTACCCTACCTAACCTTGTGTCGTCTGGAAACTTGGAAATGGTACTTGCTGTACCCAAGTCCAGATCATTTATTTAATAATAATAATAATAATCCTTGCATTTGATATAGCGCTTTTCACGTCAGGAGGACGTCCCAAAGCGCTTCACAGAACACGCTGTAAAGTGAATTGACTGTATATTTGTGGGCGAACGCGGCAGCCAATTGCGCACAGCAATGTCCCACAAACAGTCGTAGATTGAAAATGACCAATTTATTATTGTTTTTGGTTTTGGAGGGATTATTATTAGGCTCTGTGTGGAGTAAGGAAACTTGGCCAAGGTTTCGCCCTGACTGGAATTGAACTCAGGTCTCTCACTTGCAAAGCGAGTGCTCTAACCACTGAGTTACAGGACTCCACAAATATAAATAATATATATTAATATATATTAAGAAGAGCAGTGGTCCTAATACCGATCCCTGGGGGACACCAATGTTCACTTCCCTCCAGTCAGAAAAGCAGCTGTTCACCATAACTCTGCTTTCTGTCTCCCAGTGAGTTCTGGATCTGCTGCCACTGTTCCTTTTATACCACGGGCTTCTATCTTTCTTACAAGTCTTTCATGTTGCACTTTGTCAAATGCCTTTTGAAAGTCCATATAAACTACATCAACTGCACTGTCTTTATCCACCCTCTCCGTTACCTCATGAAAAAATTCTATTCTATGTGGAGTCCTGTAGCTCAGTGGTTAGAGCACTCGCTTTGCAAGTGAGAGACCTGAGTTCAATTCCAGGCAGAGGGCGAAACCTTGGGCAAGTTTCCTTACTCCACACAAAGCCTAATAATAATCCCTCCAAAACAAAAAACATTAATAAATTGGTCATTTTCAATCCACGACTGTTTGTGGGACATTGCTGTGCGCAATTGGCTGCCGCGTTCGCCCACAAATATACAGTCAATTCACTTTACAGTGTGTTCTGTGAAGCGCTTTGGGACGTCCTCCCGACGTGAAAAGCGCTATATCAAATGCAAGGATTATTATTATTATTATTAGATATGTTAGACAAGACTTGCCTTTAACAAATCGTGCGGCTGTCCCAAATTAACCCATATTCTTCCAGGTTTGTCCTTCTGCCCCTTTTTGTACAGGGGAGTCACATTGGCCACTCTCCAGTCCTCTGGCACCACTGCTGTGTCCAACGCAGATTGAAAAACTGTAGCCAAAGCCTCTGCTATTTGTACCCGTGTCTCCTATAGTAACCTCGGCTGCATCCCCTCTGGACTGGCGATTTATCACCTTCAGCGCAGTCAACATTTTCAGTACTTC